GGGCAACAAATTTCATTATATATTTTATAATATTTATTTGGCATTTGTTTTCTTTATGTCATTTAATTTATATATTCCATAGTCATGTATAGATTATTGTACTTAAAATAGCAGAAAAACACGTTTTTTCTTCAAAATATGGCCTCAACCTTCACACATGACTGTGGGGACGAGCTCTTCTGTGGTGCTTGGAATTCTACATGATTGAATTAAAAACCAATGTTGCTAAATTGAGGCTCAAGAAGGAGTAACTGTTAAAATAACATTGTTTTATTTTAAAATATAAATAAATTGTAACCCTAACATGTTTTTAACTGTAATATATCTGTAAACGCTAGGGACACAGAAATGGACGTTTCTGTAGAACGACCCACATGCATAAGCACTGACTAACAGATCTGTAAAAGCAATACTTCAGCATTCATGAACAGCTGATGTCAGTATTCGGAAGACAAATCACCAGGTAATGTATAAGTTCCATTACGTAGGAATGATGCTTCATAAGAGTGTTATAAACACAACAAATGTCAGTCATTTTAATATAAGGGCCACTGGGTCAATACAATGATCCTTCATCAAAGTCTGACTCATGAAACTTTCGCACGACGTGAAAATACATTTAAGTAAAAGCAATAAATCAGCTTCAGTGCGTGAAATCAAGCGCCAGCTTTCCAGTTCCTCATTTACATATCATTTACATCAACCACACTCTAAATAATGTAGATGTTTGGGCAGAAAGCCAGTAACCTGTGAGCCAATGGCTAACCTTGTAGGCGGAGCTTGAGGCGGAGCAGTACATACAACACATCCTCCATCAATCTGAAGAACGATTTTACCATGCACAGAACTTTTTAAGCATGCAAACGATTCCTTGAGTGTTCATGGTTCTACACTAAAGAACCTGTAAAGAACCACCTTTTTAAGAGTGTATAAATAAGGGTGACTTGACTTAAGCGATATATAGGGAGTATGGAGTCAATTGGGCCAGAGAAAGACTTTGTAACACCTTACAAGAACCCTGCTACACAACATTGACATAAACATGCCATAAACATGTCATGGCAGACGTTATAAGCTGTTATGAGCTGTCATAAAAGATTTTCTTTAGTAATAGAACAGTGTCGTGTTACCATTACTGGTATGTTTGGGCTGGATGTTTGATGTTATAACAGCTTATGTCACATGGATAATTTTTGCTGTGAACTCTAGTTTCATGACAACACACATCATGGCATCTGTCATGACAAATTACAGTAATGGTATTGTTACACTGTCTTATTACTGGACACAATCTGTCATGACAACTTACGACAGTGTATGACATCTGCCATGATACGTTTATAGCAAGAATATGTTAATATTATGTAGTTACCAAGACTTTGTACCTCATATTCAGCACTGCCAGTCTCTCTCTACACTGTGTATGTTCAGATACTCCACTGAGCTTTTGTCCAGCTTTATCAGTTTAAAGGAAGCTCATCTGGCCAGCAGTTCACCTCTGTGGACGACAAAAGGCAAGTGAACAGTTACCTTAACTTCAGACAGACGACAGAAACCGCAGACGGATATATATATGTATTTTTACTTCTCCATTTGGTAAATATTTGATTCTGATATAAATTTTCCACATGCACTGCACGGTTCTCCCTCAGCGAGCCCTGAGCCCCTACACTCAGGAAATATATATCAAGTTCTATATGAATGGCCTGGATTCCTCTAGCAGCCCACAAGTTATGTATGAAAGAGCTTAAATATGTCACATTCAAGTACAAACATATGGGGATCACACATACAGAACAAACCTACGTGATTAACCCTTTAAAAGCAGCTGTTTCTGGCTTTTAATGTAGAGTAACACTTTACTGTAGGGCAGTGTTCATAAGACTACATAACACCCACATAAACTGTAAAAATAATGTTGTTTTAACTTTAAAAAGTTGTGTTTGGGCTGAGTTAATTGGATTTCGAATAGAAAGTTAACAGAACAAGAATCTGTTATTTAACTTTTCATTTTGAAGTTCAAATAATTTTTTCATGTCAATTTTTTGTCATGACAACTGACTTAAACCTACATAAACAGTTATAAAGGCTTCCAACTGGCGTAACATCTACGTCAGGTGAGACTGTTTTTGACACTGGGTTGTCATTTTCAAAATAATGACTAATCCTGCTACATCTCCTGAAGTAGACAGCAGGGTCAGTAACGCAGTTTCTAGCGCCCCCTATAGGCCCTAATAACCAAAGCACTTACAAAGGCTATTCCACTGCATGTACACTGTTACCTGGAAAAGCTTGTGTATTCTCCACTTTTTTCAGACCTTCGCAAGACCTGTTTGCACTTATAAATGTTGTGTTTCTAGAGATTTCGCTCTTTGATGTGTTGACAGAGATGTGCAAATGATTCAAACATATAGTTTAGATTCTGTAGATTTCATAGATGGGCAACACTCACTCTGGCAGTACACTTCAATCAGCAAATGAAATCGAACTGCAGCTGAACATGCTGTTGCAAGAATTTGTATATCTCAGCACTGATAGCACAGTGATTAGGACCAATCACAGAAAGGGGAGGTCTCAGAATGACTAATGCAGTTATTTGACAAATGAAATTCAGAGGAGGTCTCAGAACAATGCAGTTATTCAACCAATCGGATTCAGGGGAGGTCTCAGAACAAACGATGCAGTTATTCAACCAATTGGATTCAGAGGAGGTCTCAGATTAAACGATGCAGTTATTGGACTAATTGGATTCAGAGGAGGTCTCAGAATAAACGATGCAGTTATTCGACTAATTGGATTCAGATGAGGTCTCAGAATAAACGATGCAGTTATTTGACTAATTGGATTCAGATGAGGTCTCGGAATAAACGATGCAGTTATTGGACTAATTGGATTCAGAGGAGGTCTCGGAATAAACGATGCAGTTATTGGACTAATTGGATTCAGATGAGGTCTCGGAATAAACGATGCAGTTATTGGACTAATTGGATTCAGATGAGGTCTCAGAACAAACGATGCAGTTATTGGACTAATTGGATTCAGAGGAGGTCTCAGAACAAACGATGCAGTTATTCGACTAATTGGATTCAGATGAGGTCTCAGAACAAACGATGCAGTTATTGGACTAATTGGATTCAGATGAGGTCTCAGAACAAACGATGCAGTTATTCGACTAATTGGATTCAGAGGAGGTCTCAGAATAAACGATGCAGTTATACGACTAGTGGGATTCAGGGAAGGTCTCAGAATAAGCAATGCAGTGATTCGACCAATCACGGTTAGGAGGAGTTCTCAGAATGCCAAGGTGATTAAGAGTTCTGCTCAGCAAGCAACAAACTGAACCAACTCAAACCGCTGCACTGTTTTGGCCAAAAAGACGTTGTTTTGCTTTGAAACATTTTCATAATTGTTTTTGTTTGCAGTCAGAAATTGGGGCAGCTGTGAGATTAAATGTGAAGGTAGCAAAAACTCTCAGAAACAAAAGCTAAAGTGTTTTCACTGATCAGTGTGGACATACACGCTCACCAACTACTCTGGGGCAGATTTTAATCAGTTAAAGGAGACAAACACAAAGGAACGGTTTGCCGGCGAGACGTCAGCTTTGAAAGGGTTAAATGAAGGCACAGAGTACAGCCTGTCGAGTCTTAAGGCTGACTGATGTTTCCTTTCTTTTCCAGGAATGTGTAGCTGGAGAATCCTCCCTTCAGCAGGACGATGGGGGGAGGACGGTGGTGGGGGGCTATAAGGGATGGTGGTATAGGGGGTAGTGAAACACAAGCTGCAGAAATAATGTTAGGATTGTAATTAAGTGAACACAAAGCAGGCCCTCTTCTCCCCGTAGCTCTGCATGCTCCGTCTCTCTCTCTCTCTCTCTCCCTTCATTTCCCTGTCTGAGGGCCGATGAGGCGACTGAAATGTCATGCGGAATCAAGCAGACAGAGGACTTAATAAAGAGATCTGTCTCGAGAGATTAAAAATAGGAGAGTTTGGAAAGTACTGTGGACAAGAGAGGCTCCATGAGATGTGCTGGCAAAAGTCCAGAGCACACACTGCAGCTCCCTTCTGCCACTTTATTAGACTGCCACGCTCATGCGCTGCCGTGTGCTGCCACCAAGTGGTCAAGATCTGACACTGCATCTGTAATTAACATATTTTAAAGAGATTGTAGTGTGTAAATGGTATTAAAGTTTCAAAACATACCAAGTCTACATAAAGAAAATGATCCGTTTTGAGTTTATTGTTTTTGTGATGACACGAAAACCAACACATTTATATCTATACATCTCAGCCGATTTACGCTCCAATCCACTTTAAAGTTATAAGAAGTTATAAGAAGTTTTAGCCTGGACTGTTTTTTAAATGAGGCACAATACAGGGCAGCTGACTGAGAAAAGTAAACAGCCACATTCAACAAAGAAGCTGCCAGTGTTCTCAGAATAATGGACTGACCACCCCAGAGTCCAGACCTCAACATCACTGAATGTGTTTGGGATTATCTGGATCGTGAGAAGACTGAAATTTGGAAGTGTGGAAAAATATTCCTGTTTAGTTGTTGGTTTTCCGTTTTATATATCGCTGTTGTCGGAACAAAACCTCGTATCCCCAAAATGAGAACTTTACAGGAGAAGGAAAAAACATACTTTACTTTTAATGTAAGTCAATGGAACCAGACGTTTTTCCAAGTAAATTTGGGACACTTCTTTTGGTCCATTCATCATAAAATTTACGTACAATGTAAAGGACAACAGGCATTTTCAAATTATGCCAAAAAGTGAAAAACGCCAAAAACGGAGTTAGGAGGTTTTGTTCAGACAGCAGCGATACACGAACATTTTGACTGAAAAAAAATAAAGGGTGGTCTCTGACATTTGCACCGTACTGTATCAACCTAGCCTAGTAACAAAAACATGGTTTAACTGTTTGCATAACCAGAGGTAATGTAAAATGTAAAAATTGAATTTAATTAAATTGAATTAAAATTCATTTTTTGGTACATAAACCCCCACAAATGTCATAAATTGTCATTGCGGGAAAAAAATAAGAAAAATGTAGGATATGGCCCTTTAACATTTTAAAAGAATGGAAATATTTTTAACAGACAGCGGTCAGTCAGCATTGAGGCAGAGACACACTCCCTGCAGGACCCAGTGTGAGGCGTGTTTGGTGGTGAAGAGGTCCGCCTCGAACACCAGCCCAACGCCCATCGCGTTCCTCCTCATGGAGGTCGTGTAGACCGGCGTCCTCAGTGTGTTCTGGGGGGACATCAATGAATGTGATTTGCTTAAAGAAATACTCAGAAAGAAGACAAGCTCTTTTTTCCAAACAGGTATTTGGAGCATAGCAGGTTAACTATGATGTCTTCTCACCTTCTAAAAGAATTAATCAAGCTAAATTATGAATCTATTCCAAAACTAAAGACCTGAACATGTTGAGCATCAGTTCTTCTTTTAGACACTTCTAGGATTACTTATGCTTTAAACAGCATAAACCTGTCCACAATCACTGTATTTCGTCATATGATAACATGGTTTTAATTTAAGCATTCAGTTCTTGCAAATTTCAGTATAATGGTCATTCATAGAAGAGGGACTTCAGTCTAAAGCACGACTAGAAACTGACCAAGTGAAAGGGTCAGGAGTGAAGGAGTGGGTGGTGCTGTGTTACCTGCAGTTTGAGCCGATGGGCCTCTATGGGGATCACCTTGAGGATGGGCAGCTGTACCACCAGCACTTTGGGTTTGCTGCGCACCAGGCAGCCCTGATCAACGTCCCAGTCAGCTCCCTCCATGTACAGACCCGATACAAAACACCCTGCAACAACACGCAACACCAGCTGCTTACAGAACAGCTGCTTACAGAACTACTTATAGAACCGCTGCTTACAGAACTGCTTACAGAACAGCTGCTTACAGAACTGCTTATAGAACAGCTGCTTACAGAACTGCTTATAGAACAGCTGCTTACAGAACTACTTATAGAACCGCTGCTTACAGAACTGCTTATAGAACAGCTGCTTACAGAACTGCTTATAGAACAGCTGCTTACAGAACAGCTTATAGAACAGCTGCTTACAGAACTACTTATAGAACAGCTGCTTACAGAACTGCTTATAGAACAGCTGCTTACAGAACTACTTATAGAACCACTGCTTACAGAACTGCTTATAGAACAGCAGCTTACAGAACTGCTTATAGAACAGCTGCTTACAGAACTACTTATAGAACCGCTGCTTACAGAACTGCTTACAGAACAGCTGCTTACAGAACTACTTATAGAACCGCTGCTTACAGAACTGCTTATAGAACAGCTGCTTACAGAACTACTTATAGAACAGCTGCTTACAGAACAGCTTACAGAACAGCTGCTTACAGAACTGCTTACAGAACAGCTGCTTACAGAACTACTTATAGAACAGCTGCTTTAAGAACTGCTTATAGAACAGCTGCTTACAGAACTGCTTATAGAACAGCTGCTTACAGATCTGCTTATAGAACAGCTGCTTACAGAACTACTTATAGAACAGCTGCTTACAGAACTGCTTATAGAACAGCTGCTTACAGAACTGCTTATAGAACAGCTGCTTACAGAACTACTTATAGAACAGCTGCTTACAGAACAGCTTACAGAACAGCTGCTTACAGAACAGCTGCTTACAGAACTACTTATAGAACAGCTGCTTACAGAACTGCTTATAGAACAGCTGCTTACAGAACTGCTTATAGAACAGCTGCTTACAGAACTGCTTACAGAACAGCTGCTTACAGAACTACTTATAGAACAGCTGCTTACAGAACTGCTTATAGAACAGCTGCTTACAGAACTGCTTATAGAACAGCTGCTTACAGAACTGCTTATAGAACAGCTGCTTACAGAACTACTTATAGAACAGCTGCTTACAGAACAGCTTACAGAACAGCTGCTTACAGAACTGCTTACAGAACAGCTGCTTACAGAACTACTTATAGAACAGCTGCTTACAGAACTGCTTATAGAACAGCTGCTTACAGAACTGCTTATAGAACAGCTGCTTACAGAACTGCTTACAGAACAGCTGCTTACAGAACTGCTTACAGAACAGCTGCTTACAGAACTACTTATAGAACAGCTGCTTACAGAACTGCTTATAGAACAGCTGCTTACAGAACTGCTTATAGAACAGCTCATTCATTCATTCATTTATTCACTCGCTCATTAATTCCTTCCTTCATTCATTCATTCCTTCACTCATTCATCACTTAATTCATCCATTCATTCCTTCCTTCATTCATTGATCAATTTCTTCCATCATTCCTTCACTCATTCATTCATTCAGTCCATAATTCATTCTTTCCTTCATTCATTAATTTCTTCCTTCTTTCCTTCACTCATTCATTCCTTCAGTCCTTAATTCCTTCCTTCCTTCATTCATTCATTTCTTCCTTTATTCATTCATTCCGTCATTTATTCCTTCATTTTTTCATTCCTTCATTCATTCATTTCTTCCTTCCTTCCTTCTTTCTTTCCAGTTGTTTGCAAAAGTTTGGAGACCACTGTTCAAATGATGTTTTGTTGATCTAAGCAAAAATAAGTTTTTTTTTTCTAAAGTCTAAAAAAAACACATCCTCTAAAGAGAACACAATTTATTAGTGCACAGTTTATATTTATTTGCAGAGTTTAATGTTGGGAAACACTGGAAAAAGTAACATAACATATTAAATGTGCCATAACTTTTGCACAAGCCTCATTTTGCATTTTATTTCTTTCCACTATGTTAAATTCAGAAAATAAACAAATAAAGTAATTGTGCATTAAAATGTGCAGAACTGTGTTGTCTGTAGAGGTCTTTTGTTTACATTCACATATGTGTATACATATATTTATACTGACTCCTGTTTCTGAAAGTTTCTTGACTCAAAGGCATCTTTAGATTGTAGGTTATTCGCACTACTTTAATGACAGCTTAAGATTGTCTTCAGGATAAGAGCATCTGCTAAGTGGTGTTAATGTAATGCGTGTGTGTGTGAGTGTGTGTGAGTGTGTGTGTGTGTGTGAGTGTGTGAGTGAGTGTGTGTGTGTGTGTGTGTGTGTGTGTGTGTGTGTGTGTGTGTGTGAGTGTGTGTGTGTGTGTGTGTGTGTGTGAGTGTGTGTGTGTGTGTGTGTGTGAGTGAGCGTATTCTCACCCTGTCCGGGTCTCTCAGTGACCTCGTCCTCACTGCGGTACTGGGTGACGTGTGTGTAGAGTGTGGAGCGGTCCAGTGGCCAGCCGTTCCGTCTGCATGTAGCCTGCACCAGTGCGGTCAGATACGACTCAGGGATGTGTAACCCTGACAACCACATCACTGTGGGCTCACCATCGTCCACCTGCAGATCAAACATACGTTCAAAATGACTACTTAAAAAAACTCTTAAAGTTTATACTCTCCATCAGTTCATTCTCTCCAACAAACAAACACAGTTACACACATATAAAAGGCTTCACCTTTTACTGAGCTATTAAGGTTTATTATTCAGTTTCTACTATGGACTTAAAGCACCGGTCAGGAATAGTTTACTAACAGAGGGAATCATATATAATTCCCATTTCTGATTGTCTTTTTTCATTGTTGTTCCAAAGCCTCTGTTGTAGCATCACTCAAAACTGGTTTCCCGCAAATCCACTGGGCTATAAAATCCCTCTTGTTGTTTACCCAAACAGCATCATAGAGAGGACAGTTCACTTTTATAATGCCTAACCTGGTTGTCTTGTAACCCCAAAAAACGAATGTGTGAAGTCCTGTTCTTGGATCATAGTTTTTGGGGCTTTTGGAGTTATGTTATTAAAGCTACACTATGTAAGATGAGGGGATTTGGAGACCTCTCTGGTGGAAATGTGTAATTGCATGCAGTGTGCGAAAGAAAATGCCGTAACATGGGTTGTGCTTCAGACCCCTTCCGGAAAGCAGGTGAATCGGAAGACTGCGCGTTAAAAGAGAATGATATGATTATGAGTAAATTATCTACACACCCAAAAAATTGGATCTCTTTCTTTAGTAAAGAAAATGGTTCTACATAGAATCACAAACACTCAAAGAACACTTTGCATGATTAAAGGGTTCTTTGCATCGTGAAATAGTTCTTCAGATTGATGGGAATGTGCTGTAGGTGGTTCTATATAGAACCTTTTTGAAAAGGTGCTATATAGCACCAAAAAGGGTTCTATTGTTACAAGCTTGACATAAAACCACTAGCAGAACCCTTTTTGGTGATATATAGAACCTTTTTTTTAAAAAAAGGCTCTATATAAAACCATCAATAGCACATTTTCAATCAATCTGAAGAACCCTTTCTTGATGCAAAGAACCTTTTAATCATGGGTTTTAAAAAAAGGATTCTTTGAGTGTTCATGGTTCCATATAGAACCATTTTCTTTACTAAAGAACTCTTGAAGAACAATCTGTTGTAAGAGTGTGCTGTTGTCATCATTTCTCCATCAGTATAATGTTGATTTTGGATTTGAGACCTAAACATCGAGCCGGACCTTCTTTCTGAGTCTGTTTGTGTGACGTTAATACGTAAGGATGCGTGATGTGATCTGAAAAACTCCAACTCTGATTTTTTGCTCAAATCCGATCTCTCTGACTCGATGGTTCACACTCGTTTAGGTAAGTGATTCAAATCTGTCATTAATGTGACGAACCGGCGTCCTGAAATGACCCTCATGCGCACATCCTACTCAGTGACGTCACGTGAATGAATCACGTTCATCATCAGCACAAACTAACGAGCAGAACGAGCTTCGCTGAGAAGATAATTAACTCTGATCAGCTCTCAGCTTCATTATTAGAGCGAGACGAAGGAGAAAAAGGTGAGATGAGCTGCTTTTCCACCGTTTACAGGCTTTAACTTCTGTTCGGCGCTGCTGCCATGGTAACGCTGAATGATGGCGCACGCACAGTGGAAAAAAAGCACATGAATTCTGATCTGAGCGTCACATTAAGGTCTCATGGCCACGAATCAGATACGTATCCGATCTAGGACCACATATTAAAGTGGTTCAGGTCGGATTTGAAAAGATCAGATGTGTCCAAACAGGTCTGAAAACATCAGATCTGAGTCACATTAGGGCAAAAAATCAGATTTGTGCCACTTCAGCCTGGTAAGGTGACCATAGCCTACAATTCTAACAAAAAATTATAGGCCTTTCGGCTGGTGTACTGGGTCGTACCCATGAGCTGTACTGATCGTAGCGTCTCTTGAAGTGGATCATCCAGTTGCCCAAAGATTTCAGGGTGTCCGGGGCCAGTCGTCTCCAGATAGCAGGAATCTGACCATTAAACAGGGCTCTGGCAACTTCGTCCAGTTCACTGCTCATCCCCACCTCACCTGCTAAAGCCTGGAACATGGACAGACATGGGCACAGCTTTAGAGCACTCAGTTCTTACATCTTTTCTTTCTCTCTGCTACTGTTATCTCCCTCCCTCTCCTCTTCTCTCACCCGCTGCAGTTCGGCGAGTGAGCGGCTCATTCGGAGGACGAGCCTGTTGAAGCGCTCCAGCTCCTGCAGCAGCACCACGGAGGTGGGCGAGACTTCCAGGCCGAACTTCTTGCGGATCACGTCCAGGTCGAACACGCTGGGCAGCTTGTTCTGGATGTCCCGCGCCACTTGAGCGATGTACTCATCTCGACTGATCCCACCACCAGAATCACCTGCAGCAGAGACACACAGACGCCGTTTTCACCTGGCCAAATCATGCCGCTAGAATCCGGATCACATCCTCACAAGATTTTAACCACATGGATTTATACATGGACTTTGTTAGGACTGGGCATTATGACAATATACACCAATCAGGCATAACATTATGACCACCTCCTTGTTTCTACGCTCATTGTCCATTTTATCAGCTCCACTTACTATATAGGTGCACTTTGTAGTTCTACAGTTACAGACTGTAGTCCATCTGTTTCTCTGATACTTTATTAGCCCCCTTTTACCCTGTTCTTCAGTGGTCAGGACCCCCATGGACCCTCACAGAGCAGGTACTATTTGGGTGGTGGATCATTCTCAGCACTGCAGTAACACTGACATGGTGGTGGTGTGTTAGTGTGTGTTGTGCTTGTACGAGTGGATCAGACACAGCAGTGCTGCTGGAGTTTATAAACACTGTGTCCACTCACTGTCCACTCTCTTAGACACTCCTACCTTGTCGGTCCACCTTGTAGATGTAAAGTCAGAGTCAGCAGTGTGTCAGCATAGTTTGTGTTGGTCATCCTCTAGTCCTTCATCAGTGGTCACAGGAAGCTGCCCACAGGACGCTGTTGGCTGGATATTTTTGGTTGGTGGACTATTCTCAGTCCAGCAGTGACACTGAGGTGTTTAAAAACTCCAGCAGCACTGCTGTGTCTGATCCACTCAGACCAGCACAACACACACTAACACACCAACACCACGTCAGTGTTACTGCAGTGCTGAGAATGATCCACCACACAAATAGTACCTGCTCTGTGAGGGTCCATGAGGGTCCTGACCACTGAAGAACAGGGTAAAAGGGGGCTAACAAAGTATCAGAGAAACAGATGGACTACAGTCTGTAACTGTAGAACTACAAAGTGCACCTATATAGTAAGTGGAGCTGATAAAATGGACAATGAGCGTAGAAACAAGGAGGTGGTCATAACGTTATGCCTGGTCGGTGTATACTGTTATTGTGATCAATTATGTTAGGATACAATACAATATGCTTCTCTGAACATATCGTCGATATTGTCAGTGCAAAATTAGTCCTGTTAAACTAGATTTAGTGCAACACATTATGCGAAATACTGAATACAAATCACGGTGTTCACACTTTTTGATAGTATTTTTTAACGTAGAACTACTGGTTCATTTCTCTCTGTTCCAGCTGATCAAATGTTTGAGAAAATAAATATTGTGACACACCTGCATCATGAAAATTTCTTAAAGTATCCCAATAATATATTTTCATCAAATCCACCGCCTCAATTTTTTATTCAGTTCAGCACTGTTGTTTAACGCTAAGGTACTGCTGAGTTTAAGAAGAGTGACCACTGAGAAATGTAAAATTTTCACAGCTTGCAGTTACACCATTGGAATACATAATTAAAAACTAAAATATAAAATAAAAATGTTAATGTAGTTTAGGACCTAGCAGATATAATCCTGACACTCCAGGTGCATGAAACACCCAGGAAAAAACAGGGTTATACTCACCATATCTGAAACTGATTCCCTAGATGAGGGGTCAGCAACATGCAGCTCCGGAGAGCATGCGGCTCTTTTACTGCCCTGCAGAATTAGTTTTTGGTAAAAATAAAATAATCCTCCTTTACAGTAAAATAAAGCTCTGCTGATCGTTCAACACAGTTTAACAATAAATGGTCTTAAACTCTGGAGTTAATGTAGAACTGCTAATTCACCCTTTAACCCTGAAGATCAGCGCAGACTGCTGGTCACCATAGCAACACAGACAACAGTCTCGCCTAGCTAGTAGCTAACGAAACGGCAAAGAGAGAGATTTAAGATGAACATTGATAATTTGGAGACGAATGGACTTATTTGTGTTTATAATCACTCCAGCTGGTTTCCTGATACGTTTAATCTGCAATGAGAAACTCAAACACTAAAAAGTCACGAAGCTGCAGTCAGTTTCTCGTTCACCAACTTCTCGTTGGAATTTTCCCGTTCCACCTTAAATGGTGCAGCAGTTACATTCTGGCACCTCAGGCACCATTTAAGGTGGAATGGGAAAATTCGAACAAGAACCCGCAAATGAGAAGCGACTTCAGCCTCATAAAAAATCGAAAGCTGAGAGACGTTTTACAAGAAACTGTTCTACTTTTGAGGAAAAGTTTCCTGCCAGAGATGTGAGAAAAGCAACAATAGCTGAGCTGAAGCTTAAAGCAGAGCAAAGTAAGTCTCTGTTTTCGTTTATATATTTTTAGCCTATACTAGTACATTAACACACACTGAGACATATTTACAGCCAAGATGGTAAAACATACTTTAATAAATAGACATAAAATGTTGCGACTCCCAAGGTGGGTTGATTTTTGTTGAAAGGACAACATGGCTCTTATTAACATTTGTTTTACTGGCCCCTGCCCTAGATTAAGGTTGTGGGTCAGTTTGACATCAATTAAACTAAATTCGACGAGGAATTCAAACATTAACTACACACTGTTGTGCAAACTTGTCTCTCATATGTGAGTTTTTCTCACATATTGCCCCATTTTTGAAACCGAATCTCTTCAGAGCCTGCCCCAAACACTGCTATCGATAAAGAACAGAGAGGACGAAAATTGGGATACAGTTTCAGCAGGTGGGGTAGAGAAGGGTGCTGTGTATCTGTTTGGGCCTCTATATAGTGGTAAAGGCAGCAGAGGCAGTACAGGGTAGGGTAGAGGGTATATGTTTGGGACACTATGCTTTGTTACAGGTACAGTGCTGTAAAGGATCTTCATATAAAGTGTAATATAAGAAAAGGAGAGCATGAGGAAACAGAAAACACAGTTTTTAATATATCACTTTCCATGTGAAAAAGTAACTGCCCTCCTAAACTTCACTTCTGAGATATTTGACCACTGTTCCAAGTTGCCTCCATTTGGAGACAATGGCTCTCACTGTGGTTTGCTGGAGTCCCAGAGTCTCAGAAATGGCTCTGTAACCCTTTCCAGGCTGAATTTCTGGAATTTTCGGAATTTCTTTTGATTGTGGCACAGTGTGCTGCTTGTTAAGACCTTTTAGCCTGCTTCAGATTGCTGGACAGGTTCCATTTAAGGGATGTTTTGATTCATCAGGACCGGCAGTAATCGGGCCGGCGTGTATCCAGTTTAATTCATCCCAATTATTCTATTACTCTTCAATTATTCCAAACTAAATATGGTTAACTGGTTGATTTATAGGGTAAATATTTTTTCACACAAGGGCTTTTTTCCTTTAATAAATTAAATGAGAATTTAATTTCCTGTATTTTGTATTTACTCAGGTTGTCTTTCTCTTCTTTTAAATTAAAGCAGACAAATTAAAGGGGGTTAATACTTTTTCACAGCACTGTAGATAGAATATTGAAGGAATATTAAGGCGTGGAATGTGTTTGGGAGTCATGGTGGATGGGATAGTGTGGAGAGGGGTACCTGTTTGGGGCTGAAGCTCTATGAGGTGAGTCCACATGTCTCGGGCAGCCTGAGTGTAGTAGCCGATCTCAGCGTTGGGGTGCAGACCAAACACCTCAGGGGGTGTTAGCCAGAGGGAGGGACTCAATTTCATCTGCGAAGCACAGCAAACACAGTTACAGTTACAATCAGTCAGTACATCAGCTCCTTATATCACAACTGACAGCATAATTTTGCCTGATGAAGATGCATGTACAACTTCTTATAATAAATATGAATTTTTAAAACAGGGTAAGGTGTAGCATTTCCTGGCTTACTTATTCCACCACACATGCCTGTCCACCTGCTGCTTATTCTTTAGATGTTTCCTAAAGTTCACTCTTCAAAAAGATGGTTCTTCAAGGGTCCTTGAGTAAAGACAATGGTTCTATATAGAACCATGAACACTCAAAGAACCATTTGCATGCCTAAATGGTTCTTTGCATGGTGAAATGGTTCACAATAGCCTAATAATCCATTAATAATCTGACTAATAGCTAATCGGAATAGAATACATCCATGTAAACACCTCAATCGGAATAGTCTGATTGAGGCCATTCAGAATGCAGTTTCTATCCGACTGATCGAGGTGGGTAATCCTGTAAATAATCCGTTAAATAGAAGAATAATATCCGTGTAGACGCCTGTATCTGATTACATTCCCTATCGGAAAGTTTAAGTCCGTTCTGATCGTGTTTGTCGCATCATAGTGAAAGTTTACACCGTTCAACATGGCGGAGCAGAAACTGGTCTGCAGAGGAGACGAAGTTTATGCTCTGATCTTTAAAAGACGGCGGTGGGACGGACGTCCAGCTTATGTGTCTCAGAACACGACGTCTTCCTCTCGGCCTTCTTTAATAAGGACATGTGAAGGACGTTTTCCTGAGTCTGACATCATTTTAAAGCAAGTGAAAACACAAGCGCTGCTCACTGCTGCTCGTCTCACTCTGACTGGACTCACGTGATGCTGGTTGTCATGGTAACGTTTACACTAAGCGGTTCTCTACACATGTGCGTCATTTTGAATATGATTACTTGTAGTGTAAATGTAAACAGAGATTTTCCATCAGATTGTTGAGTAGAGTGAGAATAAACACCTCAGTCTTAATCTATAATTGGAATGTATTCAATCGGATTGGCAAAAATCTTTGCATGTAAACACAGACACTGATGGAGAACGTGATGAAAAACCATTGTCTTTACTAAAGAACATATAAACTAGTGACTGTTATGTGACTAAATTCTTCTACGCACCAACAAAAACATCCTTGGGTCCGTCCGGCGGGATCCTGTAGTCCACGTCTTTGTTGTGGAAGAAGTGGAAAGGCTGAAAAGTGTCAAAGATGAAATCTCCCAGATACTCGTCCATGTAGACGGTGAGGATTCTGCGGTCAAAGCTGTCTATCGCCCTGCCCCCGTACATCACCTGGTTGAAAATCAGGGTACTGTTCATCGCTCAAGACCAAATTAAAAGAATAATAAATTCAAAACATCACATACCGTCAGCACGGTGGCAATCAGCACATTCACTTCAGAGGGAATTCTGTTTTTGCACACGATGTAAACTAAGTCATTTAGAGTGGCTGGATGTGAAATGCTTAATTCAGAACTGATCGCAGCGGTGGTGATGGGAACCAGGGGCCGGATTCACAAAAGCTTTCTTAAGAAAAAACTTGCCATGGTTCTTCAGACAAACACTAAGAAGTTCATAAGAATGTTCTTAAATGCAATTCTTGAAAAAAACTTGAGAAGTTCTCAGATATTCTCTTAAGATCATCTTAATTATTTTCGTACAATTTTCTTAAGAAGTCTTCATTGTTTTTTTTTATGTATGCTACATTGCACTTTACTATGCACCATAAACGATGCGAGATACAGGCTGAGTTTGTATTAACTGTTACTTCCTTTATTTAATCTGCTCAGAGGAGCAAAATGGTGGAAAAACATCAAACCAAGCATTTGAAATAAATTAGCAAACAAGAACTAGAGGTGATGGAGGAAGAAACAGCCATCAGTAAAAAATCCTCATTGGAAAATATGATAATTGGGGGGAGACGGACATGGATGGCAAGAGCAGCAGCAAACACAGTGTCCGTGATGAATTTAGATGCTGACTTCGTCAACTTTTACAGCCTAAGACAAGTGCAGGTCACTGTAAGGTTAAGAAAACATTTAAGAACATAATATTGTCAAGAATATTTCACTTGTTCTTAGAATTATTCTTATGAAAATAGTGCAGAAAAGAAAACAGGAGAATTCTTAAGAAGCTATTTGAAGAATAACATTTTCTCGTAACTTTTTTTAGATTGAAGTCAAGAAAAAACACATTTAAGAAGATTTTCTTTCTTAAGACACTTTCGTGAATCCGTCCCACACAGAAAGTTATCACATGAAATAGTTATGAATATGTGCCCTGATGTCTGTGACATTGTTTGATTATAGGTTTGAGAAGGTTTGTAACCTGAAATGTGCCTTTTTTTAAAAAATCCATTGATGGTGGAGGGGTACACGCAGAGCGCTGTAAGGCAGAACAGTCCGCAATAAAAATTTATTTTTTCAGATTTATCACTATTGTACCATCATCATAAGGGTGGGCAATTCACAAATTTTCAAATTTTCAATTTCTCTTTCCTTTACAGCAGTGTGCTTTCGCTCCGCACCTAAAAGCCCAAACTCACCCAGTTTATTTTTATTTAATTTTTTTATATATGTTTAGTACTTTTTAGTAGGTGGTGGAAATGCACTACAAAATAATTGATCTTATTCATTTTGATCTTAGTTATTTATTTTATTTATCTTTTTACACTTTTATTCAAGTCTTTTTTTCAAGTTCAAAAAACGTGTAATGTTTCCAAAGACAACGAGTAATCATGTTAAATAATCGTGATCTCAGTATTGACCAAAATAATTGTGATTATGATTTTTTACAATAATCGAGCAGCCCTACATCGTTCCAGATAAAACTCAGAAGACTCGTGTAGGTTCACTGGTGGTTTTGAATAGTACATAAAATTGCTAAATTTGTGCTGTAGTCATGGTGACCCCTGATTAGTATCACCACCACTGTAAAGAAATCTGAGTCAGTAAGTTTCTACAATGAGCCACTTCACATTAAACCACGCTGAATGACTTTGTTTACATCTCAACCACTGAATTTTGAAAAGTCAGTGAGGTTCCCCTGAATGACCTATACAGAAAGTAAAGGCTTTAACTGTTAAATAATAAGTTAATGTTAGTAAAGGATATCATACAAACTCAATAATGAGTGGGCTACCTCTCCAATCAGGTATTTGAGACTCCCCCATGGGATCTTGGCATCATCTTGACTGTGAGCTTTGGTCAGGTAGGTGTTCAGGATCTCCATACACACCTGAGATACAGAACAGCCTGATATGTTCAGTGTGGAACAGATACAACCCACACTTATCAGTAAAAGCATTTCCTTATGAACTGCTAAACACTCAGGGAAGATTTTTATCTAAATCCACTTAAAAAATGTAAGCTCCAGGCTCTAGGCTGAGTAAGTGGATATGTTGTTGCTGTTGGAACAAAACTTCATCTCTCTGTTTTTGTCACTTTTTTATTTTTTTACATACTTTGAAAACACCAGCTGCCCTTTACTCTGTGTGAAAATATCATGAAGAATGAACCACAAGAAATTATCCGAAATTACTTGGAAAAAACGCTTTTACATTACTTCTATTATATACCTTAAAAGTGTTTTTCCTTCTCCTGTAAAGTTACCAGGTTTTAAAAATGTGTTTTCATGACATCACAGAAACAGAACAAGATATTTTTGCAGCTTATTTTTCATACACACTGATCAGCTATGGCATTAAAACCATTTTATCAGCTCCACTTACCACATAGGTGCTCTGTGTAGTTCTACTTATTTACACTAATAATTACAGACTGTAGTCCATCTGTTTCTCTGCATACTTTGTTAGCCCCCTTTTCCCTGTTTCTCAGTGGTCAGGACCCCCATGGACCCTCACAGAGCAGGTACTATTTGGGTGGTGGATCATTCTCAGCACTGCAGTAACACTGACGTGGTGGTGGTGTGTTAGTGTGTGTTGCGCTGGTGCGAGTGGATCAGACACAGCAGTGCTGCTGGAGTTTTTAAACACTGTGTCCATTCACTGTCCACTCTATTAGACACTCCTAACTTGTCAGTCCACCTTGTAGATGTAAAGTCAGAGACGACAGCTCATCTGCTGCTGCTGTCTGTGTTGGTCATCCTCTAGTCCTTCATCAGTGGTCAAAGGATGCTGCCAACAGGACGCTGTTGGCTGGATGTTTTTGGTTCTCAGTCCAGCAGCGACACTGAGGTGTTTAAAAACCCAAATAACACCTGCTCTGTGGGGGTCCTGACCATTAAAGAACAGGGTATGCAGAGAAAGATGGACTACAGTCTGTAACTGTAGAACTACAAAGCGCTCCTCTATGGTCAGTGGAGCAGATAAAATGGACAATGAGTGTAGAAACAAGGAGGTGTTATAATGTTATGGCTGATCAGTGTTTGGACTCTCCAGCCTACAGCAGTAAACATTCTGAGCCTCGTGCTTACCAAGAAGTCAGATTCATTGAAGTCGTAGGGCACGTTCCAGCCGATCTTGCCATATTTGCGCCTCTCCTGCACCACAGCGTGGAAGAAGGCCAGAACGTAGACCAGGCTGCGGAAGGCTGGGTGTGGGCAACTCATCAAGGTCTCCTGCGAGATCTTAAAGTAGGTGGCCCTCATGTTCAGCTTCAGCCCATTGGGGGGCTCGGTTACCACCTGGACACACAGGAGACAAGAGGTGTATCACATTTTGCCAGTCGTATCACTCCAGGGCTGGAACTGAAGGCCGCTGTAAATAAGCAGTGAAATGTGAACCTTCAGGGACTTCTGCAGGATGCCGATGGGGAAGTCTTTGATGGGGTCGGTTGTGAGCCACAGTCGGAAGTCTGGGTGAGGTTTGGTGATCCTCTCCAGAGACTTCTCCAGATCCTTCAGCCACTTCACTAACAGATGACAGTTCTGCAGCATCAGCCACTGGCCTCTGGACACTGCGGTCTCCAGTAACTGCAGTGCAACCTGGGAAATGGAGGAAACACAATGAGTAAGGCTTTAAATAGTAAACTTCAGTTGCTTGAAATTTACATGAAGCTCCATTTGTTTCCGCATAAAATAAAGCCTCTGCAACTCCCTTGAAACTTTTTTAAACAAGACTTTTTTTTTACAATGCAGCATCCATTTTAGACCATCAGACAGTATGTGAGACTGTCTGTTTCTCTTTTGTCTCCATCCCTGTGTGTGTGTACCTTCTCCTGGCCTTGCCCCATGGCCAAGAACTTAAGTCTGCTGCTCCCGAAGCCGGAGCGCTCAGCCAGCTTCATCAGATCGCTGGCCGGCTCACAGCCGGGGCTCAGGATGAACACGATGGGGGAATTCGGAGTGCTCTGCTCAAATATAGCCTCGAAACTGATCACTGGGGGCTGCACATACCTGAGAACGAGACAGAGAGTGGCAAAGAAAGAAAGACAGGGAGAGAAAAAGGTCATTTAAAGCCATTTAGAAGCTGTGTTTGAACAAGAGGGCTACTATTGTGGATTCTATCATAGCAACATGACAGCTGGGCTTCAGCCTGGAACTACTTCTTAATGCGTTATCTTTGACAACCCTAATATATTCACACAGATACATCGTATTTAAAAGCAAATTTAGAAAGATGGTGCTCTCTTACTTCTCTCCCATGGTGATGGTGACGTAGTCGCTGACGGCGCGGTACACTCGGTCCAGCCTGAAGCAGCGCAGGAGCAGAAGCTTCTGGAAAGCTGTCAGACTGTCCTTGTACTTCATGGGGAAGGGAGCCTGTTCTGGGCCGTCCAGGTCATACCACTAAGAGAAGAGGGGACAGATCTCAAATCTGGTAGTATGCAAATTTTACTGACAGTTATGTAATTCATAACTTTCCTTTTTGGTGCTTTTGTGTGATCAAATGTAGAGCAGCATGTAAATTTGAGCATAATAGTTTCACAACCTGAAAAAAAGTGCCTGATTTGCAGCTAACTACACTGTAAAAAATGGCTCGTCAGATCAACCTAAAAACATGACTTAATGTAGTAATAAGGTAATACTAAGTATATAATTAGGCTCGTTTTATTCTCAAAAATTACACTGATTGAAAAAATCGTTCATTTGAAGTATTTATTTAGGTAGAGCGTGTCTCCAGCTTCAAGTTCCTGGGAGTAAACATCTTCGAAGATTTTCCATGGACACTCGACACCTCACACTTAGTTAAGAAGGCACAGCAGCGCCTCTACATCCTGAGGAGACTAAAGAAGGAACATCTGTCTCCTTAGATTCTCTAAAACTTCTACTGCTGCACCATTGAAAGCGTACTGACCAACCGTGTGACAGTGTGGTACAGCAGCTTCGCTGTGGCCGACAGGAAGGCCCTCCAAAAAGTGGTGAGGACCGCTGGGCGCATCACTGGCATACGGCTCCCTGCCATCAGAGACATTCACCATGCTGTGTGCGCAGAGCGACACCTCCCACCCAGCCACACACTGTTTAACTTCCCCCCGTCTGGGAGGAGATACAGAAGCACTCGGACCAAACCGGTCGGCTCTTTCCCTCCACCATCACCCTGCTGAACTCCACACCACTCCACTAATACTCATACTTGTATGTTGCACACAATATTTATTATTATTTATTATCCCTTGCATTTCCATACAAGACTGTTCACTGTATATAGAACACAACACATAACTGCTTACTCTAAAAGTACATAACATACCGTATATATATTATTTTTATAGTATTAAGTGTATATACATGTATATATCATTCATAGATATATTTATAATTGTGTATATATTGTTCATATAGTTGTATACTTCATAGACACATCTGTCTGTCTCTCTCTATCTATCTATCTATCTATCTATCTAAAACTAGTTAATTTGCTTGTTACCACATGAAGTATTTTTTTAGGTTGACCTGACGAGCCATTACATAACAGTGTAACCAAAATTATCAACAATATCATCAATAATTTCAAAAATATAAATAAAATAACAACAGTACTAATTATTTGTGCTAATAGCAATCCAGTCACTTTCCATTGATGGATGGAGCAGATAGGGGTAGATGCAAAAAAGGGTTTTAATTCTAATTTGGTCAAACACATTTCTTTACCAGCTGGCTCTAAATTAGGCACTGTGGCCACGTTAACACTGAAAAGTGGTGCATTCATGTGTAAATAACGTAAATTCTGTGTGTGATATATATTTATTTATTTGTTGATAAAATGGCCAATGACTGTGGATACAAAGTAGGTGGAACTCATAAACTGGCAACTAGTGTGTGTCTGAGAGTGTGTACATACGCTCTTCCATTCGTTAGGATTCTTCTCTATGTCGTCGATTAATGTTCCGAACTCGTTAGGAAAAAGCTCGTTCAGACGCACAATGTCCTCCCAGCCCTGATCAGGCAGCCAATCGCACGGCTTCTTCTTCTTACTCTTCTCCAGTGACAGGTTCCCTGTAGTGAGACGTGGAGTCAATCAGGTTATGGTCAAAACAGGAATGAGAAAATGAGAAAATGTTGCATGTTCATTATAAATCAGAGGAGCTAAGAGTGTGTGAGACAGGGAAGTAAGTCGACATTGATATCACAAGCCTTTGATTTACAGCATAAGCCAGGCAGCACAGTTCACAACAAGTTTCACATGACTTTACATTTATCTACACTGAAAATGGTGCTTTGATTTGTGAGCTTTTTTCTAAAAGTCCAGACTCTGCAGACTCGGTCTCCACCGTCACTCTGATTACCTTCGTGTGTTAATGTTGATGCTGAAATATTACAGTGAAGGTGGTGAATAATGAGGAGACGGAGCTGAACGTGTGTCTGTTTATTAGGAGGAGTAACGTTAGCGCGCTCGGCTAAAGTGTTTGGGAAATGGAGACTGAAATTGGAGAGCGGCGACACTCTGATAAACAGCAGGGGGCGCTCTCACAGTATACTAATAACTAATTGATTATTTTAATTACGTACTGATGTTTCAGCTGCGTGTGTATGGTCGGTTGCTAGGTAACAGACATTCCTAAATTAAGATCAGATTTGATTCTGTAATACAAATTCGTGAAAAATCTTATCTTGACCTTTCAGATCTTAAGACAAAAAGATAGGAAGTTTCTGTAACACGGCCCCAGATTTGAAAAGACCCAGTTTCTGTGTCCATGCAGTACTGAATACATCAGATCTGTGTCATATTTAGAAAAACAATGGACTTAAGAGCCTAGGAAAAAGAGACATAGAGAAAGAGAGTGAGAGAGAGAGAGAGAGAGAGAGAGACAGAGGAAGAGATAATTGTGTGAAATTAATCTGTTTGACATCTTAGACATTTTACTTGTCTGAATCCTGATGTGCTTCTCCAGCATCTCACCTTTAAGAAAGAACTCGAGCTCTTCCTGAGGAGCGCGGCCCTCGGCCTGCTCGATCTTTATGGTCATGTTGAAGGAGAAGAGCAGCTTGTGTCTCTCAAACAGCCCTGCGGAGCAGTACAGAAGAGTCACACTACCTTAAAGCAACATGAGATTTTGACACAAATTCCCCCACCCGCTGCACACCATCATCAAGGACAAGAGGAGCATGTTTAGTGGCAGGTTGCTGTCACAGAGCTGCTCAACCGACAGACTCAGGAGATCTTTTGTCCCTCGAGCCATCAGGCTCTTCAACTCCTCTCAGTGGGGCCAGACGTGAAGAGAGAGGACTGAATTTTTAATGCTAAATTACAGGTTTATTTTATCTATCTGCACATCTGGACACCTTACTGCACACCTTATCACACATTTTGCACATCTGGACACTCCACACGTGGACACTTTATTTCAGTACCAATATCTGCACATATTTATTCAGTATTGTCATTATATGCTGTTACTTTTGCTTTACTTTTGTTTTTAGTGCTATTCTTACATTTTCTATTTTCTATTTTTTTTCTCTATTTTTTATTCTAAGATTATATTAAGATTATATTTGGTGAATGGAGGAGCAAAGTAAGAATTTCATTGTACAGTGTAACTGCCTGTTTCGGCTGTGCATATGACAATAAATCTCTTCAATCTTGAATCTTACCTGCACCTCCTTGTACAGTCATTATTGCACTGCATTTTATCTCAGGTTATAGATCTTATTGCATATTTTTTGTATATTTTTAGTTGTATAAATGCCTGTAGATACGTTTTTTTGTATATATTCCTCTTTTTATATTGTACCACACTTATAATTACAACTGTCCCGTGTTGTGTGACTGCTAGTGGCTGCTACATTTCCTTCGCGATCAATAAAGTATCCGTCTATCTCTCTATCTCTCTATCTATATCTCCCCCTTTAAAAGGCCCAATCCCATTTTACATATCTATCTATCTATCTATCTATCTATCTATCTGAGAACCCACTTAAAGGCCCAATCCCATTTCACCCCTTGCCCCTACCACTTAGCCCAACCCCTCCATTTCACGTCTAGGGGTAGGGTGTCCTGATTCTTGTTGAGATAGAGGGGTGGGGTGAAGTGTTAGAGCTACATGACCCTCCAAACTGAGGTTTTTCAGAGACTCCAAATAGAGTCATATGAGAAAAAGGAAAACCAGCAAGATGGCTGAACAAGAGACCAAAGAAACCCACAAATTTTCTTAGTTAAAAAGTATGATAACCATTGTATTCTCTTAGTTCCCTGCCCCCATTGTATGCTATTGGCTGACGCATGACAACGTTTGATAAAATCAATGCCAAGAGATGCGCTTCTGACAGATACCAAAAATCCTTGTGATCTAAGATTACATAAACCGTCTACCTCACAAATAAAAGCATCTGCTAAATATGCAAACGTGACAACGTAAGTTGTTTTATCTTGTCTACTTCACTGTTTTATTTTACTTTGATAAAAAAAGACTGAAATGAGATGAAGAATTAAAGAAGTGTTAAATAGATTTAAATAGATTTTTGGAGGAATTAAAAGTAATCAGTCACAAAACAGTTATAATTTTTAATTCTCGCAAAAGAATCAAAATCTCAAGAAACGTAAGAATCGCATTTTGAGGCCTGTAGCAGTTCAAACCTGTACTCACCAGTGCAGCCGTAGTTGTAGACGTTGTGAGTGAGTGTGTTCATGATGTTCTTCAGTCTCTTGGGCAGGATGGAGTCCGGCAGGGATTTACGAAGTGAGTAGTCGAACACCTCCAGGAAGGAGGCCAGTGAGTACTGGTACATGCTGTTCACCAGGGCCATTTCAGCCAAGACGAAGAACAGGATGGCCCCGCGCTTAGCTGCTGGACGGTAGCCGTCACGCAGCTTATCGATGTCCACTGATGTGTTTTGAGCTAGCTTCAGTTTCTCAAAGACCTGGTGGATTAATGTGAATGAATCAGAACACTGCCAAAAAATGCTATAAACATTTTATGAATATTGTCGCTGACGTAAACAGGGCTAACTTCTTAACCGTCTTCTTAACGAGACTTTCAACATTCATCATGAAGATTTTCAAAAAGCAGCTGATGTTTTCACATTGTGTGAAATAATAATAAAAAAAAATTAATTATGAGGTTTTGATATTGCAGTGATCGTCTGTAAAATTTAGATATTTCAATAGATGTTATTTATATTATGATAAAAAAATATATATATTTTTCAGTGTCAAACTGTGGCTATTGGAGCTAGGCCTTCAGTTTAGGCCATCAATGTCAAATTATGCTAAAAAACAAAAACTAAACAAACAAAAAAAAAATAAACAAACAAAAAACTCTGCAACAAAGCTAATTTGCAACAATTGCGCCCCTAGGGGATTTCTAATACTATGTTAGCACTAAGCCAGGGGGGTCAAACTCAACCAGCAAAAGGGCCATATTAAAAAACTCTCAGCAAATCTGTGGGCCAGCTGTGTTTTTATTTCATTTTTACTTAACATTCTGCCATGACCCCAACTGGCCATTGTTGATTCAAAATATGTCAAAACTGCAACAGCAAAACAGGCATTAAATACTTATTCAAAAATAATTATAAATAAAAAAAAAAGGTTTTAGGTATTTTTTTAAAACTGCCTATTTGCTTGAACTAGACACCCGGCATCTTTTCTTTTTGTGTAACTGCTGGCCCAGAGATTGTTGCTGGGGGTCGGAACGCACACTATGTTGCAGTGCACACTGGGGACTGTAGTGCATCTCAGGGTGAAACAGGCTAATAATAATGGAGAATTAAAATAATTTCATGGGTGAATAGGACTGTTTCATGGGCCTGCCTTGGCCCGCGGGCCTTGTGTTTGACACATGGGCGCTAAGATTTTGGCCATTCTAGATTAAACACAGACATTTGAAACTTGTAAAAGACATTCCATATGTTTTAGTTGAAGCTTTTAACAGACATTAAAATGTATTTCAGCTTATATGTTTCAGTTTTACAGCGACTCTTTCAGAAAAGAGCCCTGGCACAGAGCTGCCGCCGCGATTTTCCATTCCGAACAACTAACACAAACCTGCTTAGACTACGGCTCATAACTTCCAGAAGGCCCCAACCATTGTAAATTTAGAAGCTGATTGGTTTATTCTTCTGTCATTAATTATGTTAGCGGTGAATATAATGTGTAAGGCTTTCCAGCTCGTGAAGTCCAAACCAATGGAAGAGCTCACTTTATCTACCCAGATAAAACAGTACCACAGAGAAAACAACGCTGAATGGAAAACAGATTAAACTGCACTTTGTGTGTGCGTGTGTGGCGCTGGATGGACAAACTGACCTCGCTAGCTTTGGACTTGGTCTCCTCGAGGGTGTGGACGAGTTCAACGTTATCCAGCATGTTTCCTGTGGAGGTGGCCAGCTCTCGGAGCAGAGAGTCCTCCAGATCTTTGAGGAGCCGCTTGTTCTCGCTGGTCTCCTGTATCAGACGCTCCCTCTGCTCTTCCAGCTCCTTCCGCTCAAAGCCCACGATCACACTCAGCAACTGATCCTCCAGACCCTTCAGAGTGACTGAACAAACATAAACATCAAGAACAACAGCTTCAGGACAGGATCTATAAAAATTAACTGCCACTATCCACAAATAGTGACCCTTAGAGGTCACAGTTACTGCTGACAATAACAAAAGCATGTCTGTAAGTAGGAGATATTTTATTATGACTTTAATTGGCAAAATGAATTTATAATTTTTTATTTATTATTTACTATTTATTGTGCATAAAGTAAATTATTCTTCATATTTTTACCATGTTTTTGTCACCGAGATCAAAATAAACAGAACAAATCTGAAAAACTGTGAATGTGAATCAAAGGTAAATGTAGCTATGTGTGGTGTTCAGGTCTGTGGGACCCATTTTTAATGTTTTTTTAAAAGAAAAAATGATGTGATTTATTATTATTTCATCCTCAGATTCTTGGTCTTTGCTCATTTTCTGTGAAGAACATATAAAATAACCCATTTTCAGTGTCTTCACTCTGTTCACCCCCCACACATTTATACCACACATGTGGTGTTGGGCTGAACCTGCGGGGAGTAAAAGTGTGGAGGTGCTGTGTCCTTCACTCTGTTCTCCTCCTACATGGCCTGCTGTTAGTGTGTGTGTGTGTGTGTGTGGGGTGGACAACATGGACAGGCTGCTGACTGGCTACAGCTGCTAAAGGAGAACCCTACGCTGGACACTTGTGATATTTTAAACATCTGGGATTTTTACATAAACTGTTATGGCTGTATTGATTTAAAACATACAATAATGTGGTGGGACAAACAGACCACTGAGTAACAAACACATCAACACCACACAAGGGTTAAATGCAACAGCAGAATAACAGTAACCACTCGCAACTTCTAAGGCTGGCTTTACTCAGGGAAACATTTAAGGAAACTTTAGTTGACTGAAACCAGGGATGGGCAATTTGACGATATTTTATTGTCATATGCTTTTCTGAGCATATTGTGGATACCATCAATATTCACTTAAGGAACACTGTCCAACTGCATGTTTCAGTACAAAGTGAGCATAATTAGACCTGTTTAAGTGGATTTGGATTGAAAAACACCGAATAAAAGTCACTGTAGTTGTAGGTTTATTATTATTATTATAGTATTTTTATATGTGGCACTACAGGTTCTATTTTGTATGTTCCAACATATTAAATCTCAGAAAAATTAAATATCTTTTTTTTTTTTAATTTTACCCCGATTTTCTCCCCAATTTAGTCGTAGCCAATTCCACCCCGCTAGTTAGGACTCCCCCAATCACACGATGCTATCAAAGCTAGGAGGGCGAAGGCTAACACAGGCTTCCTCCGAGAACTGTGAAGCCAGCCACCGCTTTCTTTTTCAGCTGCTGCTCACGCAACGTCACTGGACAGCTGAATGCGCTCGGAGGAAAGCGCCAACCGCCAGATCTGTTACGTCAGCTAACAGACGCCTGCGCTGACTAGCATCGCGCTGAGTGAGTGATGGGGGGAGAAGGGCAGCCATCCCACCCACCCAGAGAGAGCGAGGCCAATTGTGCTCTCTCGGACTCCTGGCTACGGATGGCTGTAGCATCACCAGGGATTGAACTCGCGATCTCCTGATGAGAGGGCCAACGCTTAGACGGTTGCGCCACTTGGGAGCCCAAAACTAAATATCTTGATACTTGAAGTATCATGATATATTAGTTTTGCCATATTGCCCACTCTTAATTGAAACCTACATTAAACCTACACTTGAGTTGCATAATGTAAAGCATCTTGCAACTCATTTGAAACTCAGCCGCAACAGCTGCAAGTTTTCATGAAACAGCCGATCAAAAAGCCAATAATGCATCATGTAATCACGTCAAACAACATACCCTCAAACAAGTGACTTCACTGGATGTCATGAAAACAAACATAAGTTTCTTGAAGCCAATGTTTCTGTAACCAGCTGCGTTAACTAGCCAGCTAACGCTAACAGCTGTTTAAACGTCTGTTTATGCCATTGTTAATTCTTCTTTAGCTGCTGTTTTCATGATCCAGGTAGCCAGATGCACCTTCTCCTCTCTTGATGTTCCCTAATTTCAGATTCATTTGGGATCCAAAGGGTGAAAATTACTACAGAAAAGGAGATTCGAACTGAGAAGTGATGAACATGCTGTGCTTTTAGGACAGGATGAGAAAATGCCACAAATGTGTAAAGTACACCTCACAGATGACATTATAGATAAAAAATACAAGCTGCTCTATCTATGGAGTCTTTTAACGTGTTGCATGCAACTTTGTTTTTTGCATTGCATGGAAATTGTGTTGCAGGCAACTCAAAACATGCAACTACATGAAAGTTTCAGTGTGTAAAGCTAGCCTAACAGGTACTGTTACACAGGTGTACAGTAAATTTCCATTACACCAAAGATCCAGCTTGACTTACTGACAGGCAGCATTAAGTTCAGGACCATTTTCACATCAAAACAAAGACCAACGCACTGCAAGAGCACCACAGTCATTCTGTTCCTCACCAGTATAGTTGATGACCATGGCTTTGCCAAACACAGCAGGTGAGTATTTGGGGTTGGCCAGTTTGGTGTTGAGGTACAGTTTGAAGTTTGGATCGTAGTCCACCTCCTTGTCGCCGAGCACGATGACCTGGCGACCCTCAGCCCCTTTAACGTTCTTCTCCAGGACGTTATCGATGACCGGGTCTATGTACTCATCCACGTCTTGGAAGAGGAAAGGGAAGCCATATTTGATGGCCATCTCCAGCTGCTTCAGGAAGTCTGGATCATTGAATGAGGAGATCTGTAAACATAAATACAGGCCATTGATTACACTTAATAACTTCATAACTATTTTGCAGATCTTTTATTTTTTAAAAGCTTTCATATTAACTCTTAGAAGTCTAATTATTACTTGCTACAAATTATTATTTGTTATACTATTTAAACTACACACATTATAATACGAATTATATTTACATTTCATTCATATTCCTTTTGACTTTTGCTTTGATGTCAGTCCTTCAAAACTGTATACATAATAATTTTTCCTCTACTACTTATAAACACCAGTGTGGTATGAATTAAAAGTTTAGAATCTGCACTTTTTATACAATTTCTCTGCTTATTTCAATGAGCTACGAGTCAGAAATGAACAATATAAAACTACAGCATGCTTTTGTTATCACTGGTGAGTTCTAAAGAGTTAAAAGATAAAAGATAAAAGGCCGCTGATACTTCTGAGTTCAGTTCTTTCAATAATATGTTGTCCCTGCTCTAGAGCAAAGCACATCTCTGTAATCTATCTGCAAAATACAGCACAGCAAGGCTGGCTACATGGTTACAAGGTGAAACTTTCATAAATGTTTTAAGTTGCATGCAGCATAATTTCCATGCAACTTGACAGTTATACAAAATAATTTTATCTCATTGTATCTTTTTTGCTACAGAAAGTCATCAGAGACGTGTCATTTATATTTGCATATTTGTAGCATTTTTTTGGCTTTGTATAATCTGTCTATCTATCTATCTATCTATCTACCTATCTATCTATCTATCTATCTATCTATCTATCAGTGGTTCTTTACAATATATTTGACGTCTTTAATCTGAACTGTATATGTTAAGCCTCATCCTGTCCTAATACACTGTTAAGTTCATCTTAGTTTTCTCTCTTTCATTTTTTTATCCTATTCATCCCAAAAGAAATCTGCACTATGTGTAAAATTAGGGGGCATCAACAGAGGAGAAAACAAAAAGAGGTCAATCACAGATACACAGATCACCATAACCGCAGGGTAACAAAGAACACTAAACGCCCAAGCTGTGAGATTAGCTGGCTAGTTAAACCAGATTAGCTTTTGGAAACAAAGCTGACTAACCATCCAATAAACCATCTTCTGTTTTATTTTCTTGCCTATTGATCCAGTGAAATCAGCTGTTTGAAATTATGCCGTTTTACGTGATCATGTAATGCATTATCAGCGTTTTTGATAAATTTTAATAAAGTTCCATTAAATTAGAGGCTTTTTGTGGCTGATATTTCAAAAAAGTTGCAAGTCAGTTGCAGGACATTTTACATTATGCAACTCAAATGAAATTTAGTTTCATGTTAGTGTCAAGCAACTAATGTTGCATGAAAGTTTCACAGTGTAAAGCCAACATAACACAAATGCTACCGCATGGCAGCAAATTTAATAGTGTTTTCAGACTTTGAGGTTGTTCTTCTCCTCCTTCTTCTTGATCCAGTTGAGGGCTTGCTGCTGGGGGTCGATGCACAATGGGAACCGGCTGGCTCTGGTGGTCAGGATGCCGTTCTGCACCGACAGCTCATCAGGGGGGAGACCCTCTGACCCCCATCTATGGCAAGACATACATGTTGGATATTTAGATCACATGCACACTTGCACACCTTTATGCGACGCATCGTGCCTAGACCCAAAGCTGTGCGACTTCTCTAAATTTACAGTTACTTTGAAATGGATATTAATCTTTAATTGCTGAATGTGTCGGGCAGAGCAGGGCACAACCTAAAGTGGGGCAATATGTAACATGCCTTTCTATGTAGTTTCAAGAGGAACATGCTTCTGGTCATCTTCTTACACACTGACCATCTAATTAAGTACACCTACCTTGTTTCTACGCTCATTGTCCATTTTATCAGCTCCACTGACCATATAGGAGCACTTTGTAGTTCTACAGTTACAGACTGTAGTCCATATGTCTCTCTGCATACTTTGTTACCCTGTTCTTCAATGGTCAGGACCCTCACAGAGCAGGTACTATTTGGGTGGTGGGTCATTCTCAGCACTGCAGTAACACTGACGTGGTGGTGGTGTGTTAGCGTGTGTTGTGCTGGTACGAGTGGATCAGACACAGCAGTGCCGCTTTTCAGAGTTTTTAAACACTGTGTCCACTCACTGTCCACTCTATTAGACACTCCTACCTTGTTGGTCCATCCTGTAGATGTAAAGCCAGAGACGATAGCTCATCTGCTGCTGCACATTTTGGACTATTCTCAGTCCAGCAGCCTATTTCTGTCTCACCAGCACAACAAACGCTAACACAAAGGTACTTAAGTCACAGACTTCACTCCTGTATTATTTCAGTCTCACTCTTGGTGGCTGTAATGTAGCATCATTTTGAAGCATATATAGAAATCACAGTGAGAGCTATCCAGGCTAAAGTACAACCTCTACACAGGGGGTTAGTTTAACACACTGTTAAAACTAAGACCCCCGAAGTAAACAACAAAACATCCATATACAAAATGTATTACAGATGCCATGTTTCTAAAATAAATTTCAGTTTTATCATGCGGATATTTTGATATCTGCTGTTCTACTTGGTGGTTAAAAATAAATGTGCCGGTGTTTGACACATCTTCTTTTCACTAATCATATGTATTTTGTTGAATAAATACATATATACACCGATCAGGCATAACATTATGGCCATGTTCTTGTTTCTACGCTCATTGTCCATTTTATCAGCTCCACTTACTATATAGGTGCACTTTGTAGTTCTACAGTTACAGACTGTAGTCCATCTGTTTCTCTGCATACTTTGTTAGCCCCCTTTTACCCTGTTCTTCAGTGGTCAGGACCCCCATGGACCCTCACAGAGCAGGTACTATTTGGGTGGTGGATCATTCTCAGCACTGCAGTAACACTGACGTGGTGGTGGTGTGTTAGTGTGTGTTGCGCTGGTCCGAGTGGATCAGACACAGCAGTGCTGCTGGACTTTTTAAACACCTCAGTGTCACTGCTGGACTGAGAATAGTCCACCAAGCAAAAATATCCAGCCAACAGCGTCCTGTGGGCAGCGTCCTGTGACCACTGATGAAGGACTAGAGGATGACCAACACAAACTGTGCAGCAGCAGATGAGCTATCGTCTCTGACTTTACATCTACAAGGTGGACTGACAAGGTAGGAGTGTCTAATAGAGTGGACAGTGAGTGGACACTGTGTTTAAAAACTCCAGCAGCACTGCTGTGTCTGATCCACTCAGACCAGCGCAACATACACTAACACACCACCACCACCTCAGTGTCACTGTAATAATAATTTACTTATTTACATACACACTCATATATATATATATATATATGGACAGTTGAAAATGCTCTCGTACCTGCTGACTTCCACCTCGTCGGTGAGCAGGCTCTCTAAGCGGAAGGGCCGGCTGAGGGGGATTCCTCTCTCCATCACATCTTTCTGCCACACCTCGTACACCATCTCGTTGCGGAAGTCCCAGCTGAAGGCTCCCTCGTAGCTCAGGAAGGCGGCGCAGATCAGGCAATCTCCCAGCAGACGCACGCGCCTCTTCTTCAGCTCCTCAAGGTCCTCTGTCCAGCTGCAGTAAAGAGAATGACCTTCCTTCACTATGAGAACACAATCTGATCCAGGATTAATACCAGTCCTGGACAGATGCATCACTACACCTTAGCCCAATTAACATAGCACTAAACTTAAGGTGGCACTGAACTTAAGGTGGAACTGCAATTAACATAGCACTAAATTTAAGATGGCACAGAATTTTAGGTAGCACTAAAATTAAGGTGGCACAGAATTTTAGGTGGAACTAATTTTAAGGTGGCACTGAATTTAAGGTGGAACTGCAATTAACAGTGCAATAAATTTAAGGTGGCACAGAGTTTAAGGTGGAACTCCATTTTAAGGTAGCACTGAAATTAAGGTGGCACGGAATTTAAGGTGGAACTACATTTAAGGTGGCACTGAACTTAGGATGGAACTGCAATTAACAATGCACTAAATTTAAGGGGCACAGTATTTAAGGTGGAACTCCTTTTAGGGTAGCAATAAAAATTAAGGTGGCACAGAATTTAAGGAGGAACTCCGTTAAAGGAGGCACTGAAATTAAGACACCTGATTTAACTCCTTAGCTATTATTCAAGGATTTCATGAGCTGAATCAGGATGTTGGAGCAGGAAATAGACGCACAGAGCTGATGTACTGTACTAGTATTAGCACCAATACAAACCTTATTAACCCGAAATAAACTGAGTGTCTTGCAGGCAATGCAACTCATTGAAATCTGCCAAGGATTTAAGGTGTGTGCATGTTCATGTTGGCCGCAGTGAAACGTATCGGTGTGCAGAATCAGAGCTTTCTGTACACTACCATGTTTCTATCACTGTACAAAAAACAAACAAGGCTTTCTGTATTGTTGGATGCACATTATTTTTTTATATTCCTAATCATGTTTTTGCTTCCTATTCGTATTTTTATGACTTAAACTGTGACAGAAGTAAAAATCTGATTTTTCTGCTTTTTTTTAATCCCATTTTTACATATCATATTATAAATCATGGTATTAATGGAGCATATTAAGAGGCAGAAATAGCCATGTTTTTGCATTGGCCTTGTTCAGATGTCAGTCAGATGTGACCAATCCAAATTTTATACTGTGTCTTTGTCAGTGACATTATAAATTGTAATATTGCGATTTTATAAACCTTCTAAGACAGCATAATTTAAACATTTGTACAATCCTAAAAAGAATTTCGCTGTAGACCATCTCCACTATGATTCAGTGACCTCTATTGTGTATTTATGTTTCTGTACTTATGCTCATATTTTTATGTGCTAGTACGAAACACAAATGACTCGAACTGTGCAGTGGCTCTCTGTGGGTGAGAATGGAGATCTACTAGCTGTATGGTTTATTTACAGTCCTAATCAAGCACATCTGATCTTGTTAATGCTCCAAAATGAAAGCCTTTAAACACATCTGAACATCAGAATCAGCTGAATTAGCTGACCGTTCATTCTCTGATCCGAGGCCTGAGATGAGTTTGTCCGCAGCGATGAGTCTGCGCTCCATGAGCTCGGCCTCCTCCTGCAGCAGCTGCTTCTCGCCCATAGCGGCACTGTACTTGTCCCCCAGAGCTCCCAGCTCCTTCTGGATGGCCCCCAGCTCGCTCTGGATCCGCTCCAGCTCACGCTTGCTCTGGAAGAAGTTCTTCTCCAGCTTGGCCACCTGGAAAATGGCAAAAGTTACAATAACTGCTGCGGCAAGTGTGAGAACCCTGTGAATTCTGTCATTAAGGCTAACTCCTCGGTAAAGAAGCGTGAACCCTGTGAATTCTGTCATTAAGGCTAACTCCTCGGTAAAGAAGCGTGAACCCTGTGAATTCTGTTATTAAGGCTAACTCCTCAGTAAATAGACGTGAACCCTGTGAAGAGGGGGGCTCTGTGAGGATCCATGGGGGTCCTGACCACTGAAGAACAGGGTAAAAGGGGCTAACAAAGTACACAGAGAAACAGATGGACTACAGTCTGTAACTGTAGAACTACAAAGTGCACCTATATAGTAAGTGGAGCTGATAAAATGGACAATGAGCGTAGAAACAAGGAGGTGGTCATAATGTTATGCCTGATCTGTGTATATTTATTTATTGTTATGAATGGCTCTAGATAAGAGTGTCTGCTTAATAATATAGAATATTTAAAAATATGAAATGTAAAAATATTTTCTGAAATTTTGCCATAGCTATGTAAAATGAATCCAGCATCCATCTTTAGAGTTCTCACCTGGTTTACACTCACTGCACTTCATATACGGATTATAGTGTAAAAATGCAAAAAAACCCACAACTATCGGTTTCTATTAAAGCAGCAGAAAGTCTCAAACCTTCTCTCTCTTGGGTTTAATCTCTCTGGCCACATCGCAGTAGCCCATTACAGCCTCCACAAATTTCAGCATGCCAGAGCCAGCTTTACTGATAGCCTGCATCTCCTCAAACGTTGTGTTCAGGTTCTTCAGGAAGCCTGGAGAGAAGAGAAGACAAAGGCACTAGTACTGCAGGCACAGAGGGCTCTCTCATCTGCTCCTCAGCCTTCAAGTATTCTTGTGTACAAAATTTAGTTTATATTTTGAGCATTAATATTTAATTTTTTATCATTATTGTTAATATTATTGATGATATTGATGATACTTTTGGTGATTTAATCTTAGATTAACCATTTTCAAGGTTGTTAAAACCATGCTCAAATTCACATACAACCACATTTGTACGGAGCCCCGGAGGGGACAGAGGTAAAAAAAAATAATAATTTGAATGAACATTTTGCTGTTCGTACGCCCCTTTTTTTTATTCGTGGTCAAGATTTATTAATTTGTTCCCACAATTAACAGCTTGTTCTCTCGTTTTCTTTACTTCGTGGGTGGTGGGTAGTCAGAGTTTATTGTCTTCATTTCTCCACCAAACTGCAGCTGCTCTGATGAATCTGTGGGCCGTTCGCTGTAAAGAGGAGCTACAGTTTCCTCATGATGCCCCCAAATCAAAAACAAACCTAATGAGCATCTCTGTCCATTATCTCATCAATCTAACACATCAAAACCCATCAGACAGTGTTAGGGAGGATAATTAACATGGACTGTATCTACTACATTTATTTTGTTTGCACACAAATAAAAAACAAAAAAACATGCATTCAATTAAAAAGAAAACTTGCCCCCTATGAAAAGAAAACGAAGAAAATTGCAATCACAAATTAAAAAAACGTTCCCACGAAGTAAAGAAATCGTGCGCACAATTAAAAGATAACGAGAGAATGAATTGTTAATCGTGAGAATAAATTAAAAAATCATGACCACGAATAACAGAAAACGTGTATGAACTGCAAAATCAACTCAAATTAATTATCTTTTTCCTCCGTACATTTGAGTTTGTGTCATACAGACACAGATACATCAAAGGTGAAACTAATGAACTGTGAAATCTGTACACCACCATTTAATGATCAGATTTGACTATATAATGCTTTAATGAATAAACACCATTTAAACACTATTGAACTCAAAAAGCAAAACAAGGGATTAACAACTGTGACTGTTTATCACAGCGCATCTCACCTCGGACGGTCTTAACCTGGCCACCACTAATGGAGTCGCAGTCCATTTCCATGAGGGAGCGCAAGAAATTGGCCTCCGACATCATGCCCTTGGCTGTCTTCCAGCTGATCTCCTTATAGCCGCGCATGACCAGGATACACTCACACACCACCTGTACCTGCTTGGGTGGCTTGGCGAAGGATCTGCACACCATGGGGGTTAAATAGTTAAACAAACAACAATAACAACAAAACAATTCTGCATGAAGATAGCTTTGATTTTTATACTTTGATAGCTGGCATTCAATCACACACTGAATAAGGGCAAATATACAATATTATAGTTTACAGTTTTGTAAATGAATGTTTTAAAACCCAGTTAATTAATGATGGCACCTACCCCCTGTGTAGGTTTTGTGCTGACCCAACTAATACTTAAGCAATAGAACACAAGAGGGAGTGTGTTATCGCAAAATAACATCACGGCTGTGATTCGGTCGCCGTAGATCATCACAGCCGTGATGTTATTGGCGATAACACACTCCCTTTTGTGTTCTATTGCTTTAATACAACAGTTAAATAAATAAAGCAATAAATTAATAAACTGGGCCGTGAACGCGGCGTTTAATATGTTTTAATGTTCTCAGTTCCTTCACCAAATTATAGTTCCTTAACAAGCAGCTCCGCCCACTCGCTGCTCAGTCTGCTGTAAGCCTCGCCTTTTGAAGTTCAGACTGAGCCATAAAACTGCTGCAATATCAAGTTCAGCTCAGTTTTGTCAGTTTTTGCCAGATCAATATTAATGTTGTTTTGTTCCAGCCAGTCTGTAAAGCATCTTACAGCCCGTTTAGTTTGGCGAATGGTGTTCATTTCTGGCTGATTCCAGGTTGTTTAGCTGTTCTTCTGTCACAGCTGTCGACTGAAAAGCTGCTCAGTGGTGACGACAGTTTGGGAATTTAGTGTCGTCTCATCTTCAGAGTCTGACCAAATCAGCTGTCGGTCAAATGTGATCTTAAAAGTGTCCATTTTCTGTTTGTGGCAAAGTAAGAAGTAAAAACTTTCAAATGACTTGAGCGTCTCCTACAGCTGTCAAAGTCGTTGCTTAGCAACAGCATCTCAGCGGAGTGATATAGTGATTGTGAAAAAAATATGATGTTATGGTGAAATAACAGCACAGTTAGAACGCCTCTCAGCCAATCAGCTTGCGTGGCCGGAACTAACTGTTGTATAATGTACCACGTATTATTACTACCTTATGCTGGATTAACACATTACTAACTTTGCACTGATTCAAAACTAATACACATTTAGTTAACACTCTGTTTGGTTTACTCAGGCCTACCTGATCTCAGTTACGTCAGACTTGTCCAGGTCCTGCAGGGCGATGCGAGCCGCCTCCAAAGCAGGCAGGGCCTCAGCCAGGGAGCTCTCAGCATCCTTCTTCTCCACTGCAATCACTTTATTCTGCTCTTCAATCTCTTTAGCTTTTTCTTCCGCTAGTGTTTTCTTCTCCTCAGCTTCAAGAGGAAAACAGAGTAATCAATGTCAGATTCATACTGGATTAAAATCGCTCCACAATTATGACCGTCAGACTGTAAAACTACACACACTGCAGATTCATACTGGATTAAAATCACTCCACAATAATTACCATCAGACTGTAAAACTACACACACTGCAGATTCATACTGGATTAAAATCAGTCACAATTATTATCGACTGTTAAAACCACGGGATTAGAATCATAAACAGTATGACAGAAATCATGAATGTAATGTAAACTTAAATTACAACCCAGGCAAAAGCAATCCAGCTCCAACAGGCCTTTACGTTAGAAATGAGAATACATTTCTGATTAGGTCTACAGCCGAATCAAACATATGAAGACAAAAAGGTGCTTGTGACCATCTGAGTGCAGTTGCTCTGCTGACACAGTAAGTATGCATACTGACCAACAGCTGTGTTTGTGGAGATCTCCTGCAGTAGACTCTCACAAGCTGAGGACTTCTCTGCCAAAACCACTTTCTGCTCTGCCAGTTTAGTGTTGAGCTCAGCGAGCTGTACGCTGGCCTCCTTCAGCTTATCCAAACCTCCCTCCAAACGTTTACACTGAGCTAGAACACACAAAGACCAGACAGTTTAAACACACACAGACACACAGTTACACTGAGGAAAATAATGTGCTGAATTTACTTGATTCAAATGTGTACCATCACATAAATTACACTACATCAACACAATTACTGCCAAAATTAAGTCAAATTACAGACAGTACAGATGATGTGATATATTTCATACACCGACCAGGCATAACATTATGACCACCTCCTTGTTTCTACGCTCATTGTCCATTTTATCAGCTCCACTTACTATATAGGTGCACTTTGTAGTTCTACAGTTACAGACTGTAGTCCATCTGTTTCTCTGCATACTTTGTTAGCCCCCTTTTACCCTGTTCTTCAGTGGTCAGGACCCCCATGGACCCTCACAGAGCAGGTACTATTTGGGTGGTGGATCATTCTCAGCACTGCAGTAACACTGACGTGGTGGTGGTGTGTTAGTGTGTGTTGCGCTGGTCTGAGTGGATCAGACACAGCAGTGCTGCTGGAGTTTTTAAACACCTCAGTGTCACTGCTGGACTGAGAATAGTCCACCACCCAAATATCCAGCCAACAGCGTCCTGTGGGCGGCATCCTGTGACCACTGATGAAGGACTAGAGGATGACCAACACAAACTGTGCAGCAGCAGATGAGCTATCGTCTCTGACTTTACATCTACAAGGTGGACTGATAAGGTAGGAGTGTCTAATAGAGTGGACAGTGAGTGGACACAGTGTTTAAAACTCCAGCAGCACTGCTGTGTCTGATCCACTCGTACCAGCGCAACACACACTAACACACCACCACCACGTCAGTGTTACTGCAGTGCTGAGAATGATCCACCACCCATATAGTACCTGCTCTGTGAGGGTCCATGGGGGTCCTGACCACTGAAGAACAGGGTAAAAGGGGGCTAACAAAGTATGCAGAGAAACAGATGGACTACAGTCTGTAACTGTAGAACTACAAAGTGCACCTATATAGTAAGTGGAGCTGATAAAATGGACAATGAGCGTAGAAATGAGGAGGTGGTCATAATGTTATGCCTGATCGTTGTACATGTGGAACTGATGTACAGATGTGAAGCAAGGAAATTTAAAGGGCACATTACAGATACCACCTTTCTAAAAAAACAAAGAAAGAATACACAGAGGCGTTCCCTCACCGAGGATGTACTGGTCCTTGTCCTCCAGCAGGCTGGAGTAAGTGCTGATGAAGTCCAGGTAGTTTTTGGGGGTAACATAGTTACTGCGTCGAAGCTTCTGCTGGAAAAGTTTGCTGTACTCTCCCACAGAGCCATGCACCATGCACACATGACCTATCACTGCCTCTGTATGAGCCTCAGGAATCATGGGGCTCTCACCTTTGGCAAAAACAAGACCATCTTCATCCAACAGCTGCATTTACACTGTTTTAACTTAAAAAAAAGTGACTTAGATGCCTTAATTTTTAACTGCTTTAACTTTGCACTGCAAAAAATTATCTTAATTCAAGTCAATATGCGATATTCCTCATTATGAGATTATTTTATTTGTTCGTAGATGCATTAGGATCTCATTCCCACGCTTTACTAAGTCGTATCCACGACTTAATTATGTCATCCCCACACCTTACTAAGTTGAATCCACACGTTATTTTTATTTATACAGGATGTCACCAGCGGGGCTCCGAATTCTGCCCTGTGTGTATTGAATTCTTTTCACACGTTCAATCACAACTTCAACTGCTAGAGTTTCTTTTGACTTTCCATAGACACGTGGACAATGGTGTCCAACACTAGGGGTCCGTATGAAGAGCCCACACAGATCATTGTCATAACATTGTACAGATATTGAAGACGTACCCAAAAATGACTGAGCCACCGCATGTAAAGCCTGGGGAGGCCATGGCAGGAACCAGTCGATGCCAGTGTTGTTCACCAGCCCTGAAGAACACGAACACACACACACACACACATGCACATATACATATATATATATATACATATATATATATATATATATATAGTCGGATGCTAAAGTTCTTCACATTTTAATGCACAATTACTCTGCATTTCCTGTATTTATTTAGCATATCAGGGAAAAATGTTACGGTACATTTTATATTTTACGCTTTTTTTCCGAAGTGTTAAGGTCATTTTTAGGTTTGTTCCCTGTAGAGGATGTGTTAACTTATATTCACTTCCAAAATCAACAAAACATGCCATCTGACTGCACTAAAGTGGTGAAATCAATCATGTGACTACACCACATTATAAACAGTCATGGCTATAAACAGTGAGCGGAGTGGATTAACTTGATTTTGTCTGAACTGAGGAGTTGAAATTTGGAGTGGTAGCGTTTGCTCATGATTCACGATCTATCCAAGGCTCACTAGCCCATGACTCTATCATATGCTAATGGCCCACAATATAATTACATTGTAATGGTACACTTGTTAAATACTCTATTAACATCAGTACAACTGTGTACTGATCCCTGACACGCTTCTTAATGTATTGTTTTTTTTTGGCTCATATATTCTGTTAACTTTAGAGGCCGGAAACTACGACAGTAGTGAAAAAACAGAAGAATATGGAGAGCACGTTGAGTGTGTTTTCTCTCACGTTTGAGCAGTGGGCAAGTGGTGAGCGGGATATTACAAAACCCAGAGCGGAGTGATTATATACGGCTTGAAGTATGAACTTGCTGCTGCTCCACTCCACTAACCTACCCTGATTATAAAAGAATGGCACCCAGTCGATGTATAAACACTTACAGCAAAGCACTGGTACTTCTGCATACTAACACATTACTAACTCTACACTCATCCAGAATAAACACACATTTAGTCAGCATTTTTAATGCCTACAAAAATCATAAACCAGCTGCTGTCTCTCCTGTGTTACCTGGGAAGTTCCTGCAGCGGGTTCGGAGGACGTCCCCTACCGGAGACATGCCCAGAACAATGTGCAGGTTACTGGCACTCTTGTTCACAAAGTACTGCCATACGCTCTCTTTGGAGGGTCCTGAGCCCATCTTCAGAGCCTCGTCCCGGAGCTGGTTGAGGATGGATTCCTTCTCATCGTCAGGGAACAGAGCTGGAACCATGCCTGCACACACAGACTTTCACTATGCAGCAAAAAGTGGTGCACAAAAGATGTGTCACATTTTAAAATGTGTGTTTTATTTTGTCCAATATGTTAAACTCAGCAAAGAAACTGTAGTAAAATTTACAGAAAAATGCCATATTGAAGTGTGTTCTCTGTTGATTTTCATAACTCAACAAAACATTTAATTAGACCGGGGGTGTTCAAACTTTTGCATACGACTGTATGTGTACAGTCTTACTTATATACCTACAACATAGGCTACGTTCACATTACCAGGCTGAAGTGGCACAAATCTGATTTTTTGCCCTAATGTGACTCAGATCTGATGTTTTCAGGGCTGTGTGGACACGTAAATCTGATCTTTTCAAATCCGACCTGAGACACTTTCATATACGGTCATGCGACCTTAATGTGACGCTCAGAACAGAATTCATGTGCGTTACCACGACAACAGCGCCGAACAGAAGTTAAAGCCTGTAAACGGTGGAAAAGCAGCTCATCTCACCTTTTTCTCCTTCGTCTCGCTCTAATAATGAAGCTGAGAGCTGATCAGAGTTAATTATCTTCTCAGCGAAGCTCGTTCTGCTCATTAGTTTGTGCTGATGATGCACGTGACTCATTCATGTGACGTTACTGAGTAGGATGAGCTCATGAGGGTCATTTCAGGACACCGGTTCGTCACATTAATGACAGATTTGAATCACTTACCTAAACGAGTGTGAACCATCGTCTCAGTGAGATCGGATTTGAGCAAAAAATCGGATTTGAGCAATGAGGCTTGTGATGTGAACGCAGCCATATTGGCCTGGACAACAGAGCCTTAAACCCGTTTCACTGTTGGATCAATCACTGCCTCTTGTCTTTGTCGGCCAGTGGACTACAGCTAGCTTTCATACATTATTAGTAAGCATTAGCATTTTGGGTAAATTATTCTTCTACTGGGCGGCTCGGTGGCGCAGTCGTCTCACAGCAAGAAGGGCCTGGGTTCGATTCCCCGGCTGGGCAACCAGGGTTCCTTTCTGTGTGGAGTTAACATGTTCTCCCCCGTTTCCTCTTCCGGTTTCCTCCCACAGTCCAAAGACATGCATTCAGGCCAACTGGACACGCTAAACTACCCCTAGGTGTGAGTGTGTATGTCTGTGTGTCTGCCCTGCGATGGACTGCCTTCTGCCCAATGACCGCTGGGATAGGCTCCAGCACCCCCCCGTGACCCAGAAGGATAAGCGGTTTAGAAAATGTGCGTGTGTGTATTCTTCTACCTCAACTTCTCTGAAGCCCAAATTCAAATGGGGTTTTAAAATTTTGATATAATAAAGTCTTTCAGGGGTGGACTGATGTGAAACGATGCACTGTAGAAAAACTTATCAACAGATTTTGTCTACAGTGGTGGTGATGGGAACCAGGGGTCGCAATGTCTCAATTCAAATATAGCTATTTTATTTACTACCTAGACCTACACGTCTTTTTTACATGTAATATTGACAATACTACTAATAATAACGATAATACTGTTTTTCCACACAATGTTTTGCATGTACCTTAAACCAGGTGTTCTCACTCTCAGTCGTAGTGACCCTTTGCTCTCCACACTTACGTGGCTTCTCAACTCTACACACTTGACCCAGCCAGAGTGGCGCTTGTAACCACTCTGAATGACTTTTACACATTTCAGTCATTTTATTATGTGGAAATTTCGAAAAAACGAAGGACTTTCCCTTCTTCTTCTGTAAGCTGTTTTGTATACCTGATGTCAGCATGTTGTTGATGAGCTCCAGGAAGCCCTCCTCCGCCACGTGAGCGTCAGTGAACAGAAACACTGTTTTCTTATTCTCGATGCCTAGTTTTAGGTAAAGGGTCTTCAGGTCTTCACGGAAGTTGGGCTCTGAGTAGCCTCGACTCAGCACAATCTCAAACACCTGCAGCCACAAAAGAAGAGCCGGCTCACCATTATAGGAATAACTGACAGGCACAACAAGGTTTTTTAGTTAATTACACCTGAATGTAAGACAGAAAGTATTAAACATAGACAGTATTGTGTTTTTATGTGAATTAATAATAATTTAATGGCTATAAAGTACACTGCAAAACATGGTATCTTGTGTGTTGAGATTATTGTAAGCTTTATTTAAGATTATTTAACTTATTTCTAGACATTTAGTTCTAGTTATAAGTAATTTTATTAAGTAAAATTCTCACTATATTGGCAGATAATTTTTCTTGTTTTAAGAAACGAGCTTGAAACAAGCAAAATTATCTGCCAGTATAAAACATTTCCAGAAATAAGTTAGATAATTTTATAATAAGTGCACAACCATTTCAAAATGGGAAATATTAGATAGTTCGACTAGATTTAAGATCATTTCACTTGGCAAGATACCATTTTTTGCAGTATAATTATATCATTTGATTTATCTTATTAATTCTAGTGTTTTGGTCACATGGGACAACTAATTAAAAAAAAAAAACAAGAGAAAATGCAAAATTGATAAAGAAAAATAATTCAAATACTGTTAGATGTTCATCCACTGTGTAACTACCCAAAATAATCTCACTTTATACCAATCCGGACAAATTCTGTGGCATTCTTCATATAATACCAAATTAAGTTGCTGAACATGAATGGGTTAATTCTATTTTATAACGTTCGTATTTTATGGATGTCTGTCTTTTAGTTTTTTCACCATTTCTGTTGTTATCAATGTCCTGTTTGAATTAAAACAAACCTGTGCAAGTTATTATCTAATGTACACAAAACCAAGAGTGAAAATATAGCTGATAAAGGTAAAAAGGATGTATTTTAATGGTTTATTACATCACAGCCTGCAGTGAAAGCAGCCAGTTTGGTCAGGGACTGTTTCCCGGACCCTCCCACCCCGACCAAGAGGGCGTGGCCACGGTCCATTCTGATGATGCGGTGGATTCTGGTCAGGTGGTCCAGTGCATCATCAAACAGAACCAGATTCATCCGTGTCTTGTTCTCATTGTACTCCTCCAGGATCTCCTACAAGACATATGGCAGCAGTGATTTAGAGTTTTAGTGTTCGCTTTTCTTGCCACTGGCAGAGTTAAAACTTTTAAAGGGCCTATATAATATATTTTCTTGTATTTTGTCTTTCCCTGCTGAGGTCCACTCATAACCTTTGTCTGGTTTTATGTACAAAAATAATGGCACTTCAGTGATCATTTTCCAAACTCTCTTAAAAACAGGCTGTTTTTGTTACTGTGCCTTTATATATGTAAATAAACTCTGTTCTGAATGGCTGCCTTGTATTGTGCCTCATTCAAAAAGCACTCTGGGCTGAAACACTCCTTATAACCTCAGCATGAATGAGTGTGGCTAAACTGAGGTTGGCTGAAGAAGAGTGTATGTAAATATGTGGGTTTTTTGTGACATCACAAAAGGACTGAACTCGAAACAGGCTGTTTGTACAGCTTAGTTTCCATATCGCTGTTGTCGGGAAGAAAACCTTGTATCTCCCTTTTTAACAAAATCTGAAAATACCTGTTGGCCTTTACATTGTGTGTAAATTTCAAGATGAATGGACCAAAAGAAATGGCCAAAATCTACTTATAAAAAAGTCTGGTTCCATTGACTTACATTAAAAGTAAAGTAGGTTTTTTCCTTCTCCTGTAAAGTTCTCATTTTGGAGAGGTTTTCTTCCGACAACAGCGATATAATCACTGTACAGACTGAGGAGTGAATGGTATGTCTTGAGATTTTAATAATGTCTACATACAACATCAATCTCCTTTATTTAAAAAAACAAAGTAAAGAAATCTGTTTTTACACAATATGGGCCCTTTAAGGGAGTAACTACTGTGACAAACATTACTACACTGATCACTGATCAAGAGCCAGTATTAGATGTGCTTAGCTGTGACACTGTAGCATGCCTGTACCTGGAACAGGGCTTTGCAGGCATCATAGTCCTGAATGTCCTCATAGACTCTTGGCTCAGACTCACTGAGGGCTGTTCTGTAATCTCCAAACAGGATGGGGTCTCTCATAGTAGAATCCAGGTCAGATTTGAAATGCTCTTCTATCAGGCTCTTAATGTGTCCCTGGACCTGGACATGGCAGAGCCAAAGACAGTGAGATTTAATAGCATAGACATAGTGAGAATAGGTTTTAGGGGTCATGCTCAGTTTTTTTGTACTAAAAAAAGAGTTTTTGTACTAACATTATACTCACAAAACTCCCCTGTGTTACTAAGTTATTGCCGACTGGGGCTTTAACCACTTAAAGTAAAGCCGAATTCATTTACTTGCATATTTAAGCTTTTTATCTATTAACAACTTTACATTGCTCAGTAACTACTATGAATCATTCAGTAGCTACTTCAAATTACTCAGTACTATGACTATGAACTATGACTTTGTACTATGAATCACAGAGTACCTACTCTGAATCACTCAGTACTATAAATGACATAGTAACTACTATGAATCACTCAGTATGTATTATGAATCACAGAGTACCTACTCTGAATCACTCTGTAAGTACTACAAACTACAGAGTAACTACTATGAATCACTCAGTATGTATTATGAATCACAGAGTAACTACTCTGGATCACTCTGTAAGTACTATAAACTACAGAGTAACTACTATGAATCACTCAGTATGTATTATGAATCACAGAGTAACTACTCTGAATCACTCTGTAAGTACTACAAACTACAGAGTAACTACTATGAATCACTCAGTATGTATTATGAATCACAGAGTACCTACTCTGAATCACTCTGTAAGTACTATAAATGACATAGTAACTACTATGAATCACTCAGTATGCATTATGAATCACAAAGTACCTACTCTGAATCACTCTGTAAGTACTATAAATGACATAGTAACTACTATGAATCACTCAGTATGCATTATGAATCACAGAGTACCTACTCTGAATCACTCTGTAAGTACTATAAATGACATAGTAACTACTATGAATCACTCAGTATGTATTATGAATTACAGAGTACCTACTCTGAATCACTCTGTAAGTACTATAAATGACATAGTAACTACTATGAATCACTCAGTATGTATTATGAATCACAGAGTAACTACTCCGGATCACTCTGTAAGTACTATAAACTACAGAGTAACTACTATGAATCACTCAGTATGTATTATGAATCACAGAGTAACTACTCTGAATCACTCAATAAGTACTATGAATTACTCAGTACTTCCTATGAATTATTCAGTAGCTACTATTAATTATTCAGCAATTGCTAAAAACTACTTATTATGAATATACAAACTCTGTGGAGCTGTGGAGAATTAATAGATAAAGAGGTCAGAGGAACGCACAAGCGCTTTGTCAGCTTCGTTGATGAGCCTATCATGGAACACCCTCAGGCACTCGTTCCTCCAGACACGCACAAACTGGGTCACCGTCAAGAACCTGTAAGAAGTCACAATCAGAAATCAAACAGGACAGACTACATTGATGCATTCCAATATTTTTTATATTTGGAATATACATCACAATGTTTTCCAAACATAATGGTATGAGATGTTATTTAAGTACACATTAATAAAATGTATGAACCTATGCCTTCTGACTGTTGGTGCTCTATGCTAAAAATTCAAATTTCCAGTAAGAAAATGTACTATTTATTTATTTTCATGTATTTTTGAGCTTGCTTTTTTTAAAAAAAAAATCTGAAGTGCGTAGTGTATGACGCACATGGCAGACACCGATGGTATACCAGTGTAGATGACTATCGCTCAGCACTAGACTACACAGATCAGGGTTATTAGCAGGAGTCTAATACCTCTCCGCGTTGGTCAGGGTTAAGCCATTGTAGACCCTGGACAGGTCTCTCAGGTTGAAGATGTAGTGGAACTTGGAGGGTGTTGGGGGAAGATCCTTAATGATGTTTTTATACAGCTCCAACGTGCAGAAGGTCAGTTTGTCGCAGATTTTTTGAATGCATTCCTCGAACGGCTATCAAAAATAACAGCGGGCAAAACAGAATCAGTTTATGTCAAACAGAATGGTTAAAATGCACAAGGGTCAATGTGCTTCATTTAATCATCAACACTTTACACTGACATAAAACATTATATTCCATCACTGCAAACCTGTCCTGCCAATTCATTACAATTACTGGTCTAAAAGATCATAAAATATAATTAAGTGAAAATAAATTTGAACACTCTCTGTAAAAGTCCAAATAATCTCAACATTATGATGCTTTTTGGAAATCACAGCTGCAGAGCAATAACCTTCAGAAGTAAAGAGTTATTATCTTTGTTTTGGTATGGTATCCAATGTAATTACATAATTATATATTTAATTACATAGTACAATAAGCTACGAATTACATTTACAACATTTAGTTTACAATCTGTATCGACAGGTTTGAGTCTGCACCAACTTTTTCCTTTTTGTTGGATGAGAAATGTGGCTAAAAAGTAAAGGACTTCTTTAAAAGAAATTAAGCAAATTAGAATTAGAAATTAAAAGAAATTAAGCAAATCATCTTAAGCTAGATGCCATATATAGATTACATGTGTCGCATTCTATGTAACAATGTATTGTCCTTGTCAAATAAACAAATAAAAGAGAATAAAATACAATTTTACTAAACACATTACTAAAAACAATAACCTTTCATCAAATTCTAAGGGTTAATCCTGCTGTTGGCGGAGTGCGGCTCTCACCTTGGTGTGGCCTTTGAGGATGGAGGAGTAGATGAGGTGCAGGGCTTCCTCTTCAGGGAAGGGGATGTTGAAAACGCTGAAAAGAGAGATGAAGCGGGAGTCCACCTCATTGCGGCCACCCCCTGCTTTCCCCATGGCTGCGATGAAGCCCAGGTCCTTCAGCTGCTTGCAGTTGAGCTCCTTTCCTCGATCATACATTCCACCCCTGTCCAACAGCAGCTTCAGGAGGGCTATGGGCTGCTGGGTACCGTAGTCATCCACCTGAGAGAAAACAATGCAAAAAATGATAGTAAATATATTACAACAACACACTGGCAGTGAAATTTCATGATCAGGCAAATATACTTCATTGGCAACAAACTGGGTTTACCAAATTGCAGTCAGACGATTGAGGTTCCCTGAGTTTTTACTGAGCTGGGTAAAACTGCCTTTAGCTACGGTGCAGCAGTGAGCTGGAACAAGGAGCTTGACTCGCTAGTTTCTCCTAGGGATTTTAAAATTATACTTTCAAATTATTTTAGTTCTGTTTATAATTGTTTTAACTGTATATTTATTTTTATCTCTATTGATACTGGGGGCATTCGTGGGCTGGAGGTTAGGGAGCCAGCCTTGCAACCGGAAAGTCGCCGGTTCGATCCCCTGAGCCGACAGTATGTGACTGAGGTGCCCTTGAGCAAAGCACCTAACCCCCAACTGCTCCCCGGGTGCCATGGACAGGGCTGCCCACAGCTCCGGGCAAGTGTGCTCACTGCCCCCCTACTGTGTGTGTTCACTAGTGTGTATGTGGTGTTTCAGTGCACAGATGGGTCAGATTTCCCCATTGTGGGACTAATAAGGGTCTCTTAATCTATTATTATCTTTACATGTTTTCACTCATATTTTATTGTTTCCTATTATTGTTTTTATTGTTCCTTATTAATATTATATAAACTGTTTTTTGTTGTGTATTTCTTTAATATTTGTAATATTTTAAAATAATATTAATATATAATATTATTAATATAGTAACATATAATATTATTTAATATTAAAATAACATTAACATATTTAATATTTTAATCTTTAATATTTTAAAACAATTTCTTTTATTATTTTATCTTTACTTTGGAATCTTTATTTTAACAGTTTGTGTTTTTTTACTCTTCCTGTGGCTCTGAACGAACCCCACCCCCCTCCCCCAATGTAAACCTGAGCTTAAATAAAAAATGATGATGATGATGATGATGATGATGATATTGGATAATGCATATGAATTATATCGCCCTCCCATTTCAGTGGAACATTGCAAATCATTGTAAAACAGCTGCATTACAGGCCTAGTAGAGCATCAAAATCAAGTACTGAACAGGACAATTTCATGTAAGATTCTATGAACTCATATGTAATATATAATATGAACTTATGACCGCTAACATGGGTGAACTATACATTGCAGTGTATTGCAGTACACATCCACGTTTGTCCATAACAGGCCATCACAGACGTACTCGAGGCATGTTGAGGTCGTCCATAAAGACAAGCAGTCTCTTGCCCATTGGAGGGCCGTAAGTCTCTTTGGTCCGTTTCTCCACACTGGCCTCCAGGCTCCTCTGCACATCCATGGATGTGGTTCTCGATGAGAAGTTGATGGTCAGAACCATCTGGAAAACGAGAATGATTCAAAACAGTGATATTATGAATGTGATTATGGATGTGGCCACTTTTCTCCAAAACAGCTAAATATCATTTTATAAGAGAATTTTTTAAGAAAGTCAGTTTCAGTAGGAAACACACTGCAGAACTCACAGTGGTGTCTGAGTTGAGGCTGTTGAGGAAGTTCTGTGTGGTGGCCGTCTTTGAGGTTCCAGACTCTCCAACCAAAACCACCGGCCTCTTTACTTTCACCGTCTGCTCCAACAGCCAGTTCACACGAGTGGTGTCGACTGTTGGCACTGAGGAACACAGAATGATAACAACACATCTGAGGATCTAAGTTAAGAGAAGAGAAGAGAAGAGAAGGGAAGAGAGAAAAGTGAAGATAAGAGAAAATTAAAGATAAGAGAAAAGAAGAAAAAATAGGAGAACAGAAAATTAAAGAGAAGAGAAAAGAACAGAGCAGAGAAAACTGAAGAGAAGAGAAGAGAAGAGAAGAGAGAGAAGAGAACAGAACAGAACAGAAAAAAAGGAAACTGAAGAGAACAGAAAGGAGAAAACTGAAGAGAAGAGAAAATTAAAGAGAAGAGAAAATAAGAGAAGGGAAAATTAAAGAAGAGGAGAGAAAAGAACAGAGGAGAGAAAACTGAAGAGAAGAGAAGAGAGTAGAGGAGAAGAGAAGGGAAAACGGAAGAGAAGAGAAGAGAAGAGAAGAGCAGACAAAAGAACAGAAGACAGAAAACTGAGGAGAAGAGAAAACTGAAGAGAAGAGAAAAGAAGAGAGAAAATTGAGGTGAAGAGAAAACTGAAGAGAAGAGAAGAGAAGAGAAAAGAAGAGAAGAGAGAAAATTGAGGTGAAGAGAAAACTGAAGAGAAGAGAAGAGAAAAAAGAGAAGAGAGAAAACTGAGGAGAAGAGAAAACTGAAGAGAGATTAAAGAGAAAAGAAGAGAAAAGAGAAAAGAGAAAACTGAAGAGATGAGAAAATTAAAGAGAAGAGAAGAGAAGAGAGAAAACTGAAGAGAAAAGAAGATTAAAGAGAAAAGAAAAAACTGAGGAGAAAAGAAAATTAAAGAGAAAAAAAATTAAAGCAAAAAAAAAAATTGAAGAGAAGAGAAGAGAAGCCAGTTCACACGGGTGGTGTCGACCGTAGGAACTGAGGAACACAGAACGATAACAACAAATCTGAGGATCTAAGTTAAGAGTAGAGAAGAGAAGAGAAGAGAAGAGAAGAGAAGAGAAGAGAAGAGAAGAGAACAGAAAAGAACAGAGGAGAGAAAACTAAAGAGAAGAAAAGAGAAGAGAAGAGAAGAGGGTGGAGGAATAGAGGAGAGGAGAGAGGAAAAGAGGATTGGGGAGAAGAGATAAGAAGAGATAAGAAGAGAAGAGAAGAGAAGAGAAGAGAAGCTTTACCAAGAATGTCGATGAATTTCGTATCAGGGTTGTGGATGTATTTGCTAACCAGCGAACTCCAGGGAGTCCACTTCTTTGTGCTCCCATCAAAATGAAAGTCATAGAGAGTCGGCAGGTAACCTGGAAAAGTGATACAGCTGTGTAATCTGAGAGCACAAACAGTGGTGATAAAGATGACAATAAATAAAAACAATCAAAACCCAAAAAGACAACTGCAGTTTTCCCTCATACCCGGTAGCTCTCCAGGGCCGGCAAGCACTTTCTCGTCATGAACAGTGGTGAGACACGACAACTTCTTAATGAAGTCATCGAACTTCTTCCGGCCGTTCTCCAGGAGAGTGGCTCCGAGGGAGCAGTACAGAGCCTCTATGAAGAAACACTCCAGCTCCTCACTGCTGAGCTCTTCTGGTTCCAGTAGAGCATCCAGCATCATAGACAACTGCACCACCTACAAGAGGGAGGCGCATTGACACACGGCAATAATCACCTATACAGAGTGCTGGACAGTGGTGAGGACTACTGAACTGAAAGTTCAGCTCCAGCTGCCAATTTCGCACATACAAATGTCCCTCACAATACACAGCTATTCAGTTTCACAGGTCCATATAATGGAAAACAAAATGTTCTCTTTTTTTATAGATAAAACCATTTAATGTAGTATTTTATGTAGTTTCAAATTAGTCCATATATGGAAATCAAGCCTCCAACACAGCCGGCTTGGAATCAGTAAACTTACCATATTTAGATCTGTCTGAGGGACAATTGTCTTCAGCCTCTCTCCTTGCTTGCCATCGACTATGCCCTCCACTACCATGTCTATGGTGCTGGGAACATACTTTTCAAACAATTTTCTAAGGTCTGCTTGCTCCTGGTGCAAAAGAGAATGTGCATTCACAAAATAAGACCATGGAAGGAAACCATACGCTTGAATATTAGTTGAAAACAGGACTTTGAAGAATTTGTTATGTCAATTCCTTACTTTCGCAGGTCTGTTGTTAACCCACTTCTGCCAGTAGGGGGCATATCGGAGGTTTTTGGGGTCCACAAACACCATTCCACAGCGAGACACAGTGGCAGGAGAGGCATACTGAAGGTCTCCAACCTGAAACCAAACAAACGCCAGTGGCACCAAATCTACATTCTGCAATACAGAATGTCTGTAATCAACTAGTTGCTGTGTTGAAAATATATCAGTCCTGGGTTACCTCAAAGAGGAGAGCGCAGTGGCCCTGCAGGCGGATCCTCTCTCCATTAGCCAGCGTTAGCAGCTTATTATCGTCCATCACCGAGTTCATGTTCTCCACCCACAGAGCATCCACATCACCATCAAACAAGATGTACCTGTAGGGGAAAAACATAGCAAATTATAGTTAGTTGTAAAACATAGGAAGCTGTAATTAGCAGTTTAATTGGCAAATAGTCAATTTAGATTATTCAGCAGATATTCAGTTCAGCTGAATTTTGCATTTATGCATTAAGTAATTAAAATACATTACTGTGCTTGTCTAATGTCAACAGACTACGCTCCTCACTTTGATACTAACAATAAATTCAATAAGTTATTGATCATTGATGTATATCATCATATTGTGTACGCTGTTAAAAATGAGAGGTCAGCTCAACTCAAAATGATATAGTGACTGATTACATGGCTTTTCTTGAGTTGACTCAACTTGAGGTCACCAGAGTTCACACAACTCAGACTTCTAAGTCAAAAGTTCTTTTAATTTTTAGTTCTGCATCTCAGTTAGATAAATAAAATGAACCTGTTTTTAATGCTCAACTTCCCCACCAGCCAGGACTCTTTCCATCACACAGTCCTGCTAGACATTCTTCCTCTTGGGTATGGACTAATGGATGGCTGTGCATTGTTGGGGCTCAAACTCACAACCTCCTGTTGGGGTGATGGCTTAGTCCACTGCACCACTCAGAAACACATGAAGCAACTCAGATTTTGTATCTACAAATGTTTAACACACTGGAGAAAATATTTGTTGTTTTAACTTTAAAGCCGGGCATCGTCTCATGTAGCACATTCATCCCAACGTCAGGAGGTTGTGAGTTTGAATCCCAGTGATACCACAGCTGTCCATATCCAGAAGCCCAAGAGGAAAATATGCCAGATGGGACTACGTGATAAAAGAAGCGCCAGCTAGTGGGGGGAGTAAAAAAAAATCGTTTAAAAAAAATTGTTTATCTAACTGAGATGCAGACCTAGAAACAGTAGCTGAGAGAATTTTTGACTCAACTAAGAAGTCTGAGTTGTGTGAACTCTGGTGTCCTCAAGTTGAGTCAACTCAAGAGAAGCCATGTAATCAGTTACCATATCAAGCTGAGCCGACCTCAATTTTTACAGTGTATTGTTGCCATTTTCTAAAAGCAATAAGCCACGATTTTACCCAGCTTAAGGAGTGGTGTAGGCACAACTAATGAAAACATGCCTATCAAAAATAAATAAATAAATAAAACATTTGGTGCTATTTGGTGTTACCTCAACCAACCACATGATCTACTTTTGTTTCTGCTCTCTAAAAAACCTTACATGTGCTTTAGTAAATCAGACCATATTAAACGTCCCTGTGATCGGTTCAGATTATTTGTCTTTATCTCCTTTAACTGGTTAAAATCTGGTGGATCAGCATGTGGAAGCATTTCCTATCACTGTATAAAAGAAGCTCCATGCTGCCTCTATGGTTGGATGCACCATATTAGTTTCAGATTTGTTTAATCAGAGTAGCAGTAAAAGGCAGCTGAAATATGAAGCATATTCCTATTCATATGTTTTCCTGCTCAAACAGGTAGTTTGTGACATTATCCAAATAAAAATATATGAATTTACAAGCCCTACGTGGCTATGCATTCACATATATTACTTACTCTGTTAGCCCATTATAACAAGTTCTATTTAATTCTTTTCTCAAAATATCAAGAAAATGATTCTGTTATCTTGGAAAACTGTTTGTTAAGCTGTAATTAATGGAAAAGAGCGGATTTAAACAACAGAAATAGTTGTTTATTAAAATTTATTTGAAGGGTTAAACAGATGGTAGTGAATTAAGTTTAACACAAACATCAGTGGACATACAGTCATATGTAAACCTTTGAACCCCTCTGATCAAATTACATGTTCTGTTGATTTCCTTTCTACAGGGAGCACACTTAAATGTTGCTTTTGTCTTCTAAATTTCTATTTGCTGAGTTTACTATATCAGAAAAAAATTAAACATACAGCATAAGATGTGCCATAAATTTTGCATGGGCCACATCTTACGTTCTTGACATTGTACAATTTGTACAATTCAGCAAATAAGCAGTGCACTAAAATGTGCAGAAGTGTGTTCTCTGTAAAGGATGTGTTCACTTATTTCTAGTTTAGAAAATCAACAGAACATAGAATTTGACCAGGGGCGCCCAAACTTTTGCATACAACTGTAATGGCCGCCAGTCGGGCTGAACGATTTGGGGAAAATATCTAATTGCGATTATTTCCAATTTATATTGGGATTATTTATTATAAATTGAGATTCAGGGCTGACTTTTTTGGCCAAGAAGACCAGACTACCCACCCTTTTTGGCTTGACCCCTGAATGGCCAAACTGCCAGTAAGTAGTGGTTGTGATGTCACAACACATGGAGGTTTGGTTGCTTCTGATTGGTCTAACTCATCTACAGGCAAAAGCTCTGCTTTATTAGGTTCAATTTACCCTCTTAAAACTTTTTTGACAACATACATACTTTAAAAAGATGGTTCTTCAAGGGTTCTTTAGTAAAAACAGTGGTTCTATATTGAACCATGAACACTAAGATCCATTTGCACGCTTAAAGGGTTCTCTGCATGGTGAAATGGTTCTTCATTGATGGAGTCTGTGTTGTAGAGGGTTCTATATAGCACCAAAAAGCTTCACACCATAACAATAGCAGAACCCATTTTGGTGCTATATAGAAGCATACACAACACATTTTCCATTTCACCATGCAAAGAACCCTTTAAGCATGCAAATGGATCATAGAGTGTTCATGGTTCTATATAGAATGATTGTCTTTGCTAAAAAAACAACCTTTTAAGAACCTTGAGGAACCTTCTTTTTTAAGTGTAAGCTATAGAAGAAATTGCAGCTCTTGCGATTTGAAAATTGCACTCTATTAAACTGCAATTCCGATATAAAAACGATTAATCTTTCAGCCCCAGCCGCCACCTTCGTTCTTTTTTGTCAGTAGGCTTGTTGATATCTCGAAAGATGTTGGACAGTATCCCATCGGTCCAGTCTCGGGTCACTGGGTCCAGGATGCCATACAGCTCGATGACACTCATGGCTTTGGGGTTCAGCGCATACATCTTGGTCAACAGTCCCAGCCTGCGTTTACATGATTTACAGATTTAGAGACACATCAGGGAAATGAATCAAAATTAAAAAATCCAACTTTAGAGGCTAAATGTATTCAAACAGTTACAGAATTATTAGCTTACAGGATTTCAACCGCATTATTTTCATATAAAGGTTTAAACTGTAAACAAAGACAGGAACCTGGTCTGGGCCTGGCACAGAGTATTAATAACCACAGATTTCCCCCCTCCTGTGGGTCCCACCACCATGGTGGTGTGTCTGGTCATCATGGTCTCGTACATCTGGACCACTTTGTCCACCTGCAGCCAAACACAGAGACAGGGGAACATCTTAGTAGGGCTGCACTGATATGGGAATTGCAGGCTGATTCTGACACCCAGTACAGGTTTTATGTACATATCTATTGATTCAGATGCCGATGCTGATATATGAACATTTATAACGTAGAAATTGGGATTAAATTCACTTATTTCTGCAGGGAAACCAATGCTGTAAAATTAATAAAATGCAAATATTGTATAAGACAGTGTATGATAAATACTCCAAATTTGGCGTGAATTATCTGTCAGAGGCTATATGCCAATACCAAGATCATCATACTTCTTAGTACATCCAGCATCCATCAGCATATCACTGCCGTCGGAAGAAAACCTTGTATCTCCATTTTTGTCGTTTTACAGTTTTTGACATAATTTGAAAATGCTTGTTGTCCTTTACATTGTTTGTAAATTTCTTGAAGGATGGACCAAAGGAAAACCCAAAATGACTTAGAAAAAAGTCTGGCTCCATTGACTTACATTGAAAATAAAGTATGTTTTTTCCTTCTCCTGTAAAGTTACCATTTTGGAGATACAAGGTTTTCTTCCGACAACAGCGATATGAAGTTTATAAGACTATTCTTTTCTTCCTTTGGATACGTTTGGTCTAAAATAAAATTATAAACCTCTAAAGTGTGAGCTGTTACCAGTACAAAACAGTACAGATGCTAAACCAACAAAACAGAATTCAATAAACACTAAATGTTAATGAATAAAAATTAAGCTGAGTGAAAAGTAGACTGAACTCCTCACTACTACGCTTGAGTAGAGTCGTTAGCAAAATCTCAAGAGAGTACAAATTCATAAAACTTACTTGAATATATGTAACTAAGTAAATGTACACAGAAACCACGCAGCCCTGGGCTAACACATCTGGTAAATAATAAGTAATAGAGACAGTACAAAGCATTAAGCTGTTCAGATAGAAAAAACAACAGAAGTAATTCTTCATGTTGAGAAAGGCAAACATGTCTGGATTCAGAATAGAACCTGATTGGGCAGCAGGATGTATTTATTCTCCTGCAGGATGGTTTCCACAGCGTCATTGAAGCTGGGGTAGCGCACACGTGGGCAGTCCAGTCCCGGAAACAGGTCTGAGATCAGTCCCAGAAACAGTGGAACATCTTCAAACACAAATTTTGGAAGGTTCATGTCCCTCAGAGCTCGCATCAGCACCACATCCTGAGGGTGGAGAGAGACAACGTGACTTTACTGAAAAAAGTGAATTTGCCATTTTTGCTACTACTAGTAGGTATTAATATAAGTATACTGGTTAGCCAGAACCCACAGAAGAGTAAACATCCTACAGAAAGTGCAGATTTCAAACTTTTAATTGATAACATATTTGTGTTTGTAAGTAGAAGAAGAGATATTTTATTATGATTTGAACTTAATTTGTCATTTATTGACACCAAAACACATCAAAAAGCCTGAAATGCAGACTCAAACCAGTTGATAAGAATGTAAATGTGCAACTATGTAATTAAATGGGAATTTTTCTGAATAATTACATTGTTATAATGAAAACAAAGGTACTCAGAGTGGTCTGATGTGACATGCTGCACCGAGGAGAAACGTATCCGGACAGATATGAACCAGGGGTCAGACTGTCTATAACAGCAATACAACCAGTTTATTCTCAGAGTTTATATTTAATATGCATAAATATATTTAATATGCATATTTGGTTCTATTTTGCCTTACTATAGCCAGCATGTACCCCTTCACCATAAATGGATTTTAAAATTTTGCTTTAGTCCAAAACCTTCTAAAAACTATCAGAAAACAATGTCTGATAAATCAGGCCATTTATTTGTGTAATATTTCATGTAGTAACTTTCTGTGAGGGAGCTTTTAGAGGGTGACGTCTGGTTCCTATCACCACCACTGTGAACAATACTTACTCGCTAAGTTGCTCTAAAACAGAGCATTTCACACCAAACCACTCTGAACGACTCTGTTTACATCTTAATTTAATTATGCAGAATTTTTTCAAAATTGGTTACATACCCCTTTAAATACAGAACTACAAAATCAGATTCAAATAGTACAGCATTTTTCTAAGAATTATAAGTTAAAAACACTAATTCCAAAGTAGCATCTTATCTCTTTATTTATTATTTATTATCTGTTCAAAGTCAGATTCATCAGAATGCTTTCTATTCAGTTCATGGTTTGACAGAAGAGAGAAAACCATTACGGTTCTGCAGTGTTTAAAGTGCTGCCCACCTCGTTGAGATCAGGGGAGCCTCTCTTCAGCTCTCCTGCCATCACTAAGACAGACTTTAGTGCTCGCAGCCCAAAATCATAGTGAGACTGCTTGGACAGCTGCTCTCGAGCCAGTTTATACAGCACGGTCATCTTCTTCGCCAACACCTATAACTCAAAAAGCACAGTGCTAAATCTTCTGTGCCTTGTGTAAAATGTGTGTAGTGCCTATGACAGACCTGAAGTACGCATTTTGTACTGCCCAACTGCCCAAGTATATAAACTGACCTGTCCATGCTCCCCACAAATGCATACTTAACAGAACACTGGCAAAAATCCCATTCAACATAATGAGGAACTGTAGCACACAACTTCCCCACACCTCCAAAGTTCAGTCTTAGAAGCTGGTTGATCATTTTCTGAAGTAATCAAACACATTCAGTGGTGTTGAGGTCTGGACTCTGGGGTGGTCAGTCCATCGTTCAGCTTCTTTGTTTGATGTGTCCGTCTCCTTTTCTCAGTGAGGTTCTTCTTGATCAGCTACACATCCTTTCAGACCCATAGCGCTGAGACGTCTTCTCACAGTGGAAGGATGGACAGAAACACCTGTGGATGTTTTCAGATCTGAAGCAGCTTGATTTTCTCCTCCCTCTCAGAGATGAAAGCTTTAAGTGCTGTTTATCTGATGGGGGCAGTTTTAGTGTCTAACAGGTCTTCCAGGTGGTTGTTAGGAGGCACATTTTCTCTGCAGCCTTTAATCATTTATCGTACTCCAGTTTTTGAAACTGCTGTTTTTTTCTCTGACTTTCTCTTTCCTTATGCAAGTGGATTATCGTATACCTAATAATCTACAGCAATAATGAAGTGGAATGGAAATTAAATAAATGACTTTTACACAGTAATGTATACACTGCAAGTGTGTTAAAGGTCACACTATTAGGATGAATCAGGTGTAGTTTTTGTCATATAATCCATCTGATTTTGAATTGTGGCAAATTTACAGTTCAGTGTAGCATTTTAAACTGTAAATTCAACGTTATGTAGTGACTCTGAACTTCTTTTCATTAGGTTAAACTAAATTTTTGCTAATATTCTTTAAAGCTTATCCAAACAAGCAAAAAGCACTACAAAAGAATGCATTTGTGGGCAGAGCATGGATAGGTCAATTAGTACATCAAGGATTAAACTTTAAGGATTGAGTGTATATTAGCCGTCTGCAGTTATGACCTTCACCTTAGCCATGAGGAAGCCCTCTGAGAACAGCATGATCTCACAGATCTGCTGCAGGTCAGGGACGATGACCACCACCGGCCGGAAGAGAGCCTTCACCGACTCAGGTAGTTCAGTACGTCCAGCGTAGCCTGGGTTCATCGTGATGAAGATTCCCATTCGGGAGTCCAGACTGATCTCCTGACCCTCAAACTATCAACAATTCAAACACAATATGATAACATTAGTTATTTCACTTGCATATTTTATTATAACAGATTAATAATCTTTAACTTCCACTGTAACTTAACAGAACAATAGAACCACAGAACTCTTGGGTAAATTTAAGGGTGCCGGTGAATTTAAAGTGGCACTGCATTTAAGGTAGCACTGGTTTTAAGGTGGAATTGCATTTATGGTATAAGGTGGCAGTGAATTTAAAGTGTCAGTAAATTTAAGGTTGAAGTGTATCTAAGGTGGAAGTGCTTTTAAGGTAGCACTGAATTTAACATGGCAGTGAATTTATGTTATCAGTGAATTTAAGGTGGAACTGCATTTTTTTAAGTGAATTTAAGGTAGCAGTAAATTTAAGTTATGATTACATTTAAGGTGGCACTGAATTTAAGGTGACAGTGGGTTTAAAGCAGTTTAAGGTAGCACCTAGCAACACATTACCATCCACCTGGGATACTGTATCAACTGCCTAGCAACACTTTAATAACCATCAACAGTCTTCCACCATTTTAACATTTAATGCAATTCGTTAACGAAAGTTTGTTCGTTCACAAACGTTCCCTTTCTAGTTATAATTCTAATTACTATTATGAGAAAGAAAGGAGAACAAATGAAGGTGAAGATTCGATCAGATCACTGATGTGCTGGACTCACGTGGAACCTCTGGAGATGCAGTATGAGAGCGTTGCGAATGGTCTGGATCTGGGAGGAGATGACGGACAACACAGAGGCATCGATGCGGTTGAACTCGTCAAAGCAGCCCCAAGCACCACACTGAGCCAAACCAGAGAAGATCTTCCCCACTGCCTGGAGACGCAGGAGGAGGAGGAGGAAGTGGGACAGATAGAGGCAAAATGAGAGGAATCCAAGTTTGTAGGATCTTTTTTTAACGTATTATAGCAAAATTAAGAGAAATTGTTGTTGTATCTTCTAGGGAAACATCTACTAACAGTCCATGCTGTGTAAACAAGCAGCATTCTTCTGACTACAGCTGTAGGAAGGTATAAAAGCACAGCGCTTAATTTATGGACGTCATTCCACTCTTAGACATAACTGCACTGAAAAACGTACGTTATTGTTAATTATTTGTAGACCCTCTTACCATATAGTCCATGCCCTCACCACAGTTGGTGACCACACACAGCAGGCCGAGAGCCTTGGCCAGGTCTTTAGTGGACTCTGTTTTCCCTGTACCTGCAGGCCCGGCTGGTGCTCCTCCCAGATACATAGACAAGGCCTACAGACAGCACATTACACACTTGCCTTATTTATAGTAATTTAAATATAAATACTAATTTATATTATATAATTAAATATAAATACTAGTTTATAAATACTATAAATACTAATTTATAGTATTTATGAACTACTTTTATATTTTTATACAAGATCATCCGTATCTGTCAATACATTACTAAAGTCTTTCTATGGCTAAAACAGCTTGAAAGTAATTAACAAGACTCTAAGTTGTGTAGTGTGTTACAGTTTCTCATTAGGCTGAATGAATAACTGACTCTAAATGTAGGTATTGTGATATAAACTGAGTCTGTTCTACAGTTTTTCATTAGGCTGAATGAATAACTGACTCTAAATGTAGGTATTGTGATATAAACCGAGTCTGTTCTACAGTTTCTCATTAGGCTGAATGAATAACTGACTCTAAATGTAGGTATTGTGATATAAACTGAGTCTGTTCTACAGTTTCTCATTAGGCTGAATGAATAACCGACTCTAATGTAGTGTATTGTATATAAACTGAGTCTGTTCTACAGTTTCTCATTAGGCTGAATGAATAACCGACTCTAAATGTAGGTATTGTGATATAAACTGAGTCTGTTCTACAGTTTCTCATTAGGTTGAATGAATAACTGACTCTAAATGTAGGTATTGTGATATAAACTGAGTCTGTTCTACAGTTTCTCATTAGGCTGAATGAATTACCGACTCTAAATGTAGGTATTATGATATAAACTGAGTCTGTTCTACAGTTTCTCATTAGGTTGAATGAATAACCGGCTCTAAATGTAGGTATTGTGATATAAACTGAGTCTGTTCAGTTTCTCATTAGGCTGAATGAATAACCAGCTCTAAATGTAGGTATTGTGATATAAACTGAGTCTGTTCTACAGTTTCTCATTAGGCTGAATGAATAACTGACACTAAATGTAGGTATTGTGATATAAACTGAGTCTGTTCTACAGTTTCTCATTAGGCTGAATGAATTACTGACTCTAAATGTAGGTATTGTGATATAAACTGATTCTGTTCTACAGTTTCTCATTACGTTGAATGAATAACTGACTCTAAATGTAGGTATTGTGATATAAACTGAGTCTGTTCTACAGTTTCTCATTACGTTGAATGAATAACTGACTCTAAATGTAGGTATTGTGATATAAACTGAGTCTGTTCTACAGTTTCTCATTAGGCTGAATGAATAACTGACTCTAAATGTAGGTATTGTGATATAAACTGAGTCTGTTCTACAGTTTCTCATTAGGCTGAATGATTAACTGACTCTAAATGTAGGTATTGTGATATAAACTGAGTCTGTTCTACAGTTTCTCATTAGGCTGAATGATTAACTGACTCTAAATGTAGGTATTGTGATATAAACTGAGTCTGTTCTACAGTTTCTCATTAGGCTGAATGAATAACTGATTCTAAATGTAGGTATTGTGATATAAACTGAGTCTGTTCAGTTTCTCATTAGGCTGAATGAATAACTGACTCTAAATGTAGGTATTGTGATATAAACTGAGTCTGTTCTACAGTTTCTCATTAGGCTGAATGAGATTTTTTACCAATGTTCTGTAAAGTTGTCCAATATTGGTGCGATAACACACAATAACAATAACGACAAAGCTACACATTTGTCTGTACCTGTGTGAGCGTGAGGTAGATGCGATCAGTGAGCGGAGTGATGACCAGTCGGCCGTTCAGGCCCATGTACTCATAGCCGTAGGAGAACTGAGCAGAGCACTGTCGCACAAACAGGTCGTCCGGCTCCTTGTCCCAGTAGAAGCGCAGCTGGCTTTCCCACTCAAATTCACGAGCATCGGTGATACTGCAGACAGATAGTATTATGAGTAGAGCAGTTTTCCCAACCCTGGTCTTGCATTTTCCCTGTCCTGCATATTGTGAAGTTTTCAGTGTACTTACCTATGGAGCCCCAGAGGGGACGGAGGTAAAAAAAAAAGGTCAACATCCTCACATTAATATATCTACATCTAATCCATAGATCTATTAAACTCTCTTGCCATTCGACCTCATCCCACATGAGTGTCTCTGTGTGTGTTTAATGTGAGTTTGTTGATGCTGATCATTTCTTTCTGTAATTGTGTGATGATCTCTAACACCGCAGCTTCACGTGGGAGCAGAAACAGGACTAAGCGGCCGCGCTGCGTCTCTATCTCTGTTAAATATGATCATTAGACAGTGCAGTTTAGTGAAGACTGTGGTTGTAGTTTATTGTCTTCCTTCATTTCTCCACCAAACTGCAGCTGCACTGATGAATCTGTGGGCACTTTGCTGTGAAGAGGAGCTGCAGTTTCCTCATAACGCCCCAAATCAAAACCAGACCTGATGAGCCTCTCTGTCTATTATCTTATCAAACACATCAAAACCCGTCATCAAACACATCAAAACCCGTCAGACAGTCTCGGGGAGCTGTTAGTTACTTCTACACAGGACAAATAACGCGACCTGTATCTACTACATTGATTTTGTGCACGAATCAGAAAAACAAACAACGTGCATTCAGTTCAAAATAAAAACATGACCACAATTAAAAGAAAATGAGAGAACGAATTAGAAAATCGTTATCATGAATTAAAAAAAAAACGTACCCACAAAGTAAAGAAAATGTGCACACGATTCAAAGAAAACAAGGGAGCGATTTAAGAAATCGTGACCACGAATAAAAGAAAACGTGCGTATGAACTGCAAAACGTTCACTCAAATTAATTACATTTTTTATTTTTTTTTTTACCTCCGTCCCCTCAGGGGCTCCGTACTTACCAGAGGAGGAAAGTAACAAATTTAGTAAAGTTAGTAAAGTAACAACAAATGTACTCTCATTAAAGGAAAGCAACTGTAACAGCAAAAAACACACTATCACTGCTGTCACTGTGTCAACAGTTGCTTTTTGCTGCTTTGCTTTATAGTCTTTATATTTATGCAGTATTATTTCTTGTTTTCCGATAATCCAACGACTGTCGATGGTCGATTGAATGATGAAACGATTGTCATGAGACTGGTTGTTCACTATAAACGTCATGAAGAGGTAGCTAAGTGGTTGCCATTCTTCTTTAATGCCTTGATTTTATGTGTAGTATAAAAGACGTCCTGATGATGTGCAGCAATTCAGAAAGAAAGCTGACCTAAAAAGGAAAGAAGGGTCTGCCCTTGGCTGGTCAAAGAACTTCTCTGATACAATCTGTAATGGATCTGTCATCTCCCACTAAACCTGCCATGGAGCAGATTAGGTGTACGGCACAAGTTGCCACTGTAATGTATCCAAGTGAAAAAGTGAACCACCACTGTGAGACAGAAAATCCAGGATTAGATTAAGAATTAATTTAAAGTTAGCTGGCTAAGCAATAAATCCTGCTTTGTGAAGCAGGCCTCATTTTGAGAACCACTGATCTAAGCCAATGTTTCCCAGCCCAGTCCATAGGACCCCACAGACAGTCCGCATTTTTGCTCCAACCTAACTCACAACACACAGAGATGAAGGAAAAATGTGGGGGCCCTGAGGAGCAGGTTGGGAAACACAGACCTAAGCCTTTAAGAGCTCTTTTTGTGATTACAATTATATTTAATTTCACCAATTTCAATTTACCAATTTCACCAATTTGAAAAGATTTTATTTCGCTCCCAAATCAGATTTAACCCGTGTGTGGTGTTGATGTGTTTGTTACTCAGTGGTCTGCTGGACCCACCACATTATTGTTTTTTTAAATCATAACCATAACAATTTGTGTAAAATACCAGATGTTTAAAATATCACAAGTGTCCAGCGTAGGGTTCTCCTTTAGCAGCTGTAGCCAGTCAGCAGCCTGTCCATGTTGTCCACCCTCACACACACACACACACACACACACACACACTAATAGCAGGCCATGTAGGAGGAGAACAGAGTGAAGGACACAGCACCTCCACACTTTTACTCCCCGCAGGTTCAGCCCAACACCACATGTGTAATATAAATGTGTGGGGGGTGAACAGAGTGAAGACACTGAAAATGGGTTATTTTATATGTTCTTCACAGAAAATGAGCAAAGACCAAGAATCTGAGGTTAAAATAATAATAAATCACATCATTTTTTCTTGTGGTAAACACTGAAAATGGGTCCCACCGACCCCAACACCCCACAAGGGTTAAATAGCTCTCTACCTCTTTACTTAGACACTCAGTAACAACAATATTTAATATTTTTGGGATAACTCTGACTTATTTGTTTAAATACTTGTTTAAATGTCAGACTTCAGGCATCCAGTCTTAGGAATTCTGCAATGTTGCAGTTCTAACTGTCTCATCAACAATATGGAGGTCAACCACTTGTCCTCACCTCGTCTTACAGCCAATCCACATTCACTGTCGAATTATGTAGACAGACTGGTGCTTAACTTCACATCTGATAATAATGTATTTGTTAGAACTGTATAAAACCTTTGATTCTTGCTCAGTCAGCAGGAGGATATTCTGCACTGTAAGCCTGAATGTGAGTTGAGATGTGAGACACGATATTTCAATAAGAAAGTTCAAAATGAGCGTGTCTTGTACCTGTCTCTGACGAAACTGTCCACGATGTCCCTGGCGTGGACGTCTATGATGAGGACGGTGTTGAGTTTGCGTCGGTCATTCTTCTTTAAGGGCTGTGTGATGCGTCTGACCAGGTCGTCGATCTGTCGGTGCATTTTCTTGGCGTACTGTTTCAGAGCCTGCTTATCGCCAGCAATGACCTTGCGGAAGACGTCCTCCACCTCCCAGGTCCACCACACCTGGTTCCCTGCCAGTACAACCATGCCCTGGTAGTCCAGCATCCAGTCCACCCTGACCCAGGGACAGCATTTAGAGTATTTAGGAACGACCAATATAATCAGAATTGGGCTTGATTAAATTCCAGTCCATCCAGTACAAGAAACTAAACATGAATTCACTGAATTTGACTTATCCACTAATTTCAAGACCTTTCAAATAGCGTAACAGACTCGCTGTGTGTCAAGAATACCAATAAATTCTAAGGTCGAGCTTTGATTTTTCAATATTTTATGCGCAATAATGACTGTTGCAGCTCAGAAAAATACAAATCAATTATTGACTCTGTAAACTATACCCATTGTAGATTTGACGGTACCCAACCACTGATAAAGATGCAGCTATGTAAATGTCACCATGGTGATGGCAGTGAACAGGGCATTAGTCTTACCCACTATACTGTTCTGAAAACACGCAAATGTTCATCAGTACATCTAATGCAGGGGTCAGCAACACGCAGCTCCGGAGCCCCATGCTGCTCTTTTACTGCCCTGTTGCGGCTCCACAACTGCTAATTCACCCTTTAACCCTGAAGATCAGCGCAGACTGCTGGTCACCACAGCAATGCAGACAACAATCTCACCTAGCTAGTAGCTACGAAACGGCAAAGAGAGAGATTCAAGACGAACATCAATAATTTGGAGACGAATGGACTCATTTGCATTTATAAGCATGCCAACTGAGTCCTGATTTGTTTAATCTGCAATAAGAAACTGTCAAACACTAAAAAGTTGCGAAGCTTAATTCAGCTTCTTATTCGCCAGCTTCTTGTTCGAATTTTCACGATCCACCTTAAATGGTGCAACAGTTAGCTACAAAGTTAGCTACATTTGAGCGCCTCAGGCACCCTTTAAGGTGGAACGGGAAAATCTGAACAAGAAGCTGACTTCAACCTCGGAAAAAAACGAACGTTAAGAGACATTTTACAAGAAACTATTCTACTTTAGCAGAAAAGTTTCCTGCCAGAGATGTGAGAAAAGCAGTTATAGCTGAGCTTAAAGCAGAGCAAAGTTAGTCTGTTTTTGTCTATATTATATTTTTTAGCCTATACTAGGACATTAACACGTACTGAGACATGATTATAAGATGGTGAAATGTTACTTCAATAAAATGGACATGAAATCTTCTGGTTAGATTTTTGCTGAAACTTGACAAAATGGCTCAACATTAGGGTTGCCGACCCCTGGTCTAATGTGTTTGACATATTAATATTGATGTTGTACATAACCAATTTATTTTCCATTGCTAATCCACTGAAACACAGAACATCTGGTATGGTGTCTTCCATCTACTCTTGTAATGTTAACACAGCATTACAGAAATCATCTGTCCAGCTCAACTGTAAGGGAATTACCTTTGCTGTGATTTTGCACAAGGTCACAATCGGAGTCCATTCATTGGGTTGTTGATTTATGTACCTGCTCTTGTTGTGGCTGTAGAAGTAGATTGCCTCTTTGGTGATAAGCCTGTTGGTCCTCCTCATCTCCAGCAGAACTGCAGTCATCCAGTCCTCCACTCGGCCCTCCGCAGGAACAGCCTGCTTGAGCTCCATCACCTCCCCCTCTGCTGACACCAGGGCCCCCACCACCGTCTCCCCGTTTGTCCCGGTATCGAAACGCAGCGAAGCGATGTTGTCATACATCTGGATTAGAGTACAAAAAGGACAAAAGAAAAGTGCTGTTAGCTGCTGACCTAAGATCAGGTACTAATTACATGAGTAATCTACAAATATACTTTTATTATAAAGTGTAAAGTTTTATTATTTTGAAGATTAATCAAGTAATCAAGTTTTAAAATAAGGCTGAACAACTAAAACGGAATTAACTGACCATTCACAAACCATACACAGCCTTTGATTTACTGCTTAGTGCCTTAATACATAATATATTTTATATGTGCAGTTAAATGTGTATTTTGAGAATTTTATAATGGCTTTAAATGTGTCTCGGCCTTTTCCCAAAACCGAAACTATCTGTTCTATAATCAGAGCTTATGAAGAGATGATTAAACACATGCATGCGTCAAAATAGCACCAGACACTCTGACACCACATACCAGAGACGTTCTGCAGAGAGGAGATGACGGTTTGTTCTGTCTTTGGTCTGTTTAGACATGTTTGGTCTGTATTGTGTTCATAATTCAAATGAACCACTCCAGAGTTCGTTTTGAAGCCAACTGAGAACGACCTGCTCAGTGGGTCTTTATCTGCTTATTTGGTGTGCACCAGAGCTCTAATGAGGCGCACTAACAGAGCAATCGCACCAGGGTTCGCTTTAATCCAACCAAACCTGCCAAACCTGAACACACCCTAAAACGCATATAAATGTGGGTGTCCATCAGGCTCTATTTCTTTTCTTATAAAGTTTTAAATAAACTCTTTAAAAATGTTCTGCACTGACCACCTTCCCCTTCGCACAGTGATTAAGGAAAAATGCCTAGTTTAGAGGGTCGGCAACACGCGGCTCTTTTACTGCCCTGTTGTGGCTCCACAGCAGAATCAGATTTGTAGGTAAAAATAAAATAATCCTCCTTTACAGTAAAATAAAGCTCTGCTGATCGTTCAACACAGTTTAACAATAAATGGTCTGAAAAGCTGGAGTTAATGTAGAACTGCTGATTCACCCTTTAACCCTGAAGATTGGTATGCAGGCTGCTGGTTACCATAGCAACAAATCTCGCCTAGCTAGTATTAATGAAAAGGCAAGGAGAAACATTTAGGATGGACGATGATCTGGAGACGAATGGAATTATTTGCATTTATAATCACTCAAGCTAGTTTCCTGATATGTTTAATCTGCAACGAGAAACTGTCAAAAACGAAACAGTCGTGAGGCTGAAGTCAGTTTCCCATTCGCCAGGTTGTTGTTCAAATTTTCCCGTTCCACCTTAAACGGTGCAGCAGTTACATTCTGGCACCTCAGGCATCATTTAAGGCGGAACGAGAAAATTCGAACAAAAAGCTGCGGAATGAGAAGCGACTTCAGCCTCGTTAAAAATGTTCCTGCCAGAGATGTGAGAAAAGTAGCTATAGCTGAGCTAAGGCTAAGTAAGCTTGCGCTTTCATTTGTATTATATTTTTTAGCCTATACTAGGACATCAGCACATACTGAGACATATTTACAGCCAAGATGGTAAAATGGACATAAAATGTTGTGGCTCCCAAGGCGGTTAGATTTTTGTTGAAAGGACAAAATGGCTCTTAACATTTAGGTTGCGACCCTGGCCAATTGTGAACACAGCTTAGCAATGAATAGCATGATGTACAGATGTTCTTCAACATCACAACAGAAAATGGTCAAGCCTTACTTTCCCAGTCTGACTCTAAGTACCTTGATCATGTGCTCCTGGACGCAGGACGGCTCGCTGCTCCCCAGAATGCTGAGCAGCTCATCGTCGGATATGAAGAAGAAGCGAGGGAAGGCGTTGCGTTTGGAGTCCAGGTAGTCGTTCAGACTCTTCTGGCAGCGCTCCAAGCCATCACTTAGGTTCTGCAGGTCGGCCAGGCGGTTCGGCATCAGACAGCATCTCTTAATGCCCGGATCCTTCACTGTGTCTGACATTATCTGAGGACGCACCGCACCAGAAGTCATACAGTCAACAGACTTACTTCAAATAATGAATTATATTAAATGATTAACAGTCTAGAACTTTTTTGGAGAATAAGTGTGAATTCAGCTTCACTAATGGACTCCAGCCTGCTTAAGATAAGTATCCTTAGGAAAGATTTAAAAGGTTAGATACCTTTTTGAACATTTTATCAATGTGGTCAAATTTCTTGGCTTCTTCGGGCAGCTGAGAGCGGATGTCTCCTCCAATGAAGATGCTCTCCAAGTACATCCATTTCCTCTGCACTAACATCCAAACCTGGAAAGTGTCACGTCATAAAAAAGATCTCAGAATTGTCCATGGGTCCAACTGTGTCAGCTTATTATGTTATTTATGAATTTTAATAATTATAATTCGTTATGTACTATTCTATACTATATACTAAACATGATATACTGATTATTCTGATGGTTAATTGAGTAACTGAGTTGTAAAATAAGCCCAAACAACACACATGTAATAAACTGACCATCAATAAACCATGGCTTATCATAGCCTTTCACTTTTCAAAATACTTTACTGGAAAAAGTGAACAAGGAAACCTATAAACAGACAAGAACATCACATTATGTGGTTAGAAAAATGCATATTAATGGTTGCGTCCGTCAGGGCCCATTTCTTACTGTAAGAGAGAGCAGTAAAATATGCGTTATCATCATCCAAACAGCCAATTAATTACTACTGAGAAGATAAATTGTAGTCGAGATGGGGCGGGCGATATGGCAAAAACGTAAAATCACGATACCTCGATAATCATGATTCTCAAAAAGTTTTATGATCCATTAATTATATTATATTATATTATATTATATCATTAAAGCAATAAGCTACGAGAGGCCGTGGGTTACCGCGATTTTATCATGGGGAAGGCTTTGGAACAACGCAAAGTGAAGTAAAACTCTCTTCCCTGTGATAAAATCACAGTAACTTACTGCCTTGAGTGGCTTATTGCTTCCATAAAACGCCGGCCAACATAAAATATATTAAAATGCACAACGGTTTAGATAATTATTTAAGTTATTATTGATAATAACCGTCATAAACAACTATTCCGCCAAGAAATGTAGTTCCTTTAGAGTACGGTATCGTTGCTAAGCAACCATGGACGTCTGAAAGAGGAGAAGAACGTTCGGTCACCCATCACAGTAAACTTCAGACATTTCATGATTTTTGAAAACTTTTTAAGTATAACAGTGAACATGTAATAACACAGCACTGTTTAATGCAAAAACTTTCAGTTTATAAGTACTTTTTGGTCTCCAAATTACCACCGTGAGTCTTCTGCCAGTCTGACGACGCCCCTCTTCTCACGCTGGGGCTGAATCTCAAACGGCTCCCTGCACCCTACACAGTGCACTACGTAGGAATTTAAATACTGTCTCTTGCACCCCAACAATGCAAAATATCGCAAAAATGGTCATTTGGGATTCATCCACGTTCATATTTGACAAGCAGTCACTATCTGACAGAAGAAGCTAGAATTTCTAAACTTAATGTTACACAGCTCACTATTTAGCTAGCTAGGGAGTACGGAGCCGTTTGGGATTCAGCCAGGGTTTGATGCTACTTCAGACTGGAACACAGACGTTTGAAGTGTGTAAGACATTCAGGTGACATTCTTTAGACTTTTATACTGCAGTTTTTCAGTGAATCATATCGAGTACTTTAATTCAAGTCTGTGATATTAATGATAGAGTTGTTTAAGCTGTTTTCCATCTTTTAGCCTGTAGGCCAGCTGACCAACCTAGTTCTAGATATGAAAATACGTTTTCAGCCCCTCAGTTTGAACAAAAATGGGTTCTTATTTCATCAGTGCACTCTGTGCTCTGTGCCATCAGCATTAGAGTCAAAGACTGTTCCATTAATAGCAGAAAGTCTTTCATGCCGTGACGCAGTGATACAGAGTTCAGTTGTTGTGAGGCGGTCACTGCCGTGATATATTGTGGATTTTACAATGGCTTCGAGCGCGGCTCAGCCAATCAGATTTTAGGACCGGAACTATACGTTTTTTATATTATATATATTTATATTATATTATGTTATATTATATTATATTATATAATATTAGAGTAACTGTTGGCTGCTGCTGTGTCTATGTGTAGCAGTTGGGTCAATGTGTAACATCTTCATTAATACTAAATAGAATCTATGATGGCAAAAATGTAGGCCCTATGTTCTGCAGCTGACCTCAATGACTTCACTGATGAGTGACAGATTCTTCTCCCACTGCTGGATGGTGGTCAGAAAAGGCCCTACGAAGCGGCTGCCGGCCATGCTCTGCAGGTTCATGGCGTTATCGTCCAGGTTCTGCAGGATCTCGTCCACGGCGCCGAGAATGGAGCCGCGTTCCTGTGTGCCTTTGAAGTAGCGCTGCACGCTGAACTTCATGTTCTCCCACAACTCCACCACTTCCTTTACGCCCTGTGGAGAAATGGAGAAAAATCTCTATTTTAAAAGCAGAATATCAGAAGTGATACATAATTAACCACATTAATGATTTTTTTAATGCATAAGTAACCAAACTTGTGATTTACTTGTTTCAAGAAACTTATCGTGTAAAATTCTCACTAATTTGGCAGATAATTTTACTTTCTTATATCTCCAGATGAATAAATGTATCTGCCAATGGACTGTTAGGACAATATTAGTTGGTAGTGTGTTACATACACTGATCAGGCGTAACATTATGACCACCTCCTTGTTTCTACGCTCATTGTCCATTTTATCAGCTCCACTTACTATATAGGAGCACTTTGTAGTTCTACAGTTACAGACTGTAGTCCATCTGTTTCTCTGCATACTTTGTTAGCCCCCTTTTACCCTGTTCTTCAGTGGTCAGGACCCCCATGGACCCTCACAGAGCAGGTACTATTTGGGTGGTGGAACATTCTCAGCACTGCAGTAACATTGACGTGGTGGTGGTGTGTTAGTGTGTGTTGTGCTGGTACAAGTGGATCAGACACAGCAGAGCTGCTGGAGTTTTTAAACACCTCAGTGTCACTGCTGGACTCAGAATAGTCCACCAACTAAAAATATCCAGCCAACAGCATCCTGTATATATAAATATATATATTTTTTGCTGTGCAGCATTTTACTTCCTCTAAATCCACTGATTTGGCTCATCAGGGAGTTGAACTGAATCAGGTGTGGCAGAGCAGGAGACTCTAAACATAGCAATGAAGCACCTGAGCAGGGTGCAAGGGGCATCCTCTGAAATACAGTGATTTCATACCTTCTCTATGCTGAGCTCTTTGACGGCTGAGGTGACGATGTCTCCGATGACGTTGCCGTGCTTGTGTAACTCCATGGCGAACATGTTCTCCAGGGTGAAGGTGTCTGGGTTCATCTCAAAGCTGGTGCCTGTCCGCTGCATCAGTTCTTTCCAGTGCCTGAGACAAAGACGTGAGGCCATGAAGAGCAGATGTGAAACTATGCAGCATCTGCCACATCCAGTGCAGAATGGAATGACCTCTCTTAATTCTTAAGTCTGATAAGTCTGTATTTTATTTTGTTAAATTTGTGAAACACTGGATCTTTAGGAACACGGTCTATCTGTTGATCTCACTGTCTCACTTGACCAGTGTAAAACAAAGCCCTGTGTTAATAATATCCTTTTATTATGGAAGCCTGTTTATAGTAATAAGTTCAATAATAGCTTTATTATTATTATTATTATTATTATTATTATTGGGGGCAGTCATGGGCTGGAGGTTGGGGAACCAGCCTTGTGACTGGAAGGTCGCCTGTTCGATCCCCTGAGCCAACAGGACATGACTGAAATGCCCTTGAGCAAGGCACCTATCCACCGGCTGCTCGCCCAGGGCGCTGTGGATAGGAATGCCCACCACCCTGGGCATAGTGTGTGCGCTTTCACTAGTGTGTATGTGGCTGATTCACTGCACAGATGGCTTAAATGCGGAGGTAATACTTCATTGTTGTGGGACTAATAAGGGACACTTAACATAATTCTAATTTTTTTATTATTATTACTATTTTCTCTCCGTTTCGGGCAGAAGTAGGTACATATTTAACGTTTTTATTTCACGGTGACATGTTTTCTTGATCTTTAGTAATAAATAAAAATAACTATAACTCTTCAAGAAAGTGAACTAGTGTGAAATAGTTCACAGCTTTGAGGTCAAACACAAGCCAAAACTAGACATAGCACTGCCAAAACCAGGATAAAAAACTGGCAGAAATGGACTTAAATCATGTTGGACAAGCATCTCTAAGCAACAATAAAGACATGCATGTCAGGGCCAAAAAGAAAGATATCCTATTAAAAACTAATATCAATGCATATGCAAAGAAACAAAAATGCAAAATAGGAGCGACCACCCCTTTGATCTACTGATAAGTGGTAAAGGACCGTTATGCTTACAGACAATCAGGATTTGTGATGGTGCAAAACGTTAGAGGATTTGCCTCATGGTGCATGTTAAAAGACCACCTGATACCAGTACAGGTTCTAAACTGGACAGAAAAGTAAAACGCTAAAGAAAAAAGTGCATGGCGGATAACATGAAAGCTTATTTGCCCCCCTGTTTAGGAGCTGCCCTTACCGCATCGTGTCTCAGATTAAACCAGCCCAGAGGTTCTCAAACTGAAGCTTCTCAACAGAAGCGCAAGATGAAAATAACGCTGAGGTGAAACCGTTTTCTGTACCTGTCCCTCAGAGCCTCATTCTTCAGGTCCAGCAGCAGAGGCAGAGAGTCTTTGAACTCTTTCATGCGCCCCTCCAGGAAGAAGGCCACAGGCAGCGCTCTCACATCCTTCGGCAGCTTCCTCAGGCTCTTAATGAAGCCTTCAATGCCCTCCTGCAGCAGCTGGATGTTCAGGTTCACCCACAGAGTCTGAGACCACTCTGTCTTAGCAGCCTGGGAGACACACGGAAGAACAGGCAAATGTAGCATACAGATCTCACACAGCGTGTTTAAATGCACTCAATAATCATCGATCATAATTTCTGCAGCAAGTTTATGGCATTTGGCAGACGCTCTTATCCAGAGTGACTTACAATTTGATCATTTTACACACGTAGGCAACGGTAGTGTTAGGAGCCTTGCCCAAGGACTCTTATTGGTGTAGTGTAGGATGTTTACCCAGGTGGGGGACAGTCTACAGCAGAGGTCACTAATAGGCGGACCGCGGTCCGAGTCTGGACCTGGACCTATAACCGATAAACTGTGGAGAATTTTTTAATTTCGACGGGGTGGTCCTATTTTATTCGGCGTGGCTTTTCTAGCCTTTATGGTACCACTTTAGCGGCACGGGAAACTGACAGACCAATCGCATGCGTTGTAAATATCACACGTGACGCTACTCAACCAATCAGATCTGTTCATTATGATGAGCACTGAGACTCGAGCAAGTAAGGGGAGTGACGAGGTGAGAGACAGCAGTCGGAGGAGAAAGTGAGTGAGAGGGAAGTTATTTCACATGGCGTGCTCTAAAAAGTATGGAGCCCTATGGAGCTCCGTAGTACGGGGTACAGTTTTGCTAACCGAGAGTACAGTTTCCAAATCTGTGGGCACCATTTATAAACTGAGAGTATGGATTACTAAACCGCAGGGACAGATTTTCCTCCTCACAATTTTTTTTTCGTTGGTGACCCCTACAGGGCTCCGTAAAAAAAGAGAAAAGTGACTGAAAATAAATAATAAATAAATATTGTTGAAATATGACTGAATTGTACTTTATTTGATTTGACGTTCAGTTGTTGACTGTATAAAATGTTGATATAACTACTAGGCTACTTCAGTAAACAGTATATGGCACTGAATCATGACGCAAGTTAGGCATTATGATGTTCGGGCCTTTGTTTGAGGATATTTTCGCAAACTGGACCTTATTGAGTTTTAATTAAATACCCCTGGTCTACAGCGTAGAAGGGAGAGGTGTTACCCACTACACTATCCCAACTGATAATGGTCCTGTACACAGCATGCTGTGATCTCTTGGATCAGAGTAAGGTCTAGAAATCTATTAAGAAATACAATAAAGAGGCTGGATTTTAGCTCAGTAATCAGATTACTCAGTGCATGTGAACTCTTACTCTGATTTCTTTCGGATGTGTGAAAACAGACTGTGGCAAAACACTTTTGGAGCGACGCTGAAACCAACTGCATGCTTGACAAAATGAAGTATGTTCATATTTTCAAGTGGCGCAATGTTTAAAAAAACAAGCCACAGCATGAAGTTTGAGTTTTACATCACGTCTTATTCTGTGAGTTTATTGACTGGTTACAAAGCAGAAATCTGATTACTGTCGGACTCATGTGGACCTGGAGTTTCCCCATTATCTGATTACCCAAGTTCATGTAAACATGTTGATCAGACTACTGACAAAATCTTATTATCGCAGTATTGAGTGCATGTAAACGCACTCATTTATCACAGACAGCATTAAATGTTTAGACGTTATCATTCGTACAGTGACTATACTAAGTGTAAAGCTATAATTACTATTGTTATGACCCCTGGTCCTGGCCTTTCTGTGTGTCTGCCACCTTTTTGTGTATGTTCCCCTCTTGCATGTTGCTTTACGTGCAGGCCAGTGGTTGGCCACACGAGGGCGCCCTCCTGTATAAGAGGTTGCCGAGCCACAATCTCGGGAGACGTTCAGGGCTCTCTCCTCTCTCGTCCCTGAAGCCGTCCTCCCACACAGCTTAGCCTTTTGTCAATGAGATCTTTTAGAAAAATAAGACTTTACTCGTTTACTGGTTTAAGTGGCGACCGGTGTTTGGTGTGGCAGCAGGTCTGGGGAGAGAGCCCACTCTCATTTTCTGTTACGGCCTGACTCTTGACCAGGTCATAACAGAATTATAGATATAAAACATAATTACAAACGGCAAAATCTCCATAACCCCATGTAGCCAGTGTTAAGAAAACTTGCTGAACTCACAGAAATTAAGCACCCAGTGGGTACAGAGTGGTATTACAATGGACAGAGGACCAGCATAAAGCTAATCTTGGGCTACAATTTAAACAGTGTTACTCCACTGAAAGTACAGCTAGTCTGCATCTGGACTGAGTCGAACCTTCTGTGCTTTATAGATCTCGTAAATCTGCCTCAGGCCTCTCATGTCCCTCTGCACGTTGAGCAGTTCTGGATACATAGTGATCGGAAGGTCAAACAGCTTCTCAGCGTTGGCCAGCTCCTGACGGGCAGCCTCCATCTTAGCCAGCTCTGTCTCGTAGGTGCCCATTACAGTCAGTCCTGGTAAAAAATGGAAGTCATAGCACATTATTAGAATTAATGTACAGCCATAATCAAAGGTTTGAACACCCCTGGTCAAATTTATTGCTGATTTTCTTTTTTTTTTATTGTATTTTTTCCAGGGGAGACATTCAAAAGCATGCAATGACAACATACAATTCCATGCACGTTAATTTCTAATTATATATATATATCCTTTCATACACTGTGATTTATCTTCATCTTTTTTATTCTTTAAAAAATCTTTTTTTTCCCCTTCTTTTTGACATTCTGTAAAAGTAAACAAATAACTATATACATATATACATCTACAAACCCTGGTCTTACAGACTTTATATATTTAACCCATTTTAACCAGAATTTGACTAATTTTGTCACCTTCAGTCTAATAGAAAAAGTATTTTTTTCCTTTAGATATATTTCATTGACCAGGTTTATCCAGTCATCCAGTGTAGGGGGATCAGGATCAGCCACTTCCTTGTTCTGACTTTTTTACTTGAAATTAATAGAATATTCCATAAATATTTGTCCGATCTTGCCACATCAAAACCCAGCACCCCTAGAAAAAGTGTATCAAATTTACAGGGAAATTCTAAACGAAATATATATATCAGTACTTTGTGCAACTCTGTCCAAAAATGTCTTAATATTGGGCATTCCCAAAATACATGCCAGTGACTGGCTTCCCGCTCCCCACACATCCTCCAACATCCCTGATTTTCCGCAGGTTTTTGCTTTGGGGTATGTATTGCTGATTTTCTAAGTGAAAGTAAGTTAACACATCCTGCACAGGGAACACGCTTATATATATTTTTTTCAAACTGTATTACACAATGTGTATGTATTTGAGTTTAAGATATTGGAAAAAAAAATGTGGTTTAACAGGCCATTTTCTAGATGTTAAATTCAGCAAATAAACACTGGTTGTGCATTAAAATGCGCAGAAGTGTATTCTCTGGAGAGGACGTGTTGACTTCCCCTACAGAGAACAAGCAACTTGACTGGAGCGGCCAAACTTTCAGGGTATCTGCAGGTTTAGGTTAAATATTAAATATAATTCTTTTTAAGGCATTTTTTTAACCAGCTGTAATGCAACTTAAGACCATCAGCACAAGCTTTTTTGAGCTAAGGAACTACATACATACATACATACATACATACATACATCATCTAAACCGCTTATCCTTCTGGGTCGCGGTGGGGCGCTGGAGCCTATCCCAGCTGTCATTGGGCGGAAGGCAGGATACACCCTGGACAGGTCGCCAGTCCATCACAGGGCAGACAGACAGACGTACACATTCACACACTCACACCTAGGGGCAATTCAGCATGTCCAATCAGACTGCATGTTTTTGGACTGTGGGAGGAAACCGGAGTGCTGAGGAACTAAGCGTCCCTATATATTTGTGTTCATTAGAGGTGTCATAAAACCAAACTATAAGTAGTCGCTATCAATACCAGTGAAATTCTTGGTACCACTTTGATACCAGAGCAAAATGAGAAGAAATACAGTTAAATACAGTCATTTATTTATAAGCTATTAAAATTCGCACTGAGTAGAACTTTAAACATCACCACAAACATTTTAAAACAACTATCAACAAGAACAGCTGTCTTGAGCCCAGTAAACCAGAGGAAATGGGGAACAGCACTTTACTATCAACAATCACACGAGTTTGGGTTGGTTTGCTAAGTAAACAACATCATATATGACAAAAATATATTTGTATTCTCAAAAACGAGGGCAATGTTCTGTTTTAAATAAGCATTCTGACGATATAACTAATGAATTATTCCGTGGGAGGGTGTGTAGTATAATTGTTAATTTTTGACAAATGTTCATATCATTCTGTAATATTTTGTATATATTAGATATTATATTATGTTTACTCACACCTGCATATGTACAGACATCCATATCTGCACATCGTCGCTGTCCAAAGAAAAACAAATATCACCAAGAAAACTTCTTTACTTTTAAAGTAAGTAAATTTGAAGATATTTTATTACAAGCAATTCTGGAGCATTTCTCCTGGTCCATTCTTCATGAAATTTTCAGACAATGCGAAGGGCAGTTGCTGAGCTCAAATTATGTAGAAAATGAAAAATCCCAAAAAAGCAGATACTTTTTTTTTGGACAGTGACGATATGCACAGATATTTACACATCTCTTCAGCTGTTTTCACATCGGCCTTTATTATTCTGTTCTATTTACTGAATTTTTATTTTTTTATGCCCTAGTTAAATATTTGTTAATAGTCTGTGTGCTTGTTTGGTCTGTTCAGTATATTACATGTTATACAGGTGTGTATTCATCAAGACAAATTCTTTTTATGTGTAACATACCGGGCAAAATAAAGCGATTCTGATTTCTCAAAGCTGAGAAGAGAAAATTAAAGCTGGCAAAGTTGGAAAATCTTTGCAGCTAAACGATCAACCCTATTTATTCGTTAAGGATGAATATATCAGACACAGAACACCCACAGGCATTACAATGGTACGTATTTAAGACCTCGGGGCAAAAATAAACACTTTAAAGGTCATAATTTCAGGAAGTCCAGGGGAGTCCACCTCTGGCCCAACACTACTATGTGTACCTTTCTCCAAGTTGTCTCCAGCTGCTCCTGGGCCATGCATGTTGAAGCTCTCAGCGAAGATAGCTAGTTCCTGCTTGTACTGCTCTATCTGCTCCTTAGTGATCTGACAGAGACAACAAAACAAGACTGACTGCGGTACAATATTAAACTGAGATACAATGCAAGGGGATGATTCCAGTCATCTCTCATATTTTAGGCAAGTCAAATTTATTTATATAGCACCTTTCATACACCGCTGTCATTCAAAGTGCTGTACAAATGAGAAAATACAGAGTCAGAATTTTAGCATCACATAAAACAACCCTTATAAAGGGTTAATGGTTTAAAATTAGTTTATTAAAGGTCATTAATTAGGCCATAAACACCTTAAAAACATTAATAAGCAGTTATGACATATAAGAAAGGGCAGCAGTGAGCTGTTATATCTGATGAATATGAATATCTGATGAAACTGACACGTTTAGTGCTGACTACTAGAGTAGACAAAGTAAGATTCATTTTGTTTATGTTTTATAACTTCTTAGTAATGATTTTAAGGTGCTTATGTCCTAATTAATAACCATTAATAAACTTCAAATTATTCATAAGCTGTTTTAAGGCCTTTTTAAGGATAGTCTTATTGTGACGTGGTCCCTATATGTGTTGTTATATACAGTGTAAGTAGCATGAGCAGAGGCGCTGCTGGCAGTAGTTACTCAGCAGCTGTTTGAGGTGCTCACCTCAGTGAAAGTCTTCTTAACTCTGCCCAGGCTGCGGTCCACCTGTCTGGACTCAGCAAAGAGATCGCTCCACACTTCCTCAATGCGGGCGACCAGCTGCAGCTCCTCCTCTGTAGCCTGTACAACACATGGCGAACACCAGCAATAAATCTGCGTTAATACCATAACTGAGTCACTAAACAATAATTCCACTACGACAGAGGATTACCGGAGAATTAGGCAGCGTCACTGTTGTCTGCATTAAATTTCATAAATTATAGGCTCTGTATAGGAGAGGAGAGGTGAGCTCACTTGTATGTTGTACATGCTGAGAGTCCTGTATCGCTCCTGGATGTCCACGAACCTCATCTCTACTGTCAGAGACATGTCTCGGATGTTTGAGATGGTGCCGAGGACAAACTTGAGGTCTTCCAGCGTGTTTGGAGTCCTCTTTAGATTGTCTGACAGTTGCTGTTTACAATGATAAAAATGCTCAATTCAATTTCAGTTGAACTCAATTCAAACTAATCCAAACCCTCATTTACAAAAAGACAGATATACCAAGCCCCTAAAAGACACTTTAAAGGGGGGGGTGGGGTGGTTGATGTACTTTATTTACATTAAAGCCCGACCGATACAATAATTAGCTGATATTACCGATAATGATGACCCACTGTATTATCAGTATAAGCAAAATTAACGGCAATAATGTGCCAATAGTTTAGAATTTCCCACTTTGTAGTTGCTGCATCTATGGGATTAAATTTTGCTATCACAGACAATAAGGTGAAGTCTTAGACTGCTGTGCCACTGGGGAACCAAATAAGAGTCACCCCCTGCTTAACTGTTTCACACCATCATGGTTTAAATAACAAAAACATGTTAAATGCATTCAGATCTAACCTTTGGCATTAGAACAGCTTAATAGCACGTTGTGTGTGTGTATATACACCGATCAGGCATAACATTATGACCACCTCCTTGTTTCTACGCTCATTGTCCATTTTATCAGCTCCACTTACTATATAGGTGCACTTTGTAGTTCTACAGTTACAGACTGTGGTCCATCTGTTTCTCTGATACTTTGTTAGCCCCCTTTTACCCTGTTCTTCAGTGGTCAGGACCCCCATGGACCCTCACAGAGCAGGTACTATATGGGTGGTGGATCATTCTCAGCACTGCAGTAACACTGACGTGGTGGTGGTGTGTTAGTGTGTGTTGTGCTGGTACGAGTGGATCAGACACAGCAGTGCTGCTGGAGTTTTTAAACACTGTGTCCACTCACTGTCCACTCTATTAGACACTCCTACCTTGTCGGTCCACCTTGTAGATGTAAAGTCAGAGACGATAGCTCATCTGCTGCTGCACAGTTTGTGTTGGTCATCCTCTAGTCCTTCATCAGTGGTCACAGGACGCTGCCCACAGGAAGCTGTTGGCTGGATATTTTTGGTTGGTGGACTATTCTCAGTCCAGTAGTGACACTGAGGTGTTTAAAAACTCCAGCAGCACTGCTGTGTCTGATCCACTCAGGCCAGCGCAACACACACTAACACACGACCACCACGTCAGTGTTACTGCAGTGCTGAGAAAGATCCACCACCCAAATAGTACCTGCTCTGTGAGGGTCCATGGGGGTCCTGACCACTGAAGAACAGGGTAAAAGGGGGCTAACAAAGTATCAGAGAAACAGATGGACTACAGTCTGTAACTGTAGAACTACAAAGTGCACCTATATAGTAAGTGGAGCTGATAAAATGGACAATGAGCGTAGAAACAAGGAAACAAGGTCAAACTTCTGTAGATTTCTCCAAAATGATAAATTTGCATTAGAAGCAAAAAACTTACTTTACTATTAATGTAAGTCAATGGAACCAGACTTTTTTCCAGGTCATTTTGGGCCATTTCTTTTGGTCAATTTATCACAAATCACATCACAAAAATGGAGATACAACGTTCGTATATATAATCTTATTTTTCTGTAATTGTATTTTTTTCCATCCGTTCTCTTCATAGAAAGTTTTTTTTCATATATACATAACTTGATGAAAAATAAAAAAATAAAAGACAATTAACTAAAAATAAGAAAGCAAGAGAAAGTTCTGGATAACTCCAGAGCTCCCAGTGGTAATATTTATATTATTTAATTACTTCTTGGTAAGGAGAGACATTTCTGCAGTTTATTTGAGTTTAAGAAGTGTGACGACTAAGAACTGACAGTCATAAAAGCCAGTAAAGCACTGTTTTAAGAGTGGAGTGTAAAATCTAAACTATAAATAGAAAATAGTATCAGCCAATACTATCGAAAATTATCATATTGGTGGGGCCCTAATAAACATAATAGAAAAACTCAATGCTTGTGTCCCTATTTCTTGTGTGCAGACTGCAATGTTCACTACCAACTGTACATTCTGTGAATTATATGAGACCTTTAGGACAGACATGCACAGTACAGTCAACTGAAATGCTAACAGTTCCTGACATGTATGTTCAAATCACCTGTAGCTGACTGCGGAGGGCGTACAGGTCCTCCCGGGCTGAGTCGTTCAGCAGCCTGCCCAGAGAGGTGACCCAGGCTTGGGCGTTCTCCTGCACAGTGCGTGCCAGAGGCTCCAGGTTCAGCCTGATGATGTGGTCATCCTTCACCAGCGGCTGCTGCTCCACCTCTTGGCTGACACGGGTATAGAACTGTAGCTTCTCATCGTACATCATGCACGAGGGCTTCTTAGCTGCAAACTTCTCCATCACGATGGCTTTGTCCAGCTTCCAGAGCGGCCGAAAGCGTTTCCAGCGGTTCAGGTAGCGTCCCACAGAGCTGAGGAGCCTCTGGGCACTCTGGGATACGACCATGGCGCGCTCATTTACCTGCGGCTGCTGGGACACCTCGCTGTAGAAGCTGAAGATGAGTGGCTCGTCCTCGCCGTCCACGCGCTGCGGTGGACACTCGATACAGGTGCCGTGCATCCAGCGAACAAACCTCTACAGAAGGAGGGTGAGAGAGCAAAGTTATAGGGTTAAGATGATGAACACTTAACCATCACATCAGTGCAGTGTGCAATACAATGTACTACAATGAATACTTGAAACAATGGACACATGTTATGCAGTGGACACTTAAATGCCTAATACTAGATATAATACAGTATGAGATATGAACATTGTGGTCATACCATCCTCTATAGATTATACTGAGTTAGCCCCCTTTTACCCTGTTCTTCAGTGGTCAGGGCCCCCATGGACCCTCACAGAGCAGGTACTATTTGGGTGGTGGATCATTCTCAGCACTGCAGTAACACTGACGTGGTGGTGGTGTGTTAGTGTGCGTTGCGCTGGTCTGAGTGGATCAGACACAGCAGTGCTGCTGGAGTTTTTAAACACTGTATCCACCCACTGTCCACTCTATTAGACACTCCTACCTTGTCGGTCCACCTTGTAGATGTGAAGTCAGAGACGATAGCTCATCTGCTGCGGCACAGTTTGTGTTGGTCATCCTCTAGTCCTTTATCAGTGGTCACAGGACGCTGCCCACAGGACGCTGTTGGCTGGATATTTTTGGTTGGTGGACTATTCTCAGTCCAGCAGTGACACTGAGGTGTTTAAAAAGTCCAGCAGCACTGCTGTGTCTGATCCACTCAGACCAGCACAACACACACTAACACACCACCACCACGTCAGTGTTACTGCAGTGCTGAGAATGATCCACCACCTATATAGTACCTGCTCTGAGGGTTCATGGGGGTCCTGACCACTGAAGAACAGGGTAAAAGGGGGCTAACAAAGTATCAGAGAAACAGATGGACTACAGTCTGTAACTGTAGAACTACAAAGTGCACCTATATAGTAAGTGGAGCTGATAAAATGGACAATGAGCGTAGAAACGAGGAGGTGGTCATAATGTTATGTCTGATTGGTGTGTATATATATATATATTAAACTGCCGCTAACACAACCTCGTTGAACAGCTCAACACGCTTGGAAGAGAACGCTAATTCTGTTACGTCAGCTAACAGACGCCCATGTTGGCTAGCATTGCACTAAATGAGAGCAGAGAGGGAGGGAGGACCATCCAGAGAGGGCAAGACCAATTATGCTCCCTTGGTTTTCCAGCAACGGGCAAAAATTATGTTTAAATGTTTCTTGTCTCCATTTCCCCATTTAGCTCATTCAGCATAAATAAGACAGAACAGTGATGTTTGAAGTTATTTTAATTCACAAATATTAAAATGCAGTTTTATAATCTGCCCACCTTGGTGCTCTCCACGCAGTCCCGAACGCTCTGCATAATGAGCTTGTACACCTCATTACTTTTGGGGTGCAGCACGATCTCTGGAGCAGAGAGGATGGTCTCGATTTGGAACAGAGGGGTGGAGCCCATCAGAGCGGTGTTGAACAGCTGTATGTTCCTGTCATAGAAAATTCACAGTCCACAATGTTACATAAAAGTCTTTGGTATAAAGCTCAGTGACTGTCTTTGCTGCTAATGGCTGCCTTTTACACTGATGAATTTCAAAATTCAGCTTTCAATGGTCAACACTGAAATTTTGGAAGTATAAGCAAGAGTAGCCTCTTTCTTCAGGCCCTCTAGTGGCCATTCTGCCAACAGAATAGAAATAGCATCTGACATTTTTAATTGATATAATCAAATAACATATTTTTTTCATAAGTCTGTGATCAGATTAACTAGGACAATGTCGCCTCTCTGTGGGAAATGTTGTGCCTCTGTGTTGAGCTGTTAGTGAGCAATGAGGGAAAAACAATTTAGCCCACGAAGACGGCCTTGTAGAGATAAACTGACAGCCGACAGCACAACTGCAACTTACTTGATGTCAAAAAACTGAAGTCAAAAATCTGCTTCTGCTTTTATAAACGTACACATTCCCACCTAAATATATTCCATCAACATTACTGAAGAAATAAAATGCACAGTTGCACATTTAGCCTCCAGAACAGACACACTGTTAAAAATGAGAGGTCAGCTCAACTCAAAATGATATAGTAACTGATTACATGGCTTTTCTTGAGTTGACTCAACTTGAGGACACCAGAGTTCACCCAACTCAAACTTCTTGGTTGAGTCAGAAATTCTCCCAGCTACTGTTTTTCAACTGTATTTCCCCACTAGCTGGCGCTCCTTCTATCACACAGTCCCATCTGGCATATTTTCTTCGTGGGCTTCCAGATATGAACAGCTATGGCATTGCTGGGATTTAAACTCACAACCTCCTGACGTTGGGATGAATTATTAGACAGCTGGACCACATGAGACGATGCCCTGCTTTAAAGTTAAAACAACACATATTTACTCCAGTATATTAAACATTTGTAGACACAAAATCTGAGCTGCTTCAAGTGTTCCTGGGTGGTGCAGTGGACTAAGCCGTTACCCCAACAGGAGGTTGTGAGTTTGAACCCTAGCGATGCCATAGCCATCCATAAGTGTGTACTCAAGAGGAAAAACGTCCAGCAGGAATGTGTGATGGAAAGAGTCCTGGCTGGTGGAGAAGTTTTAAAAAACAGGTTCATTTTATTTACCTCACTGAGATGCAGAACTAAAAATTAAGAGAACTTTTGAAGAAGTTTGAGTTGTGTGAACTCTGGTGTCCTCAAGTTGAGTCAACTCAAGAAAAGCCATGCAATCAGTTACTATATAATTTTGAGTTGAGCTGACCTCTCATTTTTAACAGTGCATTAAAACTACTGTAAAAAGGGTTAAAGGATTTTAACCCAGAATATGAATGTTGTCAGGTTATCAAGTGGAATGAGGCAACTCTCAATAAGAAGCCAGAAACTACTACAAATAACTGTTACTCTGCTGACATCTGACATCTGTACTGGGTTGATTGCATTTTGAGCAGATTTAACCATATAGTCGTGGTGAGCCAGTGACCAGCAGCTCTTCAGTTGAACTGCTTGTGTATATTTAACATTTCAGTTAAAAACAGCAGTTCTTACTTCAGCACCATCTTGCTGAGCGAGTCATAGACTTTGCGCTCCCAGTAAGCGTAGTACTGGGCCATGCGCTTGGCCTTGCCGCTGCTCGTCTGCATGATGAGGCTCTCCATCTTGGTAAGGAGAGGACCAATGGCTGTGTACTTCCTGCTCAGCAGGTTCACGTCTTTTGCCCTCTCTCTCTCAATCAGCTCAAAGAACTCCTTCACTCCTGCAGCAGGGGACAAATACACACGCTTCATATCAGGACATTAGAACGCTAGGAAGCAACATGTTAATGACATATACATTAACTTGACATGTTAATTATATGTTCTGTGCAACAATATCTGTGATCTGAGGCATTTATTTGTAAAAAAAAGGAAGATTAGAATTAATACAAATAAACAAAACACTGTCATTTGCGTGAGTTAGTGTGTTAGTATAACGATTTTTAAAGCTCTCCTTGAGTATGTCCAGTATTTATCATTCAATACTTGGTCTATCTAATTAATCCTCTACTAAATTAAATCAGGTTCTGCTGAATGAATCTATGTGATAGCTGTAGGCAGTAGCAGTTTACTAGCAACATATATGTTTAATATATATATATATATATATATTATTTTTTTTTGTTTGTTTGTTTGTTTTGTTGTTTGTTTTTTCACTTAGAAATTCAACAAAATATTCAGTTGATTAATCTGTGTTCACTCTGCATGATTCTTTGGACCTTAACCCCTTAAAATCCCTGACTTATTTCATCAAGGCGTATTATTCAGTAATTAAATAGGAAATAAACTGCTTATTCTGAAGGTATATGAGTGAGAAATGGAAGCCTTTACGAGATGTTCAGGTGTCCAACATTGAGTGCATATACATACACTCAATAATCTGATCATAATCGGATTTCGGCATTATCTGATTATTCAAATGGTCATGTAACACCATACTCCGATCTAGAAATCTGATTAAGAAATACGATAAAGAGAGCTGGATTCTAGCTCAGTAATCAGATTTCTCAGTGCATATAACCTCACGCTCTGATTTCTATCAGATTTCTCAGTCTGCGCATGTGTGAGATCAGACGGTGGATGTCGCGAGACGGCAGCAAAATACTGTAGGAGCGGCGCTGAAACCCGAAACACGAAATAAAGGATTGAACATTCTTCTTCTAGATGATGTAAATTCATGTTTTCAGGTAAAGCATGTAAACGTGTTGATCGGATTACTGACAAAATCTGATTTTCTGCAGTTATCGGATTATTGAGTGAATGTAAACACACTCATTGTTTTTTTCTGGTTGATCACCTCTACACTGTAAAAAATTAGCTCAACCTAAAATGACATAGTGACTGATTACATGGCTTTTCTTGAGTTGACTCAACTTGAGGACACCAGAGTTCACACAACTCAGACTTCTTGGTTGAGTCAAAAGTTCTCCCAGCTACTGTTTCTAGGTCTGCATCTCAGTGAGATAAACAAAGCTGAATTTGTGTTTTTTTACTCAATTTCTTCACTAGCTGGCGCTCCTTCTATCACACAGTCCCATCCAGCATATTTTCTTCTTGGGCTTCTAGACATGGACAGCTGTGGTATTGCTGGGATTCAAACTCACAACCTCCTGACGTTGGGATGAATTATTAGACAGTTACACCACATGAGATGATGCATGGCTTTAAAGTTAAAACAACAAATATTTTCTCCAGTGTATTAAACATTTGTAGACACAAAATCTGAGCTGCTTCAAGTGTTTCTGAGTGGTGCAGTGGACTAAGCCGTCACCACAACAGGAGGTTGTGTGTTTGAGCCCCAGAGGAAAAATGTCTAGCAGGATTGTGTGATGGAAAGAGTCCTGGCTGGTGGGGGAAGCTGAGTGTAAAAAAACAAGCTCATTTTATTTACCTAACTGACACGCAGAACTAAAAAACTGAAAGAACTGTTGACTCAACTAAGAAACTTGAGTTGTGTGAACTCTGGTGTCCTCAAATTAAGTCAACTCAGGAAAAGCCATGTAATCAGTTACTATATCATTTTGAGTTGAGCTGACCTCTCCTTGTTAACAGCGTGAGCTACATACTGGTCATTACCTGGTAGGTCTCCTGCTTTGTCTGGAGCTGGGAATTTGAAAAGGTTCGCTGATTCAATGGACTGAAGCTTGGCGTCTATGTCGTTTTCGTTCTTCTTAATCTGGTTCACCAAGGACTCAAACTTTGAGGCAGCCTGGTCGCTTCGGTTGATGAATTCTGAAATACCTGCAGGACGGGAGCAAACACACATGCGACGTCTAATCTTTTCCATCCTAGAACTATTTCCAGATGGAAATCATCTCACTCCATCTATGGAAAAAGTCATTCATCCCAACTGGCTCACTGTGATGCACTGTATCTTGGGTACACAGTACAAAATGCAGCCCAAAACTGGTACAACAAAAAGTTCAGTTTTAGTGTCTGTGCATTGGCTTTCAGTTCATTGCAGAATCCAGTATAAGGTGGCCCTATATGCTCCTCCAAGATCTCTTAGAGATCAGCTTCTCAATGACTTCTCAAATACTACATGGCTGTTGTTATTCTGACTAGTCATAAGACATTATCTAATAATTATCTGTTCTCAACTACTCCTGGTGATCAAGGTGATCGTACCTCTGCGCTTGCTGAGTCAAGACTTTGGAAGAGTTTACCAGCTGACATCAGACAGGTATCATCAGACATGGTTTTTAGCTCTAAACTGAAAAAAATGGTATCTTGTCAAGTGAAAATGATCTTAAATCCAGTCAAAATATCTAATATTACCTATTTTGGGATGGTCATGCACATATTATACGATTATTTACCTTATTTCCAAACAATATTTATTTATTTTAGGTAATTTTATCAAATAAAACTATCTCACTTTACTGGTGGATAATTTTGCTGGTTTCAAGCACATAGTAAAGCAGTGAAAAGCAGTAAAAATGTCTAGAAATAAGGAAAACAATCTCAACAGGAGAAATATTGGATTTATTTACTATATGCAGGACAATTGCACTTGACAAGATATCATTTTTTGCAGTGTATACCTTAACCATATTAAAATTAACCTGCTTTTAGTAACTATTAACTGTTGTGCTGATTTAGGACTGTCTGTTTTTGTATCAGTATTTTATTTGTAAATGAGACTGGTGAAGTAGAGAATTGATGGTGGAACAATCTTGATTTACTAATTTTAAAGCATTTTAATTTTTTATGTGTTATAAATTTACTTAGTTACTACTAAGTTATCAGAGGAGCCATAAATTTCTACAACATCATAGTGCACATTTGATTCAAGTACAGCAAAGTCATACACAGCTTAGCAGAGTCAGTCATTCTTGCAATTGCCTTTGGGAAATGAATGATAACTTCACCCTTCATTCTATAAGCTGCATATTTGGCATTGAACATCTAGCTTACCCAAGGAATTCCAGTTAAGTCTTTTGCATCCAGAGCGCATCACCCTCCTCAGTTCTTGCACCTGTGTGGCTAGCAGGAAGAACTCTGGGTCATTCAGACTGTCCATCAGAGAGTGGAAGCGGTTCACTAGATTCTTCAGTCCGTCCACGTATCTAAACACAAGAGAAATGGGCTTATACACCGATCAGGCATAACATTATGACCACCTCCTTGTTTCTACGCTCATTGTCCATTTTATCAGCTCCACTTACTATATAGGTGCACTTTGTAGTTCTACAGTTACAGACTGTAGTCCATCTGTTTCTCTGATACTTTGTTAGCCCCCTTTTACCCTGTTCTTCAGTGGTCAGGACCCCCATGGACCCTCACAGAGCAGGTACTATTTGGGTGGTGGATCATTCTCAGCACTGCAGTAACATTGACGTGGTGGTGGTGTGTTAGTGTGTGTTGTGCTGATCTGAGTGGATCAGACACAGCAGTGCTTCTGGAGTTTTTAAACACCTCAGTGTCACTGCTGGACTGAGAATAGTCCACCAACCAAAAATATCCAGCCAACAGCGTCCTGTGACCAGCGTCCTGTGACCACTGATGAAGGACTAGAGGTTGACCAACACAAACTGTGCAGCAGCAGATGAGCTATCATCTCTGACTTTACATCTACAAGGTGGACCGACAGGGTAGGAGTGTTTAATAGAGTGGACAGTGAGTGGACACAGTGTTTAAAAACTCCAGCAGCACTGCTGTGTCTGATCCACTCGTACCAGCGCAACACACCACCACCACGTCAGTGCTGAGAATGATCCTCCACCCAAATAGTACCTGCTCTGTGAGGGTCCATGGGGGTCCTGACCACTGAAGAACAGGGTAAAAGGGGGCTAACAAAGTATCAGAGAAACAGATGGACTACAGTCTGTAACTGTAGAACTACAAAGTGCACCTATATAGTAAGTGGAGCTGATAAAATGGACAATGAGCGTAGAAACAAGGAGGTGGTCATAATGTTATGCCTGATCGGTGTATGAGAGTTTCACATATTATAGGATTAGAAAAGTTGCCAGAGCTCTAGTACTACCTGAGGAACTTGTCCTCCTGCAGAGCCACGTTACGGGCCAGTTCAGGTACAGAGTAGCCCAGCTGCTCCAGGTACTTGGTCTCAGAAATGATCTCCTTCAGCTCCGGAGCAAAGTTCACCACAAAGTGCAGCCCCTTCTCCAAGTCCTGCTCCTGAAAAAACACAAACTACAGGTCACCAGGCTCATCTGATACATACATTATTCAGTATCTATTATGACTAAGTACTATGAAACTATTGTGTAAGTTATGTAGTTATGAGAGTGTCTCAGTTTTTACTCAGTTTTAGTGTGTGTAGTTTTACAGTCTGACGGTAATAAATGTGAGTGATTTTAATCCAGTATGAATCTGCAGTGTGTGTAGTTTTACAGTCTGACAGTAATAATTGTGGAGTGATTTTAATCCAGTATGAATCTGCAGTGTGTGTAGGTTTAAGTCTGACGGTAATAATTGTGGAGCGATTTTAATCCAGTATGAATCTGCAGTGTGTGTAGTTTTACAGTCTGACAGTAATAACTGTGGAGTGATTTTAATCCAGTATGAATCTGCAGTGTGTGTAGTTTTTACAGTCTGACAGTAATAAATGTGGAGTGAATGGTCTTCTGTAATTGGCCAAACTCAGAGCTCCCTCAGTAATAGCTGTTCTGTTCCAAACCTTAAATGATACAGCAAAACCTGCTAACAGACGTGGCTTTGCTGTATGTTGTTATTGGTATTGAGTGTGGCATCACTGATGTGAATATCCAGGCTATGACATTTTATTTGCACTGATACTTTATAATATACAAGATTCTCTTACTGTCTCTGGTGCAATGTCTCCACAGGCGACCCCAGAGCTGTTGAGCATAAGCAGCAGGGTTCTCTTCATGAGCAGAGGTAGCGCCTGCTCCGTCGCCTCTCTCCAGCACTCATACTTCTTAACTTCATAGTCCCGCATGCGAATACCCACCTCTAGGTACTTCGCCTTCACCTGCAAACACAACACATGTCTCTCTGTGCACTTTAGGCACAAATTCACATTGTATTTCATTCACAAATATTATTCAAAATTGCTTTTTTTTTTTCAAACTAGAGAATATCGACCCAAAAATTAAAATAAATTTAAACATTTTAGTGTTGGAAGATGGCTTCATAATGCCAAAGACCTGACAAGCCAAATGAACTGATGTGAATAGGGAGGTAATTCTAAAACTTTCACCAATCACACACAAGCGCAGCACATCGTTTGATTTTGTTTGTGCTTTTTGTTAATTTGAGTTCATTTGTGTAAACGTTTCATTAAGTTCTGTGTGCTCTGAACCTAAAGACTGTTTCTCATATGTCATTGGATAATTTGGAAACATATGTAATGTATTTATTACATAGACAGGCGTCTTACAGCTTTTCCCTGTTCGCTCTCCAGCATTTCGGGCACCTCCAGGAACCGTATGATGGTGTTTTTGATGCGGTGAAAGAGAGAGCGCTCCCAGTATATGGCTCCTGCCACAGGTGGCTGATTCTTATTCAAAGGTGGGTTATCTTTGTGTTGGACAAACATGTTGTTTATGATGTCCACCTGCAAAAAGTCAAACTTTGATTAAAACGGTCGTGCACCAACAGACTGAGAAACAGCTTCTTTCCCAGAGTTGGGGCTTCCATCGTGCCCCCCCCTGCCCAGTCAAAGAGCTGACTACAAGAGCCCACACACACTCCTACCTACCTGCTGACCTACTTACCTACTGACCTACCGACCTATCTACCTACCAACCTAACTGCCTACCTACCTACCTACTTACCAACCTAACTACCTACCTACTTGCCGACCTACCTACATACCTACCTGCTGACCTACCTACATACCGACCTACCTACCTACCTACCTACCCACTGACCTACCAACCTAACTACCTACATACCTACCTACCTACCTGCTGACCTACCTACCTACTGACCTACCTACCTATCTACCTACCAACCTAACTGCCTACCTACTGACCTACCGACCTATCTACCTACCAACCTAACTGCCTACCTACCTACCTACTTACCAACCTAACTACCTACCTACTTGCCGACCTACCTACATACCTACCTGCTGACCTACCTACATACCGACCTACCTACCTACCTACCTACCCACTGACCTACCAACCTAACTACCTACATACCTACCTACCTACCTGCTGACCTACCTACCTACTGACCTACCTACCTATCTACCTACCAACCTAACTGCCTACCTACTGACCTACCGACCTATCTACCTACCAACCTAACTGCCTACCTACCTACCTACTTACCAACCTAACTACCTACCTACCTACCTACTTACCAACCTAACTACCTACATACCTACCTACCTACCTGCTGACCTACCTACCTACTGACCTACCGACCTATCTACCCACCTACCTAACTGCCTACATACCTACCTACTTACCAACCTAACTACCTACCTACTTGCCGACCTACCTACATACTGACCTACCTACCTACCTGCCGACCTACCTACATACCGACCTACCTACCTACCGACCTACCTACCCACTGACCTACCAACCTAACTACCTACATACCTACCTACCTACCTGCTGACCTACCTACCTACTGACCTATCTACCCACTGACCTACCAACCTAACTACCTACATACCTACCTACCTACCTACCTACTGACCTACCGACCTATCTACCTACCAACCTAACTGCCTACCTACCTACCTACTTACCAACCTAACTACCTACATACCGACCTACCTACATACCGACCTACCTACCTACCTATCTATCTGGGAATTTTGCTGTGTTTGATGTTAAATACTGCCTTTATGCAGCATAGTCACCTCTTTGCAGTACTGAGCCAGAATATCACTGAACTTCTTCATCATCTGATTGTTGATAGCTTCTCTGGAGCGAATGTGCTTGAATTTCAGCAGCATATCGAAGGCCGCAGATGCTGATCGCAGGGTCTTGAAGGACTGGTCAATGAAATTGATGGCTTCTCCTTCAATAGCCTAAATCAACAGGAGATCGACAGCACAAACACAGTCTAAAAAACTGAGTTCACAACAATCAAACTAAAGATACTGACATGTAGCCCCACCTGAACTTTGCTCTTGAAATCCTGCATGACCATCTTCCAGCTGCCCATCTTTCGGATGTTAAAAGGGTCAAAGTTCAGCTCCTCGATGGGCACCACCAGGCTGTCCACCCAGCGCAGTACATCATCTATTCGCTTAGGGTCACCTGTCACTGCTTTCAGCTCCGGCCCAAAGATATTGTAAAACTCCTCCAAGGTCTGGAAGTTGAGGGAATTAAGGGATGAAGTTCACAGTTCAGTTACAAACACTTCAGTTCAGTCATTGAGATCTAAACAAAGTCATTCAAAGCGCTTTGATTTGAAATAGTGGATTGAAGAGAAACCTGTGGACTCAGATTTCTTTACAGTGGTGGTGACAGGAACCAGAAGTGGCGGCAGGTCCACAAACAATGGACCTACATGTGTCTTCTGGGTTTTCATATCGTCACTGTCCACAAGTGCCTCAACTTTTTTTCATTCTTTGATATCGTTTGAAAAATCAGCTGCCCTTTGCATCGAGTGAAAATTTCATGAAGAACGGGCCAATAGAAATGCTGCGAAATTGCATGAAATAAAATCTCTTTATAATGACTTAACTTAAAAGTAAAGAACGTTTTTGCCTCCTCCTGTGAGTTTACTATTTTGGAGATACTTGTTTTTTTTTTTGGATAGCGACAGTATGAAACGTTGATAATGGTAAATTAATGATAAATCGTAAATTATTTGGGTGTTCTTAAATTCTTTTGGTGCTATTTTGCCTTATTTTTTCCTTTCCACCATGAACATGTTTAAACAAAACCTTCTCAAAAATGATCATAAAACCCACCTCGGACTTCAGGCAGTGTGTCCGTTTCATGTTATAGCTTTCTGTAAAGTAGGTTCTCTTCTGATGTCTACTTTGTACCCCCAACACTGTGAAGAATTCTGATTTGGTGCATTTCTCATTAAACCACTCTGAATGACTTTGGCCCAATCCCATTTCACCCCTCGCCCCTACCACTCAGCCCTTAGCCCTCTGTTCTGGCCTTCACATCTAGGTGTAAGGTGTCCCGATTCTTGTTGAGATAGAGGGGTAGGGCGAAGTGTTGGGGCTACATGACCCTCCAAACTGAGGTTTTTCAGAGACTCCAAACAGAGAGATATGAGTAAAAAGGAAAAACGGGCAAGACGGCTGAACAAGAGACCAAATAAACCCACAAATGTGAGAATTTTCTCAGTTAAAAAATATGATAACCACTGTTTTATCTTAGTTTATTTGTCGAACAAGAAGCTGGTGAATAGCTGACATCAGCTTTGTATCAGAATTAGCGGTGGGTGATAATAAATAATTGCCCCCCTCTTTGAAGTCATATGATGCCCTAAATGTAACTAAAGCCCAGCAGTGAGGAGCTGAACTTTACCCTCCTCTGCTGTCACTGCAGACTGGCAGGGTCGCCTACAGAGCAGCGCTGGTAGCTGTTAATGAAGTAATGTGTTTTTTGAGTGTTGTACCATTTCGTAGGGCAAGATTTCAACCACTACCCTGTAACTCAGTTCCAAAGGGGTGAGGGTGACACTCGAAAACAAGGGGTAAAAAGAAGAAATGGGATTGGGCCTTTGTTTAAATTTCAACCATTTGCATGCACAGAAATTTGAAGAGTTGGTGGAATTCCCCTTCAAACAATGATAGACTAATGATATGACTAATAACATATAAACATACTAAACAATGGCAGATCAACATATAATTACTATTATACAAAACAACTGACAGTCTAAATGTGTTTTCAGATTGCTACAACGATGCTCGTTTTTCAGGAGCATGCGGCCGTATTACAGAAACTTCTTAATTCTGAAATCTTATCTTATCTGTTTAGTCACCATGACGACTTCAGTCAGGACTGAATTCAGGACAGAATCTCTTACAGAACAACAGTTCTTAGGTTCATAATCTCATCATTAACTCCAGATAAGAAAACAGTGTTACAGGAACATCCTAACTAGACTAAATCTCCTAAATGCTGTCCTAACTTTAGGATAAACCCCAACAGGGTCCTAACTTCTGCTTTAACCGTCTGATTCTACTGTTTTAGGCAGCTCAGTTCACTGTAACTGGCTAAATACATTACATTTATCTACACTGAAACGGTGATTTGACTTATGAGGGTTTTTTTTTTCTAACAGGGTTTTAAAAATCTCAGACGCTGCAGACTCGATCTCCACCGTCACTCTGATTACCTTCGTGTGTTAATGTTGATGATGAAATATTACAGTGATGGTGGTGAATAATGAGGAGACGGAGCTGAACGTGTGTCTGTTTATTAGGAGGAATAACATTAGCGCGCTCGGCTAAAGCGTTTGGGAAATGGAGACTGAAACTGGAGAACAGCGACGCTCTGATAAACAGCAGGAGGCGCTCTGATAAACAGCAGGGGGCGCTCTCACAGTATTCCTAACTTTCAGTTTATCGCGCTTTAGTTTGTTTGACCTTTTAAATCAGTAGCTGTCTGGCTAACAAGCTTGATTACTTTGATGTGTTTATGTTTCAGCTGTGCGCGTATGGTCGATTGCTCGGTAACAGACTTGACAGTTGATTGTCGACTTTAATCGAGTAAGTTAAGATTTCTTAACTTGAGATAAGAAAAGATGCTGTAAGACAAGATAAGATTTCTAAATTAAGATAAGATTTGCTTCTGTAATACGAATTTGAGAAAAATCTCATCTGCTCTTCGCAGATCTTAAGTTAAGACAAAAAGACAGGAAGTTTCTGTAATACAGCCCACGGTTCCCGATGTGGCATCACAAAAAGCAATGTAAGCTTAGTTTCCATATACGGACTGTATGTTTTGAAATTTTGCCAGTTTTTTAAAAAGCTTCTAAAATATTTTCATTAAAAAGTGAGGAAAATGAATGTTTCATGATATGTGCCTTCGAAAACATTCTAAATCCAAGTGAACTTATGATTCATGCAGGCGACGGCAACCTGAAGGATGTTGTAGAGGTCCTGACAGATTGAAGCCATGTAGTCTGTCTTCTCAAAGAGCTTTTTGCGGTCAAACTCCCAGCGTGGATCCCTGCCTGACGTTTCGATCCTGGTTCGAACATCAAAGTAGCAGGTCTTCCACTGGTCCAGAACCTGCTTGCCATCCAGTGCTTTGGCCTTGGCCACCTCCCTCTTGTCCCTATAGTAGTGACGATGACAAGAGATTTGAGATTCTCCAACAAACAAACACAAACTCAAATCTTGGACTGTTGTGCTGTGTGATGATTGGTAAGCTTCTAAAATGTCTCCTCATTCACATTATTTCATTAAGCTTTCAAAGGCCGACCCCACTTTATATGGATAAACAAATTCTATAGTACTGCTGGGTGATACTGATAATATCCAATACTGCAATACAGTCATATACAGGTCACCCTCTGTAAAATGACATGTAAAAAAGATAACACATCCTCTTCAGGGAATAAATATAAATCTGGTATTTTGACATTTGCACATTTTTATGCACCATTTCTAGTTATTTGCTATTTATTTTTATTCTATTTAAATTCTATATAATAATAATAATAATAATAATAATTCCATTTATATAATATTTATATTGCATTTATATAAAAAATAAAATGTAAATATAAAATATGCCACATTTTATGTTTAAGTTTCACCAAATATGTTACATCCAGCAAATAAACAGCAATGGTGCATTAAAATGTGCACAATTACTGTTTATTTGATTAATTTAGCATATTGTAAAAAAAAAAACCAACATAAAATGAGGTCAAAAGTTTGGGCACATTGCATACTTTATGTTTTATTTATTCTAATATGTTAAACTCAAATAAAGGGTGTAAATAAGTGTGTACTAAAACATGTAGAAAACTTGCACACGACTGTATTTAACTAGCGTCATATTTAAGTTTGAAACTTGATATTTAAGATTAATAAGCATTAATAAAGTTAATGTTACCCATGCTTCCTAAGTGCTTCTACTTGATACCAAAATAATGTCTTAAAGAGCTGATATAACTTGATTCACAGTTTAGTTCTGTTTTTCAGGAACCTATAACGTACTAGTATTTTAAGGATTTTAAACTGCTCTTTAAAAACAATTTCAACAGTTTCACCCTGTAAATCACACTCACACAGCCCTTAACTGTCATGTCCTGTGTACCAGTGAAGCATGCAAAAATAATTAAAAACTAGACTACTATAATTATAAAACATATCAATGTAAAAAAACGTACTAACTCAGATTTCTTTACAACGATGGCGAATTTAATGATGAACGCAAATACAGCCACTTCATTTATTAACAAAACCACCAGTGAACCTACACGAGTCTTCTGAGTTTTCATCTGTATTGGTGATGACGTTAAAACAGTGGTACGTCTGAAAAGGTATTTTTCTCTGGGGACAGTTTTTTATTACCAGAATAGCTTTCCTCCACCTGCGTAACATCGCTAAATTAAGAAATGCACTGTCGCTACAGGATGCAGAAACGTTAGTTCACGCCTTCATTACGTCCAGGTTAGATTACTGTAACGCTCTGCTTTCTGGTTGTTCCAGCCAAAACCTTAACAAGCTTCAGTTAGTCCAGAACGCTGCAGCCAGAGTTCTCAGCAAAACCAGGAAATTCGACCACATTAGCCCAGTTTTGTGTACCTTACATTGGTTGCCAGTTAAATTCCGCATTGAGTACAAGATTCTTCTACTGACGTATAAAGCTCTGAATGGCCTTGATCCTCAGTACCTCAGTGACCTTTTTTCCTATTATCAACTGACACGCCCACTTAGATCACAAGGTGCTGCTCATTATTAGTACCCAGAATAAATAAAGTTACGTCAGGGGGAGGAGCCTTTTCATACAACGCCCCCCAGCTTTGGAATAGCCCACCAGTCTGTGTTCGGGACTCAGACACAGCCTCCATCTTTAAGTCTAGGCTAAAAACTTACCTGTTTAGTCGAGCCTTTGGTTAATTTGTTTTCCTAACTATGTCCCTCTCATCCCCCCCCTCCCCCTCTCTTTCCCTGAGCTGAGCGGCTGCCTGTCCTAAGAGGGTCTGACCTGAGATGTGGCCGGCGCACTGCACAGTGGTGTAAAACTGTATCCACTTATACTGTTTTGTGTCTGTGCTGTTATCCGGTGTCGACCAGAGGAGGATGGGTTCCCCTTTTGAGTCTGGTTCCTCTCAAGGTTTCTTCCTCCTTTTGAGGAAGTTTTTCCTTGCCACTGTCGCCAAGGCTTGTTCACTGGGGGACCCGGATTCTCTGTAAAGCTGCTTTGTGACAACATCTGTTGTAAAAGGCGCTATATAAATAAATTTGACTTGACTTGACTTGACTTTCTCTCGACGCCCTGCATGTGCATCTCGGCCATGAATTAACTTAAAAATAGAATGTTTTAGATAAAAAACCTTCTCCAAACTATCATAACACAGTGTCTCGCAGTGAATTCATAACCATTTCACGTAGTAACTTTTTGTGACGGAGCTTTTAAAGGTGGACGTCTGGTTCCTATCACCACCACTGTGAACAGTTCTGACTTGGAGTTTCTCTAGAACGGAGCGTTTCACACCAAACCACTCTGAATGACTCTGTTTACATCTCAACCATTAAATTATGCAGAAAAATCAGTGGAATTCCTCTTTAACTATCTACACTGTGTTTTCTTTATGAATCTAAAGCCTTCATGCATCTAGTGGGCCATCCAGGACATGCTGGATTCTACGTTTTTTTTTTTGTTGTTTAATTTGGAACATATGATATTGTGAAGCGTAACAGGCTGTGTTATAGTTTCGACTCACTTGAAAAGCACACGAACGTTGACGACGCGAGTGACGCGTTCGGCCAACTCCCAGGCAATGCGCTCCATCAGCGGGACCATGCGCTCATCCGTGTTGTAGTGGCTGGAAATGATCCACACCATCCGCAGCCCGTTCATCATCTGAGGGATGGTGTCCAGGATCACACTAAAATTCACTCCTGTGGCCAGGTTCTGGAGTGCGATACAAGCAGAACACAGTTGAAGTCATACTGCAATGGGAAGCTTAGACAGATATGGTGTCAGGTGCTGAATAAGGTGGTCTAATGAAGTCATCGTGTGTGTGTGTTACTGCCTCTTCTCTTAAGATGAAGTGTATGTTCCTATCTATTTCTTAAAGGGCTCATATCACGAAAGTGAATTAAGAGTTTGATGCACCATACATACACAGTTAAAGTTAAACATGCTGTTTATACCCAGTACTGTGCAAAAGTCAGAGACCACCCTTAATTATGCAATTTCCATTCAAAACAGCCGTTAAGTACATTAAGTTATTTTTTTTTCAGTGTCTGGTGAAAAGAAAACATATTTAACAGAAAATTACACAGACGCCTCAATAACTAAATAGAGGGTGATTCAAAAAAGATTAATTCGATTTCAAAATGATTTATTTCACTTATAAATCATTACAGAACAACGAACTGTGGAGGTTTGTCTGCAGATTTCTTTGAGAAACTGAAAGTGAGTCTCCTGAAAAGAATGGAAGCTGGAATAAAGGTAAAGAGAGACGCACTGAAGACTCAAAGAGCTGATATACAGGGTGATTCGAAAAAGAACCATCCGATTTTAAAGCGCCATATTTTTCCAACCGTGAGGCGCCTAGGAACCAATCACATACAAATTGAAAGAGGGGGTCATAGAGTTTCTGATTGTCAGTGGAAGATGGCTCCCTTCAGTCTGAGAGGAGATGGAGACCCCTGAGCAGAAAGCGTTCTGCGTTCTCCACTTCAATAAGAGTGAATCCGTCATAACTGTGCAGTGTGATTTTCGTGGGCAGTGAAGCTCCAACAGCTCAGAGTGTTCATCGTTGGTTCCACAACACTGGATGATCTCCGAAATCGCACTGCAAGAGCTGTGAGTGCAGCGACACCCGACATGCTCAATCCAGTATGGGATGAGTTTGACTATGGTGTTGATGTTGTCTGTACAGCTGGAGGAGGTTCATACTGAGACCTTGTAAAATTACATAATAAACTTTACGCTCATTTAAACCATTTACAGTTCACTGCATTGATCTGTAATGATTTACAAGAGAAATAAATCATTTTGAAATAAGATTAATCTTTTTGAATCACCCTGTATATAAGACAAAAATGTAGAATATGGGCCCTTTAATTCACAGCACTGGCTATAATGAAGTGAACTGAAGTGAAATTGCAGACGACTGCTGTTACAGTACATGCAGCAGAAACTCCAGCTCACCTTAAAGTGCCTCTCCAGAGTGCCAAGGAAGCGCACATTATCCACGGACTCCACGTGGTACTTGCTGAGCTCCGCTACGGTCAGGTCCAGGTTCTGTAGAGTGACAGGGTCAGCCCGGGTCATCGCCTCCAGGATCTTTTTCACCACAGGCAGCTTGAGTTGCTCACTCAGAGCGCTCAGTACGGCTGCACGCTCACGCCAGAAATCAATCTCTGCCATTGGACCGGGACCCTTAGAGCCAGTAGAGACTGAGTTATTGAGTTGCCGCTCATTTATAACGAGTTATTTTTGTTGAGAAACACCAACACTGATTAGAATAAAGATAATATTACTGACTTATTATTTCAAGAGAATAAAGAAAAGCTATTTTAAAACACACAAATAATACAGGATATATATGGCTGTATGCAAAAGTCTGAACATCAGGGTGGCAGGTGGGCTCTGGAACTGCCAATCCGCTGTGCAGAAGGCAGACTTCATTTCAGCCCTAGCATCCTTCCATTCACTGCACTTTTCGGTGTTGACGGAGACCTGGATCACCCCCAAGAACTCAGCGACTCCAGCAACCCTGTCCTCTGCCTTTCACTTCCCATTCTCTGAGACAGTCTGGCAGGGGTGACGGCACAGGTTTGCTTTTGTCCAGAAAGTGGCGTTTCACTCCACTTGCTTTTTCTCATCTTTCAGTTTCCTCCTTTGAGTACCATGCTGTCACTGTATCACCCACTAAACTTCACATCATTGTCCTTTATCGTCCTCCCTCTCCTCTAGACAACTTCAGTGATGAGTTTATTCTTCCCCATTTACTGGAACCCCACTCACAATTTCGGGTGACTTCAACCTGGGTGACAAGCTGCTGTCATTCAGCCTGTTACCACTGCTATCGTCCTTTGACCTCACCCTCAACCAGACTCCTCCGACGCACAGAGCAGGCAACACTCTGGACCTGATATTCAGCAGACCTACCTCTGCGCTGGATGTGACAGTAACTCTACTTCACCGCTCTGATCACCACTTTCTATCTTTCACACTCTCCCTCCCTGCAACTCCTGTCCATTCCACCCCTTCATGCTCTTCTACTCGACGCAACCTGCACTCCATTCCTCGCTCATCTTTTGTTTCAACTATCCTAACCAACTATGCTAATGCTGTAAATGTAAATGTATGTAATGCAAATTAACTTATTGTCTACAGAGAACACATATAAATTAGGTATTTTTCTGTAAATGTTCTGTACATTTTTGTGCACAATTTCTATTTTTTTGCTATGTTTGACACTTTAGAAAAAATTAAACATAAAATAAAATGTGTTCAAATACAAAATGTGCCATAACTTTTGCACAGACCACATTTTTTTCCATAATGCACTGTTTATTTGGTTAAGTTAACATTCAGTGGTTTTATTTTTGTCCAATTTGTTAAACGCAGCAAAAAACAGAACTTCTGCACCAAAATTTTCAGAAAAATACCACATTTAAGTTTGTTCTCTATAGTGGATGTGTGTGTGAAGAAGGGGTGTAAAACTATTAAAACGTATCTACTGTATTTTTGATCTCTCTGCACTGCACAGACCTGTGGTTTCTTCTTCTGCTGCTCCTCAATGACGATGGTGATTTGCGTCTGCCAGTTCATCACACATTGCTCCAGCTTCTCCACCACCTCCTGATTAGCCAACAGTGTCTCCACATCCGGTTCCAGGTCCAGTTCTGGGATATGTAGTTTAATTTCACCTAAGGCAGAGCGTTGAGGATGTATATGATTCTACAGAAAGACTTATAGTTCATGTAAGGTAGAGAAAGCACAACATCTGTTTTTTTTTATGATAACAATCCCATTATTGAAACCTTGCGTATCGGCCGATAGTGGAACGACTATGATTTGTTTCTAACTACTAACTCAGAGGTACTTAAACACACCCTCCAGCTGCTGCAGGGTCCTGTCTATGTGGCCCAGGAACTTGTGAGTGCTGTTGAGGAGCTCGTCTCGGATCATGAGCGCCCCACGCGACTCCGCCGGCGGCTGCTGGCCTTCAGGCTTCGGCTCACCGCCCGCATCTCGTGCCTCAGAGCCTGGCGTCTCCTGCTGGTAGCCTCCGTCAGTGAGCTTCAGCTGGTTCACCGACAGCATGGGGATATACACCTGCAGGGAGAGCAGAAGCAAATGACTGAGATTAAGTGAATGACACTTAAGTGATTAGAAAGAAGCACTTAGTTCATTATTTAAAGGGGTCGTGTCCTACGCTTTCCTTGTATTTTATTTTTTTTCTGCCTGTGTGTTGTTTTATGTACCAAAACAGTAATACACTCTTAAAAAAGATGGTTCTTTAAGGGTTCTCTAGTGAGGACAGCAGCTTTATATGGAACCTTGAACACTCTAAGAACCCTTTGTATACTTAAATGGTTCTTTGCGTGGTGAAATTGTTCTTCAGATTGATGAAGGATGTGCTGTATATTTTTGAAAATGGTTCTATATAGCAGCAAAAAGGGTTCTGGCTATAGTTACAATGTCAAGCTTGTAACAATAGAAGAACCCTTTTTGGTGCTCTATATAACCCTTTTCAAAAAGGTTCTGTATAAAACCATGTACGACACATTCTCCATCAATTTTGAAGAACGATTTCACCATTCAAAGAAGTATGCAAAGGGTTCAGTGTTCAGAACCACTGTCTTTATCAAAGAACCCTTGAAGAACCCTCTCTCTAAGAGTGTACTTCATTTGTACATGACCACAGGACAGCTACAATTATTACAATCACATTCAATGCTTTTAATACTTATTATGACCTTAACAAAGGAAAAATGCTGCCATTTACACTGCAAACAGCACACTTAAGCAATAGAACACGAGAGGGAGTGTGTTATCGCGAAGTAGCATCACGATAACACACAACCTCGAGTGTTCTATTGCTTTTGTACAAATAAATAAAGTAATAAATTAATAAACTGGGCCGTGAACGCGGCGTTTAATGTTTTAATGTTCACTTTTCCTTCCAATAAATTATAGTTCCTTAACGAGCAGCTTGTTGCTACGTCAGAGTAACGAACTCCGCCCACTCGCTGCACAGTCTGCTGTAAGCCTCGCCTTTTGAAGTTCAGACTGAGCCATAAAACTGCCGCAATATCAAGTTTAGCTCAGTTTTGTCAGTTTTTGCCAGATCAGTATTAATGTTGTTTTGTTCCAGCCAGTCTGTAAAGCTTCTTACAGCCCATTTAGTTTGGCGAATGGTGTTGGGTTCATTTCTGGCTGATTCCAGGTTGTTTAGCTGTTCTTCTGTCACAGCTGCCGACTGAAAAGCTGCTCAGTGGTGATGACAGTTTGGGAATTTAGTGTCGTCTCATCTTCAGAGTCTGACCAAATCGGCTGTCGGTCAAATGTGATCTTAAAAGCGTCCATTTTGTTTGTGGCAAGGTGAGAAGTAAAAACGTTCAAATGTCTTGAGCGTCTCCTACAGCTGTCAAAGTCGTTGCTTAGCAACGGCGTCTCAGCAGAGTGATACAGTGTTCGTGAAAAAAACGTGATGTTATGGAGAAATAACAGCACAGTTAGAACGCCTCTCAACCAATCAGCTTGCGTGGCCGGAACTAACTGTTGTATAAGCTTAAATACTGCACTCATTAATGTCTATTTTATTGAACATCAAAAATTGAGTGCACTCAATAATCCAATCATAATCTTTCTGCAGTTTCTGCAGTTCTGTCGTGCTCTAGGTCTTCATCAATGGTCAATTTCTGACCACAGGACAGATGTCGGCTGGGCATTTTTGGATGTTGGCTGTTCTCAAGTAATTTAATACACATCATGACTCATCAACACAGACTTTAGTCATCGTTTTAGACTTGAATACCTAAAATAGTAAAACAAAAGATATTTTCAGACATTTTTGTCAGACTTTATAAGTCTTTTTGAGTATCCTCAGAAACGCTGCATCATTTTCCAGCCTCTTTATCCCTAAGAATTAAACAGGCTGTTTTTGTCTCTGTGCCTTTAAGACATATATATCTAAATGAGCTCTGTTTTGATTGGCTGCCTTGTATTGGGTCTCAGTTAAAAAAAGCAGCCTGGACTGAAACACTACTTACAACTTCAGTGTGAGTGGGTGGAGCTAAACCGCTATAGACTGACTAGACAGATGTATGAAAACGTGTCACAAAAACAATTCAAAACAACTTGTTTTGCAGTTCAGTTTTCATATGAAATGCTGTGAATAAGTATTTGCCCCTCTCATATTTGTCCCTCCTGATTTCTTCTATTGTTGCATTTGTTTCTTCAAATTTGCATCTTTAAACAAAATTCATAAAAGACAAAATCATGAGTGAACACAAAATGCAGTTTTTGAATGATTATTTCATTTATTGAAAGAAAAAAGTTATCAAATTGTGAAAAAGAAATTGCTCAACCGACCTACTAACCAATTTTAGCTGATTACTGGTATCAATAAAATAGACAATCAACAGAAATTCCAGAAGAAATTAGAAAGAGAGCTATTAATTATATATTATTATATATATGAGAGTGGAAAGGGTCACAAAACCAAATATCGGCAAAATCTAAAAAGATGGTTCTTCAAGGCTTCTTTAGTAAATAAAATATCTCTATACAGAACCATGAACACTCAACTCTTTGCATCATTAAAGGGTTCTTTGCATCGTGAATGTGTTCTTCAGATTGACGCAGAATGTGATGAAGATGGGTCTTTTATTTTGAAAAGGGTTCTGTATAGCACCAAACAGGTTTACGATGTCAAGCCTGTCACAATAGAAAAAACCTATTTTGGTGCTATATAGAACCCTTTTCAAAAAAGGTTCTATACAGAACCATATACAACACATTCTCTATCAGTCTGAAGAACCCTTTCATTATGCAAAAAACCCTTTATTCATGCAAATGTTTCTTTAAGTGTTCATGGTTCTATATAAAACCATTTTCTTTGGTAAAGAACCCTTGAAGAACCATCTTTTTTTAAGTGTGTAGCAGTGGTGAATCTTCTTCCTCCACAAGCACAGCGACGTCTTATCTAGGATGCCACAAAGGAACCCAGACAGATGTAAATTTTGCTAGTACAGATGATTCCACTGTGAGTAAGACACTGGGCAAACTGATATCCATGGGAGAGTTGTGAGGTAAAACCACTGCTAAGCAAGAGCAACACAAAGGCTCACCTCACATTCACCAAAAAACACCCTGATGACCCCCAAGCCTTGGAATAATGTTCCTCAAGTGCAACTGGGTTATGTAGAAACGGTCAACAGTGGTCCACAGCACCAGAACAAATTCACCTCTGAATGGCTGAGAATAAACCAAACTGATGTTTTGGAGTGTCACAGTCACAGAGATGTGAAAGAGTGATCTCCGGTTATAGGAAGGGTTTAGACGCAGTGGCCCTCTAACGGTGGCACAACCATTTATTTTAGGGGGGGCATTACTTTTTCACCATGGATGATAAAGGTGCTGCGAAATGTTTTCTTCAATAAATAAAACGCTCATTTAAAACTGTGTGTCCTCATTGTCTCCATGTATATATATATATATATATATATATATATATATATATATACATGGAGACTGCTGTCAGAACAAAACCTTGTATCTCCAAAATGGTAACTTTACAGGAGAAGGAAAAAACACACTTTACTTTTAATGTAAGTCAATGGAACCAGACTTTTTTCCAAGTCATTTTGGGCCGTTTCTTTTGGTCCATTCATCATGAAATTTACACACAATGTAAAGGGAAACTTCAATTTCAAATGATGTAAAATACTGAAAAACGACAAAAATGGAGATACGAGGTTTTGTTCACACAGCAGCGACATATAACTATATACTGTATAACACTCTGTTAGTGACAAATATGCAAAAATAGACAAAATCAGGAGGGGGCAAATATTTTTCATAGCACTGGACGGACCTGGACTTAGGAGTGAACATTACATTTTAAAACTTGCTTACATACCACATCAAACCCTTTTATTTCTGTTTTATTTTTATCCTTTAAAATACCTGCATTAACCCTTGTGTGGTGTTCAGGTCGGTGGGACCCATTTTCAATGTTTACCAAAAGAAAAAATGATGCAATTTATTATTATTTTAACCTCAGATACTTGTCCTCTGCTCATTTTCTGTGAAGAACATATAAAATAACCCATTTTCAGCGTCTTCACTCTGTTCACCCCCCACACATTTATATTACACATGTGGTGTTGGGTGAACCTGCGGGGAGTAAAAGTGTGGAGGTGCTGTGTCCTTCACTCTGTTCTCCTCCTACATGGCCTGCTGTTAGTGTGTGTGTGTCTCGGTGTGTATGTGGACAACATGGACAGGCTGCTGACTGGCTACAGCTGCTAAAGAAGAACCCTACGCTGGACACTTGTGATGTTTTAAACATCTGGTATTTTTATATAAATTGTTATGACTGTATTGATTTAAAAAACAATAATGCGGTGGGTCCAGCAGACCACTGAGTAACAAACACATCAACACCACACAAGGGCTAAAATACTAAAGAAGGGCTTCGGGTATGCAGTTTCCGTGAAGTAGCACTGTTTTAGTGTTTTATTCCGTTTTGTTACACACATGCTTGAGAAGGTTCCTGAGCATCAGCAGGGAATGGCCATTGATCATGCCTATCTCCAGCAGCTTGGGCATGAGATCATTAGCCTCGTTTATGTCCACCGGCTCTACAATAGTCTCTGAAACAGAAAATGGGTTGTAGACGGTTGTTATCACTGCATGCAAACGTTAAACTTTAATAAAAGCACTATAACCCTAATTATTTTCGCTACCCACCTTTGGTGTTCCTCAGGAAGTAGAGTATGTTGGACTTCATGGGCTTATCTGGAATAGAGTTCACTGCTACATGCAGCTCCACGTGGTACACAATTTGGACCTCAGTTCTCTGAGAAGAAGGTAAGAAACAAGATATTCACAGTTGGGAAGTTAAAAATTAGCAGAGGCAAATCCCATATTCTTCCAGCGTCCTTTCACAGCCCAAACCTGCCTTGTCACCAGTCACCATTGATGGAGTTGATGTGGAGGTGGTGGGGACCTACAAATATCTGGGTGTGCACTTGGACCACAAGTTAGACTGGAGCTGTAACACTCTCACGGTGTACAAAAGAGGCCAAAGCCGTCTCTACTTCCTGAGGAGGCTGAGGTCTTTTGGTGTGAGCACTAAGCTCCTATGGACTCTACCAGTCTGTTGTAGGGAGTGCTTTACTCTATGCTGTTGTGTTTTGGGGCAGCAGCATTAACAAAAGTGCTCTGAACAAAATAAACAAACTTCTTAGGGAGGCTGGCTCTGTTGTAGGAGTCAAGCTGGACCCTCTGGAGGTTGTGGCAGAACAGAGGATGCTCAACAAGCTGTCAGCCACCTTGGGCAACACCTCACACCCCCTGCATGCTACACTGGATAAACAGAGGAGCTCATTCAGTGCAGACTGTTCCAGCTGCGCTGTGTTAAAGACGGCTCTACAGCGAGTCTCCTTACTGCGGTACTGATCCTCTGCTGTCTGAACTGAGCTGAACCACATCACTCCTATCACATCACTCGTATCTCCTCTCCTATTAATACACACTGTGCAGTGCATCATAACCACTACTGTAATGACTCTCACTGAGCACTTTACACTGTAATATTGATGCAACTATTAGTTAGTTGTGTTTATACTCATTGCGCTTTTAGTTACCTCACACCATTCAGTGCCTGCTCTCATGTAAATACAACAAATCTGTCTTATAAGCCATGTAAATATGCAAACAGATAAACTTTTATTTTATTTCTACTCTCTTATACTTTATCTATCTATCTATCTATCTATCTATCTATTTTTATGGTCTCTCTGATTCCATTTACACCTGGTCATCTCACCTGGCCGCTTGTATGTGTACTGTATCCTGCAAAGTTTTCAACAACATGCATTTACTTTCGGAAGCAACTCTGATTGCTGTCATATGCAAATCAGCTCATAGCACAACAACCAATTGTCTGTGGTGTTTCTTGTTTGATTCCATGGAAACTGCAATGACTGTAAAAACCTTTGATGCAATCAGAGTTAAAATGATTTGTCAGCTAAAAGCTGCAACAGAAAGTTTGACGTTTTATGACAACCACGTTCGGAAATGTTGAAGTGGTGAGGCTGCCACCCCTCTTGGATTTCTCCTATCATCCTGTGTTTTGGTTGTCTGTCAAAGAAAAAATAAATTACATTCCTGAACCCAAAATGTCAAGGAATCCAAACATTTTCACATGTTAGCATTTCATATGAAGCTTAACCCCTTAGCAGGCTGGCCCAAAGTTTTATTACACACTTCTATGGAGCTAAGAAAAGCTCCATTAGTTTGCATTGAAGTCCCTGAAGTTACTGAATAATAAGCTTTAGTATGATATAAACCTGGATTATTGAGGGGTTAAAAGCTGCATTATGTACATTTTGGGGATTTGGAGACCTCTCTGGTGGATAAGTGTAATTGCATGCAACGTGCAGACCGACACTTTGGCTACATTTACACAGCAGGTAAAAGTGGCCCGTATGTGACACAGATGTGTGTCTGTGTGTCAGTGTGAACAGGTAAACACACTGAATTCAATTCCGATTTGAGACGCTTTCATAAGTGGTACTGAAATCCGATCCGTATCCGATCTGCGGCAATGTGACTCAGTCTGAACAGCCAGATCGGAATTCATGCGGTTTTCACGTCAATCCAACTCAACATTTGTCATAATGTTGTGCTCCTGAGACCTAATAAACATTTGGGACTTATCCAAAACCCTCCGTGTTTGAATAGATTTCGAAAGAAATGGCTGAACGTGGCCGCAGGAGAACAAGGGCTGCGGCATCAAAGCAATGTGATGCATTGTTCTTTTGCGCATGTGGGTCAGTTTAGCTGATCTGTTCAGACTGATGTCACATTTAGATCACATTTAAAAGATAATGTGAACAGCCAAACAAAAAAATCGGATTTGGTGAGAAAATCAGATTTGGGCCACTTTTACCTGCTGTGTGAACGTAACCTTTGTGGCACGGGTTGTGCTTCAAGGAACGTCTTCTGAGGATGTGAGTGAATTATCTACTACTGTCATCATATCTTAATCATGTTGATTCTGCATTTGAGTCCTAAACATTGAGCCGGATCTTCTTTTTGAGCCTGGGCATGTGAAGTTATACGTAATACGACACATGACGTGGTCTAAAAATAATAAAATGATTATTTCATACTTTGTAGAGTCACTTGCAGCAGTGCACATCATATTTTAGCCTGCTTTAATTTCTCCATCAATTTTAACCCAAAAAAATCGTACATAGCGCTTCATTTATTCAATCACACCACTAGACTGATAAATGTGTGTATCATTACACACCTACTGAATATAATCCTAATGCATGAAACGTCCAGGTTTAAACGGGTTCTCTGATACTAAACACATAAAACAATAGAGTATAAAACAAAGGCACATTACAGTGGAAGGAAGCTCCTCCATGGTCACTGCTTCTGGGCTGCCCTCGGCTGCAGACTCCACACGGTGTGGAGACTCCCTCCTGTCAGCAGACTCACGCCCTCTTCTTTTCTCTTTAGACGTACAGAGAGAGGAGGAGCAATGAAAAAAAAAATGAAGGACCCAGTTTTTCAAATTCAGTGTGGTTTATGCCTTTTATGACTGTTAACACACTTCACATTTCATTACACCTCTGCGGCTAGATTGCTTAGTTATACTAAATTAAGTATAAAATTCAGCTTATTGGTCACACTCCTTCATCCAAACCTCTGGGATTTGAACATAGATAAACACACCTAGATGTCTGTTGTTCTCTATGTGAGGCGATACGTCTGCGCGTCCGCCATGTTGGAGAGGTCAAGATCCACTTGTGAACAAATTCACTTGTACTGAGAGACGATGAGTCTCAGGATTAAATCAGCCACAACTTCCTTATTACTCAACCGATTTTCACCACATTTGTTTCGTTATAATCCTCAGACACAGATTAATCCAGGCTGTACGGATCTGCTCTCGGTAGCTTTATTACTTTAATAACTGATCGTGATAATTAGCCGTCCGGACCAGCAGGAAAGTATTCAGTCTGCACCTGAAGTGAGTTTAGCGCTCTGACGGGAACACAATCAGCAAATCCATCAATGTGTGAATCACTTCTAATCTTAATACACAGAAGGACGGAGCTGAAGTTGTCTATATAGATAGTTGTCTTCTTGTTTGAGTTTTCCCGTTCCACCTTAAATGGTGCAGCAGTCACTGTCTGCTGCCTGAAGCTGCACCATTTAAAGTGGAACGGGAAAATTCCAACAACAAGCTGGCAAATAAGAAGCCAATTTCAGGTTTGTGTAAGAAGGTGCTAACGTTATCTATTATGAATATCTACACGGATTAAGGAATGCTATAACCTACTGAGCTACAAAGCTTTAACCATCATTGTAAATAAATAACTACTACATAAAGTTAAGACCCCCTGAATAGACTATTAAATTATATAAATTTAATATAAAACCAGAGGAAAAACGATCACATCAACAGGTTCTCTGTGCTTCACCAACCACACGGCCAAATCTACACAAACATCACACAGACATGAGCGTGGATCGCTGCGTTCCCTCTGTTATATAATCCTATCCTGCTTTCTGAGAGCAATATTTTTGAAATAGTGTAATTTCGGACAGTATCTTTCTTAAACTGCCGCTCTGTAATTGTACTGAATGCAGTCCAGCAGCGATGCTGACCTCCCCAGAATGGCGGCGCCGTTGACGTGCCTGGCTGGACCCATCTAGGTATACACATCTAGGTGTGTATATCTATGGATTTGACTATATGACTATATTTCAATCCAGGTTTTACACACGGCCTTAGAATTCAATGCCTCTAATAGTAAAAAAAAATAAGAGATTTTCAGACTTTTTGTGACTTTACATTTTTAAATTAAGTTTATAAACATTTAAAGGCTTTGAGACATTTAAGGATGCACGCATTAGTAGGATCTTACTATCTGCAGAGCTCCTTTGTCTCTCTGAGGTAGGAGTCTCAGCATTAGGGTGGGAAAGTGCGGACTGGTTTGCCTCAGCTTCATCCTCATCAGGCTCTGGAGCTCCTTTATGCACATCTGAGGAAACAACAAGAAAGTATGAGGATGACTGAGACCACTGGCTTTGACCGGACATTCTTTCTAAAAGAGAAAAGGACCTTAGATGCTTTAGCAAGGAGAAATATGCAAAAATCAACATAGTTCTATTACTGAAAGCCATTCAGAGTGGTTTGATGTGAAATGGCCAATTGTACAGAAACTTACCAACTCAGAGTTCTTTACAGTGGTGGTGATAGGAACCAGACGTCACAATGTCTTCAATTTAATCACTAACCATTTTATTTTATTTACTACATTTTATTTAGTAACCACTGCACCTTCATGTGCCTTCTGAGTTATATAAAATATGCCTTAATCTTATCACAAAACTGTCATAATACAGTGTCTCAGGCATCAGGCAGTGACTTCATATCATTTCATGTAGTAACTTTCTGTGAGGGAGCTTTTAGAGGTGGATGTCTGGTTCCTATCACCACCACTGTGAACAGTTCTGATTTGCCTACATCTTAACCATTTAAAGGGGAACTCCAGTGACTGTTCATAATTAAATGGTTAAGATGTAAACAGAGTCATTCAGAGTGGTTTGGTGTGAAACGCTCCGTTCTAGAGAAACTTGCCGAGTCAGAACTGTTCACAGTGGTGGTGATAGGAACCAGACGTCCATCTCTAAAAGCTCCCTCACAGAAAGACATTACATGAAATACAATGTAATTCGTTACTGTACTTAAGTAGTTTTTTGTGTATCTGTACTTTACTGAAGTTTTTCCATTTTGGGCTACTTTTTACTTTCACTCCACTACATTTCAAAGTCAAATATCTCACTTTTTACTCCACTACATTATGACAAATCTGTCGTTCCTTTTGGTTTATGTGTGTATAAAAACGTAACATGTCAAAATGAAAGAAGAGTGAAGCAAAAACACCAATCAGGGCACAGCGGTCACTTTGTTTTGAGCTTGTTTTGACCTGTTTGTCATACCGACCCAGTGCAGCACACGGTTCAACGTCAGTGCAGCAGCGTAAAATTTTGGGAGAGTCTATTCAACATAAATGATGAACTAACCTAACTTTGTGTAAACAGACCACAGTATAGAAATATGTACTCATACGCAGTTGTGACTGACGTGTCTTTATTCTGAATTTATACAAACATTATTTCATTTTATAGTAAATTAGTTTTGGCTAGTTTATGTTTATGAACAGAGACCTACAGATGCAGTTTAGTAAAGGAAACTCATTTGTGAATCTGAGTTTAAAGTTTTTATTAAACTTAAACTTGCAAATAAATCTTAAACTGAAACTTTGCTGGTTTGTAAAAAGTGATTTCAGAGCCGCTCAGTTCTACCTGATGGAAACTGTTTGCCTTCAGTGTTTTGTGCTTATGATAATTTTAATAGACATCAGCATCACTAATTAATGACCTTCTATTAAAAGACTGGTTTACCAAGAGAGACACTGGAGTATTTTCACCTAGAATGAGTTAATGAAGCGAGTCTTGTTACAAAAACGGTAATATGACATCAGAGTCATAATTAATCTTTTAGTACTTTCAGTTTTGATACTTAAGTACATTTGAAGGCAAATACTTTAGTACTTTTACTCAAGTGGAGGTCTAAAGGGAGGAACTTCTACTTTTACTGGAGTAATATTTTACCTTGGGTGTCTCTACTTTAACTCAAGTACATGGTTTCTGTACTTCGTCCACCACTGATGAAATGGTTATGAATTCACTGCCTGATGTCTGACAGTGTTTTATGATAGTTTTGTGACGACGTTTTGGCTTAAAACGTATTTCAGTTTCTGGTGGAGGGGTACATTCCATATAAACTCAGAAGACTCGTGTAGGTTCACTGGTGGTTCTGGATAGTAAATAAAATGTCCATATTTGTGTTGTAGTCATGGCGACCCCTGGTTCTTATCACCACCACTGTAAAGACATCTGAACCATTTCACACCAAACCACTCTGAATAGTACGGTACGGAGCCCCGCTGGTGACATCCCGTATAAATAAAAATAATGCGTGGCCACGACTTAGTAAAGCGTGGGAACGAGATCCTAATGCGTGGCCACGACTTAATCATCTCATTCCCACGCCTTACTAAGTTGTGGCTCGCATGAGTAAGGCATGGGAACGTATCCTAATGCGACTTAGTAAAGCGTGGGAACGAGATCCTAATGCATGGCCACCACTTAATCATCTCATTCCCACGCCTTACTAAGTTGTGGCCACGCATTATTTTTATTTACTCGTATAAGGAGCCCCGCTGGTGACATCCTGTGTAAATAAAAATAAGTTGTGCGTGGCCACGACTTAGTAAGGTGTGGGACTGAGATAATTAAGGCATGGGGACGAGATCACGGCTTACTAAGTCGTAGCCATGCATTGGGATCTCGTTCCCACGCTTTACTAAGTCGTGGCCATGCATTATTTTTATTTATACAGGATGACAACAGCGGGGCTCCGTAGAATAGCTTTGTTTACATCTCAATAACTGAACTATTGAGAAATTTTGAAAAAATGGTGGAGTTTCCCTTTGACAGACGGTTTCTATCTGAGCAAACTACCGTAAGCTTAGGTGAGCTTTAGTGACTGGTTACCATTCGGGACTGGCACCTCCACCTCCACCTCCTCCTCCCTTATCCGCTTGTAGAACAGCAGAGCCGAGGTGGACTCCTCGTCGGTGACTTGGTTTAAGAACTGGATGATTTTCTGCTCGTCCTCTCCATCTCCGCGGCTCAGCAGCTCCTCAAAACAGTTCGGCTCGGGCAGGTAAAACGCCGAACACACTCGGTTCCGAATCCATTCCACCCGCGGGTCGTCGAGAGCCATTCCTCAGACTGCGTTTAAGCGGACTGTGCGAGCTGAAGACGCAGGTTTGCGAGCGGAGGAGAAAGAAATAAACTTCATCTCCGCCCTGAAGAGAAGAGGCGGTTAGCCACTCTGCTAACAGCTGCAGCTGAAAGTTTGAGGTTTCTATGGCAACCAAAGCCGCGCGCTCAACGTGAAGCGGGAGATCAAATGACTCAGAATCCAATGACAATAAATGCGGTGTTTTTATGGTGAATAAAAGATTGAATTGTTTTATAACAATAATAATAATAATAATAATAATAATAATAGGATATTGGCGAAATCGTATACGTTAAACATATATTCATCAACAACGCCTAAAAATTAATTTAAGTATTTAATATTTAATAAAACCGCTACGTTTATGTAAAACGAGTAGGTAAAAGCCTTAAAACCATCTTAAAATCACCATATAAATTTAAGCTGACTGTAAAATAAATTGACTATTAAAAGTAGATTACTATTCAAAAGTCAGCTAACAGCTGCAACTGAAAGTTGGACGTCTCTATGACAACCATGTTGTTCACATATGTCAAAATAAAAGCCCCACTCATTGTGTCTCAATAGGCGCTATTTTAAGCAAGCAAATGTGGGACACGCTGGCTCTCTCAGTCCATACGTGTTTTTAAATGTGCTTTCTGCTAAATTTTGCCTTATTTCGAATGAATTTACAAGTGCCATAATAATGAAATAAATGAATAAAGCTGTTAATCCAAGTCTGATAAAGCACAGTGAGTTTCATTTGTAGGCGAATAAGAAATAAAATGTTTAAAAAAATTTTCAATACGTAACCTACAGGGTTAATTTCGCGCAATACACACACACATATATATATATATAATAAAGTAAAATAAAATAAAATAAATCCTGGTAACCATGCTAGTAATCTTGTTAAAGTCATAGATAAGGTCTTACAGCTCCATCTAACAACAAAGTATAGCCTAATATATTTCAGTTTGCAAACATTCAGGAGAGAAACATATATTATATTAATACTTTAAATGAAATATGGGAAACATTGCCTAAAATTGACACGTCCAAAAACGATAACAACACATTACCTAGCTAACCGCTACTTAGCTAGTGCTAAGTTATTAGCTACCTATTAGTTATTAGGAACCGCTCTCCAATTAGAGAGCCTAATGCTTTTTTAAGGGTCCATTTTGGTTCAAATGCTGCCTGTAGACAGCAGGGCGCACTACATAGATATACATAAGCTACCTAGATGCCGTGTTGTCTGTTGTTCTCTATCTGAGGCGATACGTCTGACCGTCCGCCATGTTGGAGAGGTCAAGACCCGCTTGTGAACAGATTCACTGGTATTGAGAGACGATCAGTCTCAGGATTAAATCAGCCACAACGTCCTTATTACTGAACTGATTTTCACCAAATTCGGTTTGTTATAATCCTCAGACACAGATTAATCTAGGCTTTCTTTAATAACCGATCGTGATAATTAGCCGTCTGGAGCAGCAGAAAACTATTCAGTCTGCACCTGAAGTGAGTTTAGCACGAGAAACACAAACTCACAATCAGCAAATCCATCAATGTGTGAATCACTTCTAATCTTAATACACATAAACAATAAAATAACCCCCCAAAACACAGTAAGAAGGGCGAAGCTGAAGTTGGCTTCCTATTCGCCAGCTGCTTGTTCAAGCTTTCCCGTTCCACCTTAAATGGTGCAGCAGTTACCAGAGCCGGTTTATGAGGAGCGTGGCCACTTCCTATTCCCGCCGTTATATCAAGAACAGGACTGCTAAACAGTAAATGGAGCTCAATGGCTGAAAACGAAAAGTTAAAATAGTTTCTAATCACTCGCCCAGAACCTTCCTTTAATTTTAGAAAGCAGAATGATGGATTTCACTAAAAAAACTATGAAATCTTACCTATATATTTCCTGTTTTTCTACAGCAAACGGGTTTTGGGCAGCAGAAGGCGGGCTTTACTGCTACTGAGTGCTGATTGATTGGCGAGCAGAGCAGCTCATTGGCTGTTCGCACTCACTGACGTCATGAACGTACATGAGGCGCCGATTTAATCTCATATAACTCGAGTTTAAAAGCTCTTAAAATATAACAGTGGTGTTAAAATGTTTTATGCTGTTCTGTGTTCATGAAATCATTGTATTCTTTTACATTAAAATGTTTAAGCATTTATAAACTATGATTTTGCTCAAATGCTCCATATCAACCCATTCATTTTGGAGTCGCTTGGGAGCGCCCTCTAGCGTTTGAGAAACCCGCAAGACATTGCAGAGTGTAATTCTCCTCTCTATAAGTTCTCTGCAGCTACGTTCGGCTGTCTGAAGCTGCACCATTTAAGGCGGAACGGGAAAATTCGCACAAGAAGCTGGCAAATAAGTTAGCTTCAGGTTCGTGTAAAAAGGTTCTAAGGTTAATCTATTATGAATATCTACACTAAGAAATGCTATAACTTACCGCTAAAGTATTAACCATCACTGTAAACAAAGCATTAACCATCTTCTACATGAAGTTAGGATCCCCTGAATAGACTTAAATGAAATAAGCTTAATATAAACAGAGAGGAAGAACAATCACATCAACAGGTTCTCTGAGCTTCACCAACCACACGGCCATATCTACACAAACACCACACAGACATGAGTGTGGATCGCTGCGTTCCCTCCGTTATATAATCCTGTTCCACTTTCTGAGTGTAATATTCTTGAAATAGTGTAATTTCGGACAGTATCTTTCTTAAACAGCCGCTCTGTAATGGTACTGAATGCAGTCCAGCAGCGATGTTGACCTTCCCAAAATGGCGGCGCCGTTGACGTGCCTGGCTGGAGCCAACACGGCATCTAAGTATGAGTATCTATGGGCGCACTAGATACAAACTCACAGCACTCAAAGTTTGGCCTGAAAAACATGGAAAGGAAGAAGCTGAGATTTTTTTCAAAAAATCAAAACAATTTATTAACTCATATTAGCTTGGTTTTGAGGATAAAAGTTCCATAAAATACAAAAATACAGAATGCAAAGCTGAAAAAGGTGGAATGCAAGTTTTCAAAAACGTCACCAACCACACAACCAAAACTGAGCTAATTACATCAAATAAATAAACCTAAAATCCAAAATCGGAATGGATTAAGCCGTTCTAAATTTAGACACCAAACCTTTCATTTCTACAGTTAGAGCATTGAAAGAAAAACATCAGTAGAATGAGTTCAACTGATGCGGACAAAATATCTTGGAAAAAGAGCTTTCACCATTATTACCAGTATTAATATATCTGGCCAAGAAAATAAATGACTTAAACTACACAGATCTTGTTCATTTTTCTTCAGAGTTCCTTGATTGCATGAAACGATTTAGAGACCCCTTGATTTACTCAGATTGACAATGCATATTTAGCCTTACCTAATAATGCTGTTATGATTTTAGTAAATAAACAGTGAGTGCTTAGTGTTTCACACAGGACTTCTTTCCAAGTTCATCAGTGAAATGTGGTTAAGAGGACTATTTCCAGAAACCTTTAACCCTCCTTATCAATGGATCACAAAAAAAAACAAACAGAAAGCATTAAAGTTATCACAGTGGATGGAAAAGAAGGGAGGAAAAAAAAGCACCCCTTCTTTCTGAGGTTGTCTAAACACCAAAGGCATTTAATACCTTTCCCAACACAGCCAGGCTCAGACATGGACTCCTAACACTTCTGCAAACTGAGCACTTCAGGGAAGAATCAGTTTATAGCATCAGAATGACTATAACAACATACATAGCTCATATAAAATGTAAATACTCTAGGATGTCGTGGGCCCGAGGCCTCTTAAAGCCACTTCTGGAATGTGCTGTGCTGTGGGGGATCTCTCACCCCTGTCAAAACAACAAATCAGGCAACATGTGGATCACAGAATTTCTATGGACTTGTACAAATATATTACACACTGTACTGGACGCCAGCAGAACGACAAGAACTGCTGGTGTACCATAATTTTGTTAGAAGTTAGAAACAACTGATGAAGGTCAATGGTTTTATGGCCACCTTCATGTGTTCAAAACATGGTTTTTTGATTTTCTAAGTGAAACACATCCTCTACAGAGAACATCAACAGAGAACACACTTAAATATGTAGTTTTGCTGCTAATTTTAGTGCACAACTTCGATTTTGAGTTTAACATATTGGAATAAATAAAAGATAAAATATATGATGTGCCCAAACTTTTGGCCTCATTTTATTTTTTTGTTACAATATGTTAAATTCAGCAAATAAGCAGTTATTGTGCATTAGAGGTCTGTAGAGGATGTGTTCATTTATTTTCACTTAAAAAAAAGAAGAAAAAAAAAGAAAATTTGACCAGGGGTGCACAAAATTTTGCAAATTCCCATAGCGTCACTGACCAGCTGCAACAATATTATACAACTAATATATCAGTTCAAGTGCTGCTTACAGTTCCCATCACTGTCTTAATAATAATGTATTGTAGGGCTCAACCAATGTGAACCTTTTATGCCAGAGTCCAATACCGATTTTAAGGCGCTAAAATCTCAGATAACTGATAATATCAGCTAATTTAACTGTATATTAATTTTTTTATTTTAACAGTGCTTTACTAACAGATATGATTATCAGTTCTCAATTGGTCACACTTTAAGAGTCCTAAATAATATAAATACTGTAGAACTGCAAGTGAAGCTGTCCATCATTTCTGCAGTTTTGGTTTCTGTTAAATATCGCTTATTATTCTTGTTTTTCCTCAGTTCTCTTGATGAAAAAACCTGCGATATAACATAGTATTCTAATCCTAAAAGTTCATTGTCAATACATTCTATTTTTACCGCCTGTATTACTGTCATTTAAACAAGTTTTGCCACACTGTCGGGAGATTTGGAGTTCGAATCCTGATGATGCAGCAACTAAAGAGGTGGCTAGTTAACAGCACATTAGAGAGATTTTCAGCAATTTTTTACCAATAAAACCAGGTCCTCAATACTAGCTGATACTATCAGCCACCCGATATGACAGTCGGGCCCTCAAGATTTGGTGTCCCGTGGTAACCGGACTTAAACATGAAAACTGTATTTGGTTGGACGTGTAAGGCAGTCACAGTGCAAACACTTCATATATAAACACATTAAAATGAGAAAGTTGTACAGTTTTGAGGCTCAATCTGGTTACAATCCTTCCAGCACTTCTGCAGTGCTTTTGCTCTCTGGGCTGGAGTGTGTGAAGTCACAGTAGTCCATCATTCTCAAAGCTTGTGTGCAAAAGAGAGAAGGCAAATGGTGAGAACTTGGTGCCAGCGCCGCTGTAAAACTTGTTCTGAAACTCCACCCTGACAAAAGAGAGAGAGAGAAAGAGAGGGAGAGAGAGAGGGAGAGAGAGAGGGAGCCACACATGAGCCTAAGGTCACCATGTCCAATGCCAAGTAGGGCTACTGGGTATAAAACCCCCAGCACTGGGCTGCGGGAGTGACGGAGCTCCATCCAATACCTTTGGGATGAGCTGGAGTGATCCAGAACTGACCATCCAACATCAGTACCTGACCTCACTGATGCTCAATCAAATCCTCACAGCAATGTTCAACATCTAGTGCAGGGGCCGGCAACACGCGGCTCTTTTACTGTCCTGTCGTGACTCCACAGCAGAATTAGATTTGTAGGTAAAAATAAAATAATCCTCCTCTGCAGTAAAATAAAGCTCTGCTGATCGTTCAACACAGTTTAACAATAAATGGTCTTAAACTCTGGAGTTAATGTAGAACTGCTGATTCACCCTTTAACCCTGAAGATCAAGATAAAAGGATTCTTTGCATGGTGAAATGGTTCCTTAGATTGATGGAGAACATGTTATATATGGTTCTATATAGCACTAAAAAGAGTCCTCCCTATATAGAACCATATATATAGGACCCTTTTCAAAAAGGTTCTATGTAGTCCCATCTACAGCACATTTTCCATCGATCTGAAAAACCCTTTCACGATGTAAGGAACCCTTTAAATCACGGAAAAGGGTTTTTTTAATGTTTAATTTTTTAATGTAATTTTTTTTACTAAAGAACCCTTGAAGAACCATAATTTTTAGTGTGTAATAATAGACGAACACTTTTGGGTGCTATATAGAACCCTTTCCAAAAAGGATCTATACAGAACCATTTATCGCACATTCTCCATCAATCTGAAGAACCCTTTTCTGATGCAAACAACCCTTTAATGATGCAAAGGGTTCTGAATGTTCATGGTTCTATATAGAATCATTTTCTTTGCTAAAAAACCCTTGAAGAGCCGTCTTTTTTAGGGGTGTAGACCAAGTACATTACTGGCACAGACTGAACAAACTAGATTTCTTTAGGTTTGCACTGGAGCTGCGAGACCAAACAAGTAATGGAAATCTATGGCTATGACCAAAATAGATCCCTATCCCTCACTAGTATAATGCTATAACCTGTTAGTCTGTTAGGGCATAACATCTGGAAAAGTGCAGCAGATGAAGAAAAACGAGAAATTTGACCGCACATTCAATTCTTGGTCCACAGCTGCAGGAACGTATAGACTGGGTGCGCTTATAATGTTTCTCTCGAGAAATTAATTGTTTTTGTAAAGGTGAATTGGTCAATGGCTAGAAATGGTTAAACGACCCAATACACTTGACGACTACTTCTTTAAAAACCCAAGAAAACGACAGTTTGAACAGACAGAGGCATCAATTATCGGCCTTACAAGCCTTTCTGCTCCAGTCTCGACCCCAGCTAATCAGCAATTTTGAAGAGGTTAGCCATATTTCAACTTACACGCTACAGGCTTCAAAACGAGACCCAATTCATGTCATTAAAACTGTGTGAACTTTATGGAGCGTGGGCCAAATCAGCCACTCATTTTATTTCCAGTAGTTGAAAGTTTAGGAAAGAACGGCCTAAAATTTGAACTGGCTCATATACAGTCATGAAATCGGTTTCAGGAAAATGACGTGGAAAGCACTGAACAACATTCTTGGCTCTAGAAAACACACTGAAGCGGACCTGGCATTGTATGCTATGGATTTTCCAAAGAGGAGACGAGCACAGAGCCGTCCTCTTCAGCGCTATGATGAGCAGTATTAGCGTTTTCCTTTTATTGTAGTGTTTCTCCAGAGAGTCGACACAGTCTGATACCTTTTGTTAACCAATGTACCTCTGTATGTTGCTTAGTAAAGGGACACGCAATGCCTTTTGATACATATTCAGATGATGCTGGCCCAATCCCATTTGACCCCTCGCCTCTACCACTCAGCCCTTGGCCCTCTGTTTTGCGTGTTCACGTCTAGGGGTAGGGTGTCCCGATTCTTGTTGAGATAGAGGGGGTAGGGCGAAGTGTTAGGGGCTACATGGCTCTCCAAACGGAGGTTTTTCAGAGACTCCAAACAGAGAGATATGAGGAAAAAGAAAAACTGGCAAGATGGAGAACAAGAGACCAAAGAAACCCACAGATGTGAGAATTTTCTCCGTTAAAAAATCACAATAACCACTGTATTATCTTAGTTTAATGTCGTTTCAGTGTATTGTGTCGTTTTCTTCATAACAAGCATAAAAAATCGCTAATAACATGCCTCGGTAGCTAGCTAGCTAACGTTCCCGTTCCACCTTAAATAGTCCAGCAGTTCTGACGCCTGAAGCGCCAGAAATGTAACTGCCGCACCATTTAAGGTGGAACGGGAAAATTCAAACAAAAAGCTGGTGAATATCTGACTTCAGCTTCATATCACTGAAGAATTAGTGGTGGGTGATAATAAATAATCGCCCCCCCTTTGAAGGCATATGATGCCCTAAATGTAACTAAAGCCCAGCAGTGAGGAGCTGAACTTTACCCTCCTCTGCTGTCACTGCAGACTGGCAGGGTCGCCTACAGAGCAGCGCTGGTAGCTGTTAATGATGCAACGTTTTATTTGAGGGTCCCATTTCATAAGACAAGATTTCGATCACTACCCTTTGTAACTCAGTTCCAAGGGGTTAGGGTGACACTCGAAAGCGAGGGGTAGGGGTAAAATGAAGAAATGGGACTGGGCCGTATTGATCTACAGTGTTCACTATAAATGTCAGTCACCCAAAATCTAGATATACTAAATTCGCCTCATAGCTCTGGTGCTAAAGTAAAGAAGAAACTCTAGCTAGTCATGGAGTTTGTTGTGAGGAACTAACCAGTGGAGGCGCAGCGCGTGCAGGAATGCTGACAGACCCTCCATCACCAGCAGGATGGAGACAGTGAGGACAGCGAAGAGGCCAAAGACGGGCACCAGGAACAGCACACCGACCCTGGTGTCCACACGCAGCCCCACACGCATCACCATCGCCCACAGCACCTCCGACAACTCTAATTATTAAAAGGATTAAATCAAATTACTAACTAAATCTAATCATTAACAAGATTTAAAAATAACTGAACAATAAACACAAAATACATCCAGATTTCTAAAACACTAAAACCTCATCAACCCTTTTCCTATGAATGCACACACCGCAATACATTTAAATACAGACCTGGAAACATTCTATTTCTATGGCAAACACAGTGACACGTCTATAGTAATGTCAGAGAAGGACTCACGTGCGTGCGCCAGACTCAGTGCCCACAGTCTCAGGTAGGACGCAGTGTTAGAGATGCAGCCCAGGCAGTACTCGATAGTGTGGATGGACTGATGCAGGAACACATCCGCAAAATCCAACTGAGGACAAAAACATTTTTTTTAATTGTTCATATATATATATATATATATATATATATATATATATATATATATATATATATATATATATATATAAATTTATTATTTATAATTTTTCACACCATTTGAATACAGAAGCTTCGCTTTTTCTCTGTCGGATGGACATTTCATAACCAACGGTCAGAAATTGTCCAAAATGACTTGGAACAAAATCTTGTGACATTAATGTACATTGAAGTTCAAGTATAGTACTTCTTTCCCTTCTCCTGTAAAGTAACCATTGCAGGTGATCTGTTATGACAGCGAAGAAAATATGAGCGATATAATAATATAATAAGAGATATAATCAATATAATACAACATGGAATGATGGCAATGTTGCCCAGTTTATCATGGGCAACGTTTGTGGGGACAAGGGGGGCAAGTGACGGGGACAAGGCGGGGCAAAGGGGGTCAAGGGGGGGCAAAGGGGGGGACAAGGGGGGGCAAGGGGGGGCAAAGTTTGTGGGGACAAGGGGGGGTGCAAAAATGCTCGTCAGCTCACTTTAATTATGGAATATTGACGTTTGTCAAAACTAATTTATAGATTGGGTGCGCTTGTAATGTTACTCTCTAGAAATGAATCATTTTTGTAAAGGCCAATAGTTAGAAATAGCTATACTTGACGCAATACCCAATATACCTGACGACTACTTCTTTAAAAAGCCAAGAACTGACGTTACTGCTGAAAAACGACAGTTTGAACAGACAAACGTCACAGAGGCCCCAATTACCAGCCTTACAAGCAATTTTGAAGCCATATTTCAACTTATACGCTGCAGGCTTCAAAACAAGATCCAATTTATGGCATTAAAATTGTGTGAACTTTATTGAGAGTGGGCCATATCAACCATTCAATTTATTTGCAGTAAAGCGTGGCTGAAAGTTTAGGAAAGAACGGACAAAAATTTTCGACTGGTTTGAATACAGACATGAAATCGGTTTCAGGAAAATGACGTGGAAAGCCTAATCGCACTGAACAACATTCTTGGCTCTAGAAAACACTGAAGCGGACCTGGCATCTGTCGTTGCTATGGATTTCCCAAAGAGGAGACGAGCGCAGAGCTGTCCTCTTCAGTGCTATGCCATCAGAAGAAAACGGCTTCGATCAACAATTAGCACTTTTTAAAGTGTCAGATCTGGGTAGCCTTGTAAACATAGGTGACCTCTTCAAATTGCTCCTGACTGCGCCAGTGAGCAGCGCATTATGTGAAAGGAACTTTTTCGCTTGTGTCAATTAAAAACCTACATGAGAAACACTGAGTCAGGAGAGACTGTCTGACATTGCAGTGCTGAATATTGAACAAGCCATTCATGTGGACAGTCAGTGCATTTGATGCTGTGCCCAGAGCGCGCCGTCTGGCACTTTACTATGGTAGGACATCATTTACTGTGATAAATATAGGTTATTTGCTAAATATTGGTTTTACTTTAGAGAAATGGTGGTTATTTTACATATAGATTATTTTATTTTACTGATGTAGACCCACATATATAGCTGACTGAGATGGCTTGCCCCCCCCCCAGAGAGTCTGCTATGCTTTACCTCTTCTGATTGGCCATCTGAGCTGCTGGAATGGCTGTCCAGGCTGTTGCCCTCCTCCAAATCATGCGCGCGCATGAGAGAAACCTCCTCTTCACTGCTGCGTCGTACTCGTTCGTATCCCTACATGCACAAAGCGAGGGGGAGAGAATTATTAACAACGTGAAAGAGAAACTATAATTCATTTTTCTTCTGTACTCTGAGGGAAACACGGTATCAGGGAGGGTCTCTGAGGTGGCTGAGCGTTTTTTACCCGCCTGCTGGTGCTCAGTGACATCAGAGGATGTTTTAGAGGCAGGTAAAAGTCACTATATTCTGATACAAATTGCAGGAAAACAAGATTGTCTTTTAAAAAATGGTGTAATATAATTAATCACGCTTAAGACTAAGGACACTGAACTAACAAAGTAAAAAAGATGAACATCACAAGTATACTCACTGTATACCTACACAAGTTGGTTTTGAGGGCTAAACTTAAAACCTACTGGATTATATACGGTAGTGTGCAAAAGTCAGAGACCACTTTTCAATGATTTAATTGGATTAGTTATAATCCAAAAGCATAAGGAAAGAGAAAGTCAAAGTACATTAAGTGAAAAAACAGGAGTTTCCAAAACTGCAGTCATTAAAAGCTGCAGAGAAAATGGGACTGCAAAACCTGTTTGCCCACCAAAGGTGCCCCCATCAGATAAACAGCACTTAAAGCTTTCATCTCTAAAGGGAGGAGAAAATCAAGCTGCTTCAGATCTGAAAACATCCACAGGTGTTTCTGTCCATCCTTCCACTGTGAGAAGACGACTCAGCGCTGTGGGTCTGAAAGGATGTGTAGCTGTCAAGAAGAACCTCACTGAGAAAAGTAGACGGACACATCAAACAAAGAAGCTGAACAATGGACTGACCGCCCCAGAGTCCAGACCTCAACACCACTGAATGTGTTTGATTACTTCAGAAAATGATCAACCAGCTTCTAAGACTGAACTTTGGAGGTGTGTCTGCAGATTCTTTGAGGAACTGAAAGTGAGTCTCCTGAGAAGAATGGAAGCTGTGGCTGAGCGTGGGCACGTTTAATACTAAAATATGGTACAACTGTTGGCACTTCTGTGTTAATGTCTGTTAAAGATGATTTCTGCTTAAGAATCAAATCAATCAAATCCATCAAACAATGCAATAAACAAAAATGCAATGTATGAAAACACACACACACAGTTCTTACCCTATACATGCCCATGTGATTCCTGCCCTTGTGAAGCCAGTAAAGGTAGAGTGGCTTCCCCAGCAACAAGACAGGAACACTTAGCACAGCAACAAGGACCAAAAACACTTGCAGTCCAGCCTGAGACACACATGCACGCACACGCACACACACACACACACACACACACACACACACACACACACACACACACACACAATGTAACAAGTTAGCTACATCCCTTAACTATTCACACAGTTAACAACCATATCAGCTGTGGACCCACTGTTGACACAGGTTCAATAGGGCCCACATGTAATTATGTAATCTCCATATCACTGTTTGTTTTGGAAGAAAACCTTGTATCTCCAAAATGGTAACTTTACAGGAGAAGAAAAAAACATACTTCACTTTTAATGCAAGTGAATGGAACCAGACCACCCCCCCCCACCACAAGTCATTTTGGGCCATTTCTTTTTTGTCCATTCATCGTAAAAGGCCACATTGCTCATTTGCAAATGATGTCAAAAACTAAAAAAAACAAATAAAATGGAGATACGCGGTTTTCTTCCGACAGCAGCGATATAAAATCCCTGACCAATAGAATGGGATGCTCTGGTGCAGCCGCACAAGTCTAATGTCACCATGCCCGATGCCAAGTGTGGGCTACAGGGGTATAAGCCCCCCAGCATGGCATTTCACTCATATATAACAGCTAAATTTGTTGTGAAAAGGAAAAAATGCCACAAAACTAATTCTAATTGGTCTAAAGGATGAAGTATAATTAAACAGTATATGAGCATTTAACAGTACATTTAATTCTTCTTGACTACATACAGGTGTATGTAAGATTTTCTACTGTATGGAAAAAAAATCAGTAGTCCTTTGTGACCAAAAGACTTTAATATGACAAATTAAGTCATAAAAACTTACTTTCAGCCATATAGTTTATTTTTTTTTTAGATTTCTGCTAAGGCAATCTCAGAAAACACATGGACCAAAGGATATTAAGGTAAGCACAGCCCTTTTTACTTCTTAAAACTTTACCTGGCCTGGGTAAAGGGGTTGGCCCGAGTCTCCCTGCATGAGGAACATGTTGATGAATTGGATGAGGATGCTGGGGGCCTGCTGCGAGTCCCGGGCTGTGAAGGCCAGCCACTTATAGATGATCATAAAAACCAGGTAGCCAAAGAGACAGAGCAGGAAGAGCAGCTCCGGCAGAAACACCAGGTAGAGGCTGTACTTCCTCCTGAAGTGTCTGAGAGAACAGATCAAGAGACGAGAACAGGAAATCAGCATCAACAGGTCAGTAACTAAACCAGATCCTCAGATTAACACACAGCTGCTATTCATTTGCAGAGTTTAACATACTGAAAAATCAGAAAATATAAAATGTGCCAAACATTTTGCGCAGGCACCCCCAGCATGTTAAATTCAGCAAATAAACAGTAATTGAATATTAAATGCAATTTGTGTAGTAATGTAATTTGACCAGCGGCGCCCAAACTTTTTGGCCACGCCCGTACCTTATTAAGCACATTAGCTAATTACCAGTCCTTTATGAGCTCGAATAAGGGTGTAAACGTATGATAAATGTTAACTGTGTAATATTAGGGCCCTTTAGTGTTTTCCCTGATGCAAGATCCTGATTAAATTCATGTGTTTGTTTGATAATTAGCTTCGAAGCTGAATTCTAGATTTGTGAAGCACAAAAAGTTAAAGGGTCAGTCTGAACTGTTCAATTCTTCAACACACATTCAATGTTAATCTAAATTTTTTCTTGAAGACTGTGATCAAAAAAGTTAGACTGTTATCTTCCCTAATAAGAGATACTTGGTGTGCATATATATATATATATAAAATGTTAAACAGTATGAAGATTAACGGTCCAGTTATCTTAGCATGCTCCTTTACAAACTAATGGAGTGTTGACTCACAGGTGGTTGAAGACCCCCAGAACGACCCCAAAGCTCATGTGAATGATCCCCAAGATCACAGACATCTTCATCTTGTAGGAGTTCAGGAATGAGAGTCTGTTTGACGCCAGGTTCCAAATCTAAAGAGAGACAGAGATAAACAAACAAACAAATATTGTTTGTTTTCTCAAAATGATTTGTTTGGCATGTTTCATTTTCATTTCCATGACATGTAGCACAATCTAGCCTATATCATTTTGACCAGGTATGAAAACATTCTGTGTCACCAGGCAGACGAGAGAAAAGACGGCAAACCACCTTTACTTCTTTTTATTTGCAACGGACTGAAAATTATTTTAAAAAATGAAACCGAAAATTAATGCACTTACTGGGTCGATGCCCAGAGGGTACGGTCCAGTGAAGACTCCTGTGACATTAGGGTCGAGTGTGAGAAGGCTGTTTGACTGTAGTGTGCCATTCCTGGAGAAGAAAAGAGTGATCAGTAAAGTAATCAGATGTAATCAGACGTAACAAGTGGTGGAACGGTTCAAATATTTTTAGGTTCGACATGAATTTCGATTCTGTGTCATGAATTGAGGTGCTTCTTATGCACTTGGAGAGAACATAATCCGCTGCAGTTATTAGTTGCACTGACTCCATACTCCCAGCCAGCCTTAACTCCAGCTTTTTATTACACAGGGTGATTCAAACAGATTCATCCGATTTCAAAATGATTTATTTTTCTTGTTAATCATTACAGATCAATGCAGTGAACTGTAAATGGTTTAATTGAGTATAAAGTTTATTATGTAATGTTACAAGGTCTCAGTATGAACCTCCTCCAGCTGTACAGACAACATCAACACCATAGTCAGATTCATCCCATACTGGATTGAGCGTGTCGGGTGTCGCTGCACTCACAGCTCTTTCAGTGCGATTTCGGAGATCATCCAGTGTTGTGGAACCAACGACGAACGCTCTGAGCTGTTGGAGCTTCACTGCCCACGAAAATCACACTGCACAGTTATGATGGATTCACTCTTATTGAAGTGGAGAACACAGAACGCTTTCTGCTCAGGGGTCTCATCTCCTCTCAGACTGAAGGGAGCCAACTTCCACTGACAGTCAGAAACTCTATGACCCTCATGGTTGGAAAAATATTGTGCTCGGAAGAATCTTTTCGAATCACCCTGTATTTGTGTGTGACTTCCTTTCAGCTCTATTCACTCTGCCTATAAAAAAGGCCAAAACAGCATGAGGCCTTGTTTGGCCCAATGAGCTAAAACTGCAGAACGACTCTATATTTCTACCTAAAAACGTTAAGTTAAAGTAAAATATGTCCTTTCCAGTGGGGAAAGTGAATATAGTGAATCACTGAAACTTTACGGAAACTGCTGTACTTATAAGGGTACATTTACCTTGTTTGTATTAAATTTTCCTGGACAGTATTTTTTGACAGTGCAGGGGGCGGGTTAGCAAATCTGACTGACAAGTAGGTAAATATGAGACTGTGATTAGAGAGAATGTGAAAGATTTTGAATTTGACATACAAAAATATAAAACTCTCTCACGTTCAGATTGTGGGAATCTTCGTGTGGAGTGTTTTTCAACTCTGAGTGTTTGAAAAGAGACAAAACTAGCTTGTAATCTACGCTGGATGAGCTACTGGAGAGAAGGCGTCCTGGATACTGATTGGTCAGCTGTGGATGACGTATGGCATTCCTTTGGTGGCACTTGGAAGTTGACAGTAGAGCTGGACAATATTTATCTCTATTGTGATTAACTGCATCACAGTATGCTTTCGGATCATACTGCAGATGTCATCAGTGCTTAAATACTTCTACTGCATGATTCAATACAAAGAGAGCATACATAGCCCGGTTTACTTGGTTTTAGTGCAGCTCAGTATGCTGAAGTGTTGAATGCAAATTACTGTGTTTGATAGTATTTTTTTAAAAGTGGCACTATTTTGTCTGTTTCAACTTATGTTATCTTTTCTGATGATTGTCTATCGTGAAAACTTGTATTGTGACATTACGCTGTTGCCACATCGCCCACTTCTTGATGGTTTATAAACACGAAGTGCATTGCGTAGGCTAGAAAATGCTCTTCAATCACTGTTGCTTCTTAAACAACAATGAAAAGACCAAAGCTAGATTTTGAAAAGTAGTGCTCTGAACACCCCATGAATCCATATACGCTACCACTTTACATTTGACATGCCTAAACACTGCATAAATTAGTACTTTAGTTCATTTAGTTCATTTAAAAAGCAACCAAATTAACAAGAAGTCACTCAAAGTTTATGCTGAAGTTCATTTCTGTGCAACAGCATTGAACAGAACATTCACTGTAACTCACGTCCACGGCCCATGATCGATCATTGCCTTGACGTTCCACCCAGAGCCAAACAGGTTTAGAGACTTGGAGAAGCAGTCGTTATATATGAATCCAGTGTACACTGAGAATATGCCCATCATTAAGATGATGTAACGTCCTTCAAAAAACGTGTTCCAGATCTGAAACGAAAGAAAATACAACATGTCATTTTGCCTAAATGAACTTCGCTCACAGGTTATTATTGCTGCTGTCGTATCAAAACCGTTCGAAAATATCATCTGCCCTTTACACTGTGTGAACATTTCAGGATGAAGCAACAGAAATGATCCAAAATCACATGGAATAAAATCTTGTTACATAATCCTCTACTTAAAAAAGTTCAGAACATTTGTTTCTCCTTTCCATTTTAGAGATTAAGGAGTTTTGTTACGAGAGTAAAGATGCTTCTGCAGTTCTACAGACTTGCTCAGTTTAGTTCCAACCTTCTAATCTAATAAACCTCCATCCATCCATCCATCATCTAAACCGCTTATCCTTCTGGGTCGCGGTGGGGTGCTGGAGCCTATCCCAGCTGTCATTGGGCGGAAGGCAGGATACACCCTGGACAGGTCGCCAGTCCATCGCAGGGCAGACAGACAGACATACACATTCACACACACACACTCACACCTAGGGGCAATTTAGCGTGTCCCAATTGGCCTGACTGCATGTTTTTGGACTGTGGGAGGAAACCGGAGTTTCCGGTTTCTAATAAACCTGACTGCACTAATTAAAATCATTAAGCGTGGACAACCGTAATCTCACAGCCAGCTTTGCTAGATTACAGTTGGTGCTTGTGTTGGTTTTGCAGGAGGTGAGGATAGAACTAACTCTATGGGTGTGTCTCAAATCCTAGTCAGCTCTCTACATAAACAGCATTTTACGTCAGAACATGCGCGCTCCCGACAAGAAGGCTGCCCCAATTCTTAGATATCTCAAATACGCTGCCTACTGAGGTCTCATTTTGGCCGAATATCAAGAGAGCATCGGATGTTTCCTCAGCCGCTGAGGCAATCCCGCGACGCAGCGCGGCGCAGCTTTTGTTTGAAGATGGTGGGCAGAAACGCGTCACCGAGCAGCGACGTCATCTTCAAATGTAAGTTATTCTGATTTTCTGGGGTATTTATCTGTTTTCTAGTCATAAAGGTGCACAGATAGCCGATACTTTCCGCGTTTGACCACAACTGTTGTCTATTTTGCTGTTTCATTCAGAGCAAATACAATTAAAATCGCTATATAAACTGCCAGAGCAGATCCACGTTGGCTAAATGTGATTCTGATGGCTGAGGTAAGTAAACGCCGGTCTCGTGCAGTGGGCGGGAACAAGCGACGATGTCACTGCTGTCTAACTAGAGCGTCTCATTTATCTATCTTATAAGGATAGATGACGGTTGGAACGCTGCCTACTTAGACAGCTGCCTATGTAAACAGCGGCTACTTAGAGAGCTCACTAGGTTTTGAGACACACCCAATATCAGACCTAACTCTATATCATGTTCAAAAATATAAAAACTAGAGCAGAGAACCCAGATATTAAGAAGAGCCATTCTGTCCTTTCAACAAAAATCAAACCACCTTGGGAGCCACAACATTTTACGTCCATTTTACCATCTTGGCTGTAAATATGTCTCAGTATGTGCTGATGTACTAATATAGGCTAAAAATTATAAACAAAAACGCAGACTTACTTTGCTCTGCTTTAAGCTTTAGCTCAGCTATAGCCACTTTTCTCACATCTCTGGCAGGAAACTTCTCCGCAAAAGTAGATTAACGTCAGTTTCCTGTAAAACGTCTCTCAATGTTTGATTTTTAACGAGGCTGAAGTCGCTTCTCGTTCGCCAGCTTCTTGTTCGAATTTTCCCGTTCCATCTTAAATGGTGCCTGAGGTGCCAGAATGCAACTGCTGCACCATTTAAGGTGAAATGGGAGAATTCGAACAAGAAGCTGGCGAATGAGAAGCGACTCGCAACTTTTTAGTGTTTGTCAGTTTCTCCTTGCAGATTAAACGTATCAGGAAACCAGCTGGAGTGATTATACATGCAAATAAGTCCATTCGTTTCCAAATTACTGATGTTCGTCTTAAATCTTTCTCTTTGCCTTTTCGCTAGCGAATAACTAGGCGAGACTGTTGTTATGCTATGGTGACCAGCAGTCTGCGTGACAACCTTCAGGGTTAAAGGGTGAATTAGCAGTTCTACATTAACTCCAGAGTTTAAGACCATTTATTGTTAAACTGTGTTGAACGATCAGCAGAGCTTTATTTTACTGTAAAGGAGGTTTATTTTATTTTTACCTACAAATCTAATTCTCCTGTGGAGCCACAACAGGGCATTAACTGAGCTGCATGCTGCTGACCCCTGAACTAGAGTAAAGCCACTAAAATCAGTACGGTCACTGTGATGAGAAAAAACATTTAAGCAATGACTTTAAACAAGAAGGAAGCATCTTTACTTAATGTAACGTTGTGTAATTTTGGACCATTTCTACTGGCCCATTTGTCACAGTGTAAAGATCAGCTGTTAGAGATGAAGTTACAAAGTTTTCCTGTAATTACAACAATGCAAATTAAAGAAGTCATAATCAACCAACGCGCACCTCATTCCTGGTTTTCTTCAGTTTGCGGTCATTCTCATACAGAACCATCCAGAGGGCGAACAGGGCCATGATGATCCCGTGGCCGAGGTCACCAAACATTACGGCGAACAAGAAGGGAAAAGTGATGATAGTGTAAGGCGCTGTAAAAGAGAAAGACATGAGGATTAATTAAACTCATCTAAACTCATACATGGTCTTTGGGTTCAGACTTATGAGCATGAGGAACGTGTTTACCCTGCACTGTGTGTGTGTGTCCCTCCTTGTTTCTACACTCACCATCCATTTTATCAGCTCCACTGACCATATAGTTTCACTTTGCAGTTCTACAGTTACAGACTGTAGTCCATCTGTTTCCCTGCATACTTACTCGGTTCTTCAATGGTCAGGACCCTCACAGAGCAGGTATTATCTGGGTGGTGGGTCATTCTCAGCACTGCAGTAACTCTGACGTGGTGGTGGCATGTTAGTGTGTGTTGTGCTGGTTCAAGTGGATCAGACACAGCAGTGCTGCTGGAGTTTTTAAATACTGTGTCCACTCACTGTCCACTCTATTAGACAGTCCTACCTTGTCAGTCCACCTTGTAGATGTAAAGTCAGAGACGATAGCTCATCTGCTGCTGCACAGTTTGTGTTGGTCATCCTCTAGTCCTTCATCAGTGGTCACAGGACGCTGCCCCCAAGACGCTGTTGGCTGGATGTTTCTGGTTCTCAGTCCAGCAGCGACACTGAGGTGTTTAAAAACTCCACCATTACTGCTGTGTCTGATCCACTCACACCAGCACAACACACACTAACACACCTCCACCACGTCAGCGTTACTGCAGTGCTGAGAATGATCCACCACCCAAATAGTACCTGCTCTGTGGGGGTCCTGTGGGGGTCCTGACCACTCAAGAACAGGGTAACAAAGTATGCAGAGAAACAGATGGACTACAGTCTGTAACTGTAGAACTACAAAGTGCATTTATATGGCCAGTGGAGCTGATAAAATGGACAATGAGCGTAGAAAAAAGGGATGTTCTTAATGAAGTGACTGGTACACACACACCCACATTGAAGCTGCTGTGGCTCACCTGGGTTGACCTCCCTGTAGCTGCCGACTCCGTAGGCGTCCACTATGTTCTGAAAGCCTGAGGTGAACTTATTGGTCCGTATGAGAGTGGGTGGAGTGTCGTTGGTAGGGATACGGTTGACAAACGATGGAACGGTGGCACCACTTTTTCTCTGAAAGATTAAAATCAAGAAATCAGGTCAGACTGGTTCCATTTATGATTACATAATGGCAGTTACAGTGCAGTAAAACAAGCGGTAAAAGCGCAAAATAATAATCATTGACTATATAAGTTTTTTTCTTATTTGTCTACAAAACAAATCAGTAAAAAAGCATTTTTTTCCAATCTTTATTTCCTGTAATCGTTGATTTTTTTTCTTGTTTGTTTGCAATACAGTCAAGACCACAACAAAACAATTCAGTACCATAAACACTAAAGCCAAATAGAAAGAGTCTGACAGCAGGCCTGCTGAAAAGTATGCTTATTAGAAAAGCAAGGACTTAATGCACTGATATAGGACCTTTTAGAAGACTGGTAGAAAAGATAAAATACATTTAAAGAGCCCATATCAAGCACATCCTTACGTTTTTTTAATAAAACGCCATAATGTGGCTTGTAAAGACTGTAAAATTTTAAATATACCATTCATAGACTGTTTTGAATTCCTTGTTTTTGTGAAGTCACAACTTCATTAACATGTATCTGCCTAGATCTGCCTAGTTAGCCTACAGTAGTTTAGCATCGCCCTTTCACACTGAAGTTATAAAATACCCCAGATTGTTTCTTAAACGTAGCACAATGCACGGCAGCCAATCACATTAGTCTTAAAGGCACAGTAACAAAACAGACTGTTTAAGGAATTAACAGAGGTTGGAAGATGGTCAAGTGAAAATGAATTACTGTTGTTCTTGCATGTAAAACCACACAAATGTTATAAAAGGACCTCAGGAAAATTAAAAATAAAGAATACTGGACCATGAATCCAGTTTCCGGCCCTGGATTTTACAGGTGGCCATTGGTTATATCACCAGTTCACTTAACTAACAGTGATTACAAAATCTGGGACTGGTAACTGGATTCATTGTCAGGATTTGAAGACCTCCGGTGTAGCACTGGGACCCTTTTGTTAGCACAGACCGAAGGAAGCGGAGCAGTCTTACCGAGCCTTCTTCTAGCGCCCTCCGCAGGGCAGGCAGGTCATTTACAGGGCACCACACCTCCGCGATGAGGCACTTGTTGGTGACATCGAAGCTGCACAGGTTGAGGATGTGATAAATAGCCTTCATCTTCTTCACCTGGATTCCCCAAGTGTACACCGACTCTGAGGCTTTGTTCAGCACCTGCCTCAAGTAGTCCTCCGTCCGGTGGAGAACCTACAGTAGAAAATGAAAACAGCAGTCCATGAAGGTAGGAAACTTTCAAACAAACACTAAACCAAGATGTCTTGTCAAAGACGGTCAGAGTGTGAACCAATTTATTTAATAAACAATCTACAACCAAAAAGACCTAAACAGGAAAAAAACCCAAGACAGTCTACATCACGTAGCAAAATCAGGCTAGTAAACCATTTCCTAAACCACTGTCATGGCCAGACTGGAGAATAGCATGCTTAGCTTTTGCCCAGAGGACTTGGAAGTTAGAAAGCAGTTTGCATGAGAAAAGAAAAAGGAGATGAGCAGTTAAACTTGATTTAATAGATATAAATTAAAACGTAAAGTGTTACATACAAATATATATATATACACACACACACACACACATATATATAGCACTCAAAAGTTTTTTTTTTTGCAGTAAAGAATTGTAAAATCTTTGACTGGTTTGTTAACTTAAGAGCAATAAACCATTTAAAGATTCTACACTTTTTACTATAAATGATAAGTTATGAATCCTTTTAAAATACTTCATTTAAAAATATCTATTAAATACTATTTGTATGAACAGGTGGGCACTTTTACTCTTCGGTTAAGTCCATTTCTTTTGTTTGACCCCTAATAACTCATCAAATTAATCGGTAAACCACTCAATTACTGCTGTAATCGATAGTCACAGCCCTAATTCTCAGGTTTAGCAGCCTTGGAGCCAAAGTGGCATGCAGTTTGCGTAGTGTGTGTGTATGTGTGAAATTGAGCTAAGGCTGGGCAACCAGGCAAAAATATATCACAATATTAAGACACTTTCACAATATGCACTGAGATACCCTTTCTGAACAAGATGCACCAGCAAAAAAGCAGTGCTTCATTTAAAAAAGGCTGTAAAATGACTTTATTTAATGTTTTCACTGCTGTCGGAGCAAAACCTCGTAACGTTTTTCGTTTTTTGACAATCTGAAAATGCCTGTTGCCCTTTACACTGTGTGTAAATGTCATGATGAATGGGCCAAAAGAAACAAGCCCAAAATGACCTGGTTCCATTGACTTACATTAAAAGTAAAGTAGGTTTTTTCCTTTTCCTGTAAAGTTACCATTTTGGAGATACGAGGTTTTGTTCCAACAGCAGCGTTTTCTAAAATGATCTAAAAAGAAACTGAAAAACAAAACCAACTGGTAAAAAAAAGGAATAAAACAAGATGATGCCATATGGGCTCAATCAGCTACTCGTTAACCCCATCAGCTACTTGTTATTATGCAGTTTATGCAGTGACTACACTGGTTGTTGCTGTTTATAGGTTCTCTATAGCTAAATGCTGACCATACCCATTACATACTCAGAAAACAGTACTGTGACATAATTTATCACAATAACATATGGTCATACTGTCCACCGCTAGCTTGATTAAATAACGCCTCTGCAGCCTTTGTGAGAGAGTGAGAGTGGGTGTGGGAGACTGCCCTCAGAGCTCAGACCTCATGGCTATCATGTGAAGGACACTAATGCAGTTTTTCCCTCCTTTTAAGATCAAATCTCTCTGCAGGGATTCCAGCACAGTCTCCCAGACTCACTCTCAAGTGAGCACAAGCTGAATCACATGACCCATCATGGGACAAAACCTGCACCCACACTCCCTGCACACATACTCCTAACCCCGCCCCCACCCGCCTGACCGCCCTCTCCAACCAGTGCTTCAATCCACACTAAGGAGGATTTTCTAAGCAAAAATAAATTACACATCCTCTACAGAAAATGCACTTAAATATGGCATTTTTTAGTGCATAATATTTATTTATTAGTTTAACTGGAATCTGGAAAATGTTAAAATATTTAATCAAAATATAATATATTTAAAATGTGGCATACATTTTGCATAGGACACATTTTAGATTTTATTAATTTCCAGATTGTGTTCTCTGTATAGGACGTGTTAACTTAATGTCAACAAAACTTCTGCACTCTAAAAAAAACAAGCTCCACTCTTGCTTCAGATCTGAAAACATCCACAGGTGTTTCTGTCCATCCTTCCACTGTGAGAAGACGACTCAGCGCTGTGGGTCTGAAAGGATGTGTAGCTGTCAAGAAGAACCTCACTGAGAAAAGGAGACGGACACATCAAACAAAGAAGCTGAACAATGGACTGACCACCACAGAGTCCAGACCTCAACACCACTGAATGTGTTTGATTACTTCAGAAAATGATCAACCAGCTTCTAAGACTGAACTTTGGAGGTGTGTCAGCAGATTCTTTGAGGAGCTGAAAGTGAGTCTCCTGAAAAGAACAGACAAACTAAACTGGAAAAAAACTGGAAATGAAATAAATGAAGGGTGACTTTGACTCTGACTTTTGCACAGTACTGTACATGTAAAAATAAAATTGTAGTTCAATTCATACACAAACTACAAAAGTTTGGCTGCCTTCTTTTTGCAAAACCCTACAAAGCTTTTGTACAAATAATGAATTGACGGGTTTCTTTTTCAAAGTATTGCTGAAAAGAAATCTTTTGGTCTAAAGGTTTGAGTGCTGATAAGTGCTAACATAACTAGGGGAAAACATGCATGTGTTTGGCATCATTCCCAAGGCAGCACTTTCATCAGATGTTCTTTCAGTTTTGCAAGTATTTTTACAAGAAAAATGTCATGATGCTCAAGTAAAATGCTAAAGAATTGCAAACTGACAAAGAAAACTTTGATTTGTATCAAAACGCTGATTTGTATCAAAAACATTCTAAAACAACATGTCCCCCAAACTTTCGACTGTCATAAACAGAACAGAATCTAGACCTCTCTGCAGTCTAGTTCCTGTGTGCTCCTTATAGTTCATGTCTAACACCTATATGCATGCAAGCTGCGATGACTCCACACAGCTCAGAGTTTGCTGACTTTGATGGTGAAAGATTAGTCTTTTGCATTTGATCTAAATTGGTTAATGGTTAAAAAACAGTCTGTGTGACTCATCAGGCAGGAGCAGACCAGATCAAACAGGCCATTACTGAGGGAAAAAAAAAAAGAAAGAAGCAACATAATATATCGCTGCTGTCGGAAGAAAACCTCGTATCTCCAAAATGGTAACTTTACAGGAGAAGGAAAAAACATACTTTATTTTCAATGTAAGTCAATGGAACCAGACTTTTTTCCAAGTCATTTTGGGCCGTTTCTTTTAGTCCATTCATCATGAAATTTACACACAATGTAAAGGGCAACAGGTATTTTCAGATGACGACATAAATGGAAAAACGACAAAAATGGAGATACGAGGTTTTCTTCTGATAACAGCGATACGCAGCATGTAAAGCAATAAGGTGGAGTAGACAGATACCAAATGTCTACATACAGCACAGGGTTTCTTTCACAACATCCAGTCAAATATTAATCCAAAGAACATAAAATATCAAAGCTACACTCTATAAGTTTTGTGGATTTGGAGACCTCTCTGGTCAGAATGTGTAACTGCATGCAGCATATCAAAAATTTTGTAACGTGGGTTGTATTACAGACTCCTTCCCTGAGCAGATGAATCTGATTGCAAGTGCGCTGAAAGAGAATTCAAAGAGAACTCAGTCAAAATTTGGTGAAGGAGCATTTTCTGAGGATGGGAGTGAATTATCTACTACTGTCATCTTATCTTAATCAGTATAATGTTGAATTTGCAGCATTTAAAACCTAAACAAATCGAGCCACAACTTCTTTTTTAAGCCGATGTGCATGATGCTAATATGTAAAGACGTGTGATGTGGGCTGGAAAACTCTCGAACCGAGGCCCTGACCTTCAAATGATTATTTCAGGCTGCGACCTTAATGAGACGCTCAGACCGGAATTCATGTGCTTTTTTTCCCACGGCGCGTGCGCCATCATTCAGCGTTACCATGGCAGCAGCGCCGAACAGAAGTTAAAGCCTGTAAACAGTGGAAAAGCAGCTCATCTCACCTTTTTCTCCTTCGTCTCGCTCTAATAATGAAGCTGAGAGCTGATCAGAGTTAATGATCTTCTCAGCGAAGCTCGTTCTGCTCGTTAGTTTGTGCTGATGATGCAGTGATTCATTCACGTGACGTTACTGAGTAGGATGTGCGCATGAGGGTCATTTCAGGACGCTGGTTCATCACATTAATGACAGATTTGAACCACTTACCTAAACGAGTGTGAACGTCCTGTCAGAGAGATCAGATTTGAGCAAAAAATCGGATTTGAGCAACAAGGCTTGTAATGTGAACGTAGCTTTAGCCTCACTCCTCATGTCTCTTCCAGCTGTACTTTGTATTCAATCTTGCCACTGTTTGTAGAAGTTTTAATAACTGAAAGTCATTTAGCAGCCACCCCTGAGATCAGCAGCTGATATGGTGCTTATTTCTGTGATATACTAATGACAGCTCAGCAGCTGTGATGGCATCTTCTTCAGTCGTATTTTTCTTTAGTAAGCATTTCTATTTCAGTTCTGTTTACGTTGATATGAAGTTTGGTGGGCTCTCTTAAAAGAAACGGTATCATGTTTAACAGTGAATGAGAAATGAGATGGTGAATCGTCTGGATTTTTGGTAATCCACTCATCGAATTCTTAAAGTTGAAGGCTTTACTCTTGGAAAGAGCAGCAGCACGTCTTTTAGAACATTTCTTCCATGGATATCTCCTTCTATATGGCACGCCACTGCATTAAAAAAAACCTCAGTTATGTTAAAAGACTGATGGAAAAGAATTAATAAAACATTCCCTGGTTAAGGGGCTCCCGAGTGGCGCAACCATCTAAGAGTTGGCCCTGTCATCATCAGGAGATCGTGAGTTCGCCGTCTGTAGCCGGGAGTCATAGAGTGCACAACTGGCCTCGCTCTCTCTGGGTGGGTAGGACGGCCCCCTCCTCTCCCCCCATCACTTAACGCGATGCTAGTCAGCGCAGGCGTCTGTTAGCTGACGTAACAGATCTGGCGGTTGGCGCTTTCCTCTGAGCGCGTTCGGCTGTCCAGAGACGTTGCGTGAGCGGCAGTTCAAAAAGATGTGGTGGCGCTTCACAGGTCACGGAGGAAGTCTGTGCTAGCCTCGCCCTTCTAGTGTTGGTGGTATCGTGTGACTGGGGGAGTCCTAACTAGTGGGTGGAATTGGAGACGACTAAATTGGGGAGAAAATTGGGTAAAAATTTAAAAAATGAAAAATAAAATTTAAAAATAAATAAAAAAAAACTAAAAAACATTCCCTGATTAATAATCAATAAACTAAATATTGGCTAACTGGAGCGTTTGGAGCTCTCCTAAAAGGTAACATTGGGGAGCAGGCTATGGACTGTATGCATTTGGAATCTCTAAAGGGGATGAACTCAAACTCACAAAAGGGAAATGTACCAGATGACAGTATTAATTAAAGCTGAAATGAACTCCTGAACTTACGAGGAGAAGTTGTGTAAGACGGCCCTGTAAGGATGGAACAGCCTGGTACGGCTGGAGCAGAGAGGGTTTTTAAAAAAGGACATCATATGCGTTTGGCTTTAAGGGTTACCAAAAAAAGGTGTACGGTTTGGACATGATGGGGACTAAAGTGGTATGGAATTATGTAAAAGGTGGTGGGGTGATTACCTCATCACCCCAAAGGGCAATAAAACAAATGTCTTGAGATGCTCTTTGCATTGTGGTTGACCGGGAACCATCTTGCCACTTGATGCTCAATAAAGCGAAGGCCTTTTCCTTCCTTCCACAAGAACTCAGCGGCTGAAGTCTTTTTCATTCCATTTTATCCTTTTTCATTTTTGTTGATATTCTTTGATTCTTTTAATCCTTTTAAAGGATACATACTAGAGATACTTATAAATTGTCCAGACCCTGGGCAGAAGGGACAGCTCCTGGCCGCGACAAGACACAGCTGGCCTAAAACTGCCAGTGAGAGGGGGTAGTGTGGAGTGATAAACAAATAGACTATCATGATTTTATCTTCAGGAATTTGTGTAAAACAGCAGTTGACGGAAACGGGAATTAATTCATGTTATCTTTTACCCACTTTTTGGAAATTCATTTACATTTTGTGAAACTTCAGAATAGAAACCCCACTTTTTCCCTATGCTTTTAAACATTTTACTGTATTTTAACAACGTCACCAAAATACTGAAACTTTCATTATTTTAATATCATGATAGGAATGTTTCCTTCCAGTTCATTCCTATGCAGTACCTGCGCAAGTCTGTATGATACGGTTATGTCAGAGGTCACTAACAGGCTGATTGTGGTCCGGGTTCAGACCCAGACGCTGTCTTATCCGGACCTGGACCTTTAACCAATAAACTATTCAGAATTATTACTGAATTTCGATGGAGTGTTTCGCTTTTAATCAGCATAACTTTTCTAGCCTTTATGGTACCAGTTTCACAGCCCAGGAAACTCACAGACCAATCGCATGCAGGAAAAAGCAGTCAGAGAAGAAAGTGAGTCATAGGAAAGTTAACTTACATGGCGTACTCTAAAAAGAGAAAACTGCCAATAAATATTGTTAAAATATTACTGAATTGTACTTTATTTGACTTGACATTCAGTTGACTAAAGAAGTTGTTGATATAACTACTAGGCTACTTAAATATACAGTATATGTAGAGCTGGGCGATATGGCCAAAAACGTTATCACGATAAACAAAATTCATATCGTTCGACATCGATACATATCGCGATAAATGTCAAATCATTATTTCTTTCACGTTTGAAGGCTGATTTTGCTCCTGGGGGGTTAATTGTGGTTTTAAACTATCACTCATGGTCCGATCATGACAAACACTCGGCAAACAGTGGAACATTTCACTAATCTGTCAGCGAAGAGTGGGAGAAAGTTTCTGAGCTGTTTTTATCAGCTGGAAAAGCACAGCTGCAATTTTTGTAATAGTCATGATTTAAGAAAGAAAACAGATTATTTTTATCTGTCTGGTGACGAGCGCTCGGCTACCCCGCTACAAATGCTAAACAAGTGGCCAACAACAGCGCTAAACTCTTTAGTTTCTCAACAACGTCAACTCGGTTCGGTAGGTCACTGCTGTCACTCCTACCACATCCATGTCAGAGCATATATATATATATATATATATAGTGTTGCTATCATAGTAGTTTAAGGGGTGAACCGCAGTATATCTGACGCTCGCTGTGTAAAAGCATTATCTGCAGTGTGAATCTCTCACACCAGACAAACAGAGTCCTCCTTTTAGGTATGTTTAAACTGAAAGCGGTGATTTTGTGTCTTGTTTGATCTACCGTATCATCAATTCACCGTGTTATCGTTTCATCGCCCAGCCCTAAGTATATGGCACTGAATCATAATGCAAGTTAGACATTATGATGCTCTGGACTTTTGCTTGAGGAAATTTTCTCTAACTGGACCTTATTGACTTTTAATTAAATACCCCTGGCTTATGTAATGTGTAGTAATGAAGAGGTCAGAGATGTCTCCTCTACAGCAGTGAGGCTGGGTAAACTCACAGTGTGTAGGTCCTGAATGCGCGTGCGCAGCCCATCCACCACATCAGCCCTTTCCTCATTACTGTTGGGATACGGGTACAGATGGCAGTGGTAGCTGGAGAAGAGACAGTACCAATAATCAAACACAAGCAACACTCAACAACACAGACTGAGTAAATGCACTACCAGTTAAAATTCTAGGGACACCTAGCTTTTCAAAATGTCTTTAATGTGCATGTTTCTTTTCATTTGCAGTAACTCACCATATAAAAACCTAGACATGTTTATTTACAGGAAAAATAATATTGCATGTGTAAATCTACACCGATCAGGCATAACATTATGACCACCTGCTTGTTTCTACGCTCATTGTCCATTTTATCAGCTCCACTTACTATATAGGTGCACTTTGTAGTTCTACAGTTACAGACTGTAGTCCATCTGTTTCTCTGCATACTTTGTTAGCCCCCTTTTACCCTGTTCTTCAGTGGTCAGGACCCCCATGGACCCTCACAGAGCAGGTACTATTTGGGTGGTGGATCATTCTCAGCACTGCAGTAACACTGACGTGGTGGTGTGTAAGTGTGTGTTGTGCTGGTACGAGTGGATCAGACACAGCAGTGCTGCTGGAGTTTTTAAACACTGTGTCCACTCACTGTCCACTCTATTAGACACTCCTACCCTGTCGGTCCACCTTGTAGATGTAAAGTCAGAGACGATAGCTCATCTGCTGCTGCACAGTTTGTGTTGGTCATCCTCTAGTCCTTCATCAGTGGTCACAGGACGCTGCCCACAGGACGCTGTTGGCTGGATATTTTTGGTTGGTGGACTCTTCTCAGTCCAGCAGTGACACTGAGGCGTCTGATCCACTCGTACCAGTACAACACACACTAACACACCACCACCACGTCAGTGTTACTGCAGTGCTGAGAATGATCCACCACCCAAATAGTACCTGCTCTGTGAGGGTCCATGGGGGTCCTGACCACTGAAGAACAGGGTAAAAGGGGGCTAACAAAGTATGCAGAGAAACAGATGGACTACAGTCTGTAACTGTAGAACTACAAAGTGCACCTATATAGTAAGTGGAGCTGATAAAATGGACAATGAGCGCAGAAACAAGGAGGTGGTCATAAGGTTACGTCTGATCGGTGTATGTGTAATGAGTGTAAATAAGTGACCGTATTAGTGACAGAGCTATGGTAGGAATAAAGCCAAAGGCTATGCATTTTAGCCCCTTGCTGTGATATCAGAACACATCAGTACTCAAATCTTTCAGGTGTTTTACCTTTGGACAAAAGAATTGAAATATTCTATTTTAACAACAGTTTGAAAAAGAAAACCCAAATCATTATTTAGGCAAAATCTGCTCTTCTTACCAAGACACTTTGAAGAACATGACTTATACACAAACAGAGCTGTTTTAAGCTTATAGAACCTGTAGGTATCATTTTAATCAAATGAAAAGTAAGTGCTAGAATAGTGTCCCCAATTTTGGTGGGCAGCGTATATAGACTACTCTTAGTTTCTCTCTAAATATGTAATATTTACTAATTATCCCTTGCAATACTTACTATTTCTCTTTTATATTTTATTCCTCATTTACTACACACTTAAAAATGTTGGTTGTTCAAGGGTTCTTTAGTAAAGATGATTCTATATAGAACAATGAACACCGCATAATTAAAAAGGTTCCTTGCATCGTGAAAGGGTTCTTCAGATTGATGGAGAATGTGCTATAGATGGTTCTACATAGAACCTTTTTGAAAAGGGTTCTATGTAGCATTAAAGAGGGTTCGTCCCTTACTACAAGCTTCATGTCATAACAGTATCAGAATTCTTTTGGTGCTATATGGAACCCTTTTCAAAAGGATCTACAGCACATTTTTCATCAATCTGAAGAACCCTTTCATGATGCAAAGAACCTTTTAATCATGCAGATGGTTCTTTGAGTGTTCGTCGTTCTATATAGAACCATTTTCTTTACTAAAGAACCCTTGAAGAACCATCATTTTTTCAGAGTGACCTTATTTATTCTATCATTTAACTCTTCTGCTATCTATCTTTCCAACATTATGCAATGTTGTCCAATGTTATCCAGTGTTATCCAATGTAAAGCACTGAGATTCTGTATCTAAAATGGAGTTTCATATTATTAATTATTAGTAACAGTAATAACAATATTATTGTAATTTATTAATACAAGATGTACTATTTCTTGCACTGTTGGATTAGTGAGCAAAGCTTTTGTTGCACTGTAATCTGTCCTTAAGGTCCTGTAAGGTATATTGATAAATGGATTGATTTAAACCGAAGGGATTCATTACCAGTCGCAGATCTTCTTAACTTTCTGTCCTATCTGATCGCCCCAGTACGAAATGAGGAAGACCACACTTCTAGTAGGCTCTCCCTGCAAAACACGAAACAGGAGGAAGCTGAGTGTCAGACTTGGCCGTTTGAACAGACCACACAGATTTAACAAGACTCAGGCGCAATGAAGAAAACATCTACAGTAAAACTGACCACAAAGGAAAAAACAACTGTGTCCTTTAAAAGGGGAAGGATGTACGCAGGATATTGCAATAGTCTGTCTCAAAGGCAAAAGTGGGCCAAGTCTCAAAGTTCATTTCTAAAGCACATTTAAAATCAACTCAATCAAATCAATCAATAATTCATTCATTCATTCATTCATTAGAATCAGGGGGATCTGATAGTTCCTACTTACAAATTATTTTAGAAAATGTTTTTTTAATAAACTACATTTTCACTACTATATCAGCGAAAATACAACTTGTATTAATATATATTATATTATTAGCCTATGTCAGCAGAAAACTACACTGATCTTAGTATATATATTATATTCTTTGAATTTAACATATTTAAAAAATGTACCATTTTAATTAAAATGACCATATTTTATTGAAAAATATCAGAACATCAGAAATATCAGTATAGGCCCAAAATAATTTTGGCTATATGGGCTTTAAAAGAGAGTTCAGTCTTTATCAAGGACTCAAGTGGTTTCTAAGGTAGTCTTAAAAGGTCATCACCAATACCCAAGTCAAAGGACATCAATTGTTTTTTTACTACTACATTAGAATTGCAGAGGAAACCTACATTTAATGTTCTACATATTACACCAATAGCATATTTCAGCAGAAAACTGCATCTATTTTAAAACTGTTCAAGCTTTACATTTAGTAATGTTTAAAAATTGACATTTTTTCATGTTTTATTCAAAAACAATCAAAATATTACAAATATCAGTATACCAAATATCCTTTCAGGGGTCCTGATGGCACTTACAGTGTAGGGATCTTGCAGGCATTCATCGATCTCTGCATAGCTGAGGATTGTGTAGCCTTTACAAACCCTCCACAGCATCCGCTCAAACGCCTCGATCTTCGCTCTCTGGATCAGCCCCTGAGATAAACCTGCACACAGAGGAAAGTTTGCAGTTGGAAATGTTCAGTTTTGCTTAGAAGTCGCTGTGAATCTCTACAATTCTAAAAGAGAAAGCTAGAAAATTAAAGATACCGACAGTAAAAAAACGTCACCCTGACGTCTAGACCCTGCCATATGTCTGTAGACACCTGCTGGTCCAGCATTTCTTCCTTAAATCAAGGGAGTTTATGGGGCGCTTGAGACCTTTTGCCGCAGTAACCACCTCTACTCTGCTGGAAAGGCTTTACACTAGATGTTGGAACATTGCTGTGAGGATCTGACTGAGCATTAGTGAGGTCAGGTACTGATGTTGGATGGTCAGTTCTGGATCACTCACTCATCCCAAAGGTATTGGATGGAGCTCCATCACTCCAGAGAACACAGTTCCACTGCTCCACAGCCCAACACTGGGGTGCTTTATACCCCTCTAGGCAACGCTTGGCACTTGGCAAGGTGACCTTAGGCCACGTGTGTCAGGCCAAAACACTGCAGACTTCAGTGAGGTGCCTCATTAAACACACCTGACCCAGCTAATTAGCACTGCTGTCATGAACTGAATTCAGAGCATTAGATGAGGGAAAACGCTGATCTCCGCAGCACTTTGGCCTAGAAGAACCCCAGTTTGACATGCCTGCCTTGTGCAGCGGCTTGAGAGTGTCACATTTGATTGGTCCGTGCTTTTCTATGGAGATTAAACAAGCTGTGTGTGCACAACTAAATGTAGTAATGAACAAAAAAAGAACCAGTGGTGCCATATTTAAAAAATACTATCAAAAAGATCATTTTTTCCCCCAAAAATTTCCCACAATACGCTTCACTAAAACCAACTAAACGGGACTAATTATACTTTGTATTGACTAATGCAGTTGGTAGGTTTCTTTAAGTACTGACGATATCAACGATACGCTCAGAGAAGCATACTGTGATGCAATTTATCATGATGATAAATATCAATAAACAAATGTTTTACAGCAGAGCAAAAAGGTATTTTAATTTGAGGTTTACACCCTCAGCGGAACGCAGGGATGGGCAACACGACAATATTTTACAGCATTGTGATGAATTACATCACAATATGCTTTTCTGAGGTAACTGTATTATCAGTATTTAAAAACAATGACAACTAACAACTGTATGTTTCATTAAAAAGCATAATTGGACCTGTATAGCTGGATTTACTGTAGTGTGTGAAATGTTAAACAAAAAAACATTGTACCAAGTTTTTGGTAGTATTTTTTAAATCTGGCTGGTACTTCTTTCTTTTAACTTACCAGCCTCAGAAAAATGAAATATTGTGTAACATGTATTGCCTTATGATTTTTTTTGGCCATACTTCCCATTCCCAGAAGGACGCTTTGACGATAGCACAACTAGTATAAACGCCTCTTACCCAAGTTTGGCCCCGAGTCTCTGCATGCTGCTGTAGTCCATCATGACGTCTTTTTCCAGGAAAGGAAACTCTTCATACTGCGGCCGCGCTGACTCCCTCTGCTTACACAACAATAAAAAGAAAAAAGACACACACACACGATAGTGTGATGTCATCACGAATCGCTTTTCTCTGAAAATCAATCCTTTTTATAGACACCACGTTACAAAACCCAGCAAATGTCCTTTAAGCAGCTCTTTAAAGCCACTTTAAATCAGCCTATTTTAGCTGGACTGGGACTCATTTTGGGGAGGATGATGATTTAAGATTACTTTCCACAAATTAAATGTTCAAAAATGTACTATGTTAATCACACCAAACCAACTTAAATGCTAAAGGTGAAGAATTTTAGGAGAGGGTAACACCTAAGCCTATTAGAGAACAAAGGCTGACTGCCCTCAAAGTTGTAGGAAATCCGAGGGCTACAAATTCCATGTGCTCATTCATTCTCCAGATTCATTCTGAATGGAAAATCGCACTGAAGCACACATTAAGAGAGCCAGAGGAAAAGCATGCCTAGAATCTTTCAACCAGAGCTGCTCAAAATGGGCCACCTGCCTTAGAGAACACATAACTGTGACTGACCAACAGTAACTGAGAAACGGAGTCACATGTTCATCTATATGTACCCCTCTTTGATAACAGATCATATAATAGATTGTACAATTTGTGTTGTTTTATGCACAAAAACAGTCAGAATTAATTTTTATATTAACATTTTTTGAACTTTTTTTAATCCTTTAAAATTACAAAGTCTTTGAAGGGGAACTCCATTGATTTTTCAAAATTGCTGCTTAATTAAACCGTTAAAGTGTAAAGAATGGTTCGATATTCCCTTCTTGAGAAACTTACTGAGAATTGTTCACAATGGTGGTGATAGGAACCAGACAGTCCGTCTGTAAGAGTTTCACTGCTTCTAAAAGCTCCCTCAGAGAAAGTTATTACATAAAAACATTACAAATACTTTGCCTGATGCCTAAGAAGTCATTTTACGTTAGTTTCGAGAAAAGGTTAAAATATAATATTTTAAAATCCATTCCTGGTGGAGGGGTACATGCAGGGTGTGGTGAGGCAAAATAGTCCTTATAATGAACATTCCACATAAAACCCAGAACACACGTGTAGGTTTACTGGTGATTTTGGAGAGTAAATAAAATGCTGTGTTGTAGTCATGACGACCCCTGGTTCCTATCACAACCACTGTAAAGAAAATCTGTTGGTAGGTTTCTTAAGCACTGAGCATTTCACATCAAACCACTCTAAATGACTTTGATTACATCTCAAAGTTGTAAACTTATGCAGACATTCCTCTTTAAGACCGAAATATGTAAATGAGCTCTGTTCTGATTGGCTGCCGTGTATTGCACCTCACTCAAAAAGTTGGTGGGCTAAAACACTCCTTATAACATCACTGTGAATGGGTGGGGCTAAACTGCTTTAGGCTAAAATAGGCAGATTGATGCAAACATGAATTCCAGACAGGGTGTCTTCGCAGCTTCCAGTATGGGCTGGAGTGAAAAGTATATCTTGAACCTTTAACAATGTTTCACTGTGTGAGGAGAGACCCACCTCTGCATTGCGGTGCACAAAGTTGCGTGTGATGCGCAGCATGTGTGTGTACTCGGTCAGTTCCAGAAGGTTCTTCTGGAGTTTCTCTTTGTTCCTGGTGACCTCACTCAGCTCCAGCTCCAGCCTCTGAAGCTGCTCCTGAAATGAAAAGAAAAGAGAAGAAAAAGAACAAACACATCAGTCACTTTACTAAAAAATCTTTAGCCCACTTTATTTTTAGAACTGCACCTTTAACAAGCTAATTTTAATTACACTTAAGTGCTTCAACCTTAATTTAATGATGTGTATTTTGCCTTTATGTACTTCCTTTTAATCATTAGTTTTATTTCTTTATGCAATTGCACTTTGCATCTTTTTAGCACTTCACTATTCTATTGCATTTCTTGTACTCTGTTATTTTTATTGTTTTTCACTCTTAAGCCCTTTGTCTAGGTTCTTTTTGCTTTTATGTATGTAAAGCACATTGAATTACCCATTGAATTGTGTATAAAACGCTACATACACACCAGTCAGGCGTAACATTATGACCACCTCCTTGTTTTCTACGCTTATTGTCCATTTTATCAGCTCCACTTACTATATAGGTGCACTTTGTAGTTCTACAGTTACAGACTGTAGTCCATCTGTTTCTCTGATACTTTGTTAGCCCCCTTTTACCCTGTTCTTCAGTGGTCAGGACCCCCATGGACCCTCACAGAGCAGGTACTATTTGGGTGGTGGATCATTCTCAGCACTGCAGTAACACTGACGTGGTGGTGGTGTGTTAGTGTGTGTTGTGCTGGTCTGCGTGGATCAGACACAGCAGTGCTGCTGGAGTTTTTAAACACCTCAGTGTCACTGCTGGACTGAGAATAGTCCACCGTCCTGTGACCACTGATGAAGGACTAGAGGATGACCAACACAAACTGTGCAGCAGCAGATGAGCTACTGTCTCTGACTTTACATCTACAAGATGGAGTGTCTAACAGAGTGGACAGTGAGTGGACACAGTGTTTAAAAACTCCAGCAGCACTGATGTGTCTGATCCATTCTTCAATGGTCAGGACCCCCATGGACCCTCACAGTGCAGGTACTATTTGGGTGGTGGATCATTCTCAGCACTGCAGCAACACTGACGTGGTGGTGGTGTGTAAGTGTGTGTTGTGCTGGTCTGAGTGGATCAGACACAGCAGTCCTGCTGGAGTTTTTAAACACTGTGTCCACTCACTGTCCACTCTGTTAGACACTCCATCTTGTAGATGTAAAGTCAGAGACAGTAGCTCATCTGCTGCTGCACAGTTTGTGTTGGTCATCCTCTAGTCCTTCATCAGTGGTCACAGGACGGTGGACTATTCTCAGTCCAGCAGTGACACTGAGGTGTTTAAAAACTCCAGCAGCACTGCTGTGTCTGATCCACGCAGACCAGCACAACACACACTAACACACCACCACCACGTCAGTGTTACTGCAGTGCTGAGAATGATCCACCACCCAAATAGTACCTGCTCTGTGAGGGTCCATGGGGGTCCTGACCACTGAAGAACAGGGTAAAAGGGGGCTAACAAAGTATCAGAGAAACAGATGGACTACAGTCTGTAACTGTAGAACTACAAAGTGCACCTATATAGTAAGTGGAGCTGATAAAATGGACAATGAGCGTAGAAACAAGGAGGTGGTCATAATGTTACACCTGATCGGTGTAAATAAACTTGTCCTACATTTTTTAAAAGCAACATTTGGAAGTTTCGGTCCACTTGCCTGATCAGGGAAAGTTTGGTAAAGTTCATGGTGAACCCTGCTGTAACACACAAAACTACAGAGTAGAATTTAGAGTAAACACTACATCTCTCTCTCCTGCTTCTCAAAGGAAGTCTCCCTCATTAACCTCCAGCAGTGGATGAATGCAGCCTAGTGATCCTACCATTATATCCATCACATGTTTGGGTAACGGCGCCACCGGGTTCACCTCGCCCTCAGGCAGACCTATGTCAGCTTTCTTGATCTCCCTCAGAAGATATCCTGTAACGGGACACACACAGTCAGTGCAACTGGCCTGAAGAAACTTCATTAGCACAGAACAATCAAAGCCACTGTTTCCAGAACAGCCATTTAGAATAGCGTCAGCATTTTCTAAGAGACTCACAGTGCACTGATACCAGGCACTGGTACTAGTACTGATACTGATTCAAAATCACCTACAGTTTCATAGCATGAGAAAGGAATAAGCCCGAGTAGCATGAACCCCTTAAACTGCAGGGTTTATTCTTATTCTCTTACTATTCAGTGCCTACTAAGGAACTAACGATGTTAATATGGTATTGAAAACTCAAATAAATGAATAAACTGTGTGTGGACATGTAACACTATCGTCAATAAGGCCATCACTCCCCTCTGATCATCTCTTAATTACCATGTTTTGTAGAAACTAATCAACCTAGGCATGTGAGTGCAGCCTATCAGAGTAAAGTGAGCAGAGAAGTGGGCGGGGCTTATGCACCCACCGTCAAATGACAGGGCTTTTATTCTGAAGAGCTTATAATTTTTGAAGTACAGTGAATTTTGAGGTTTATTTTCTCTGAAGGCAGCACGACAGGAGCTGAAAAAGTTGGAGAACTTTTATTTATCTATGCCAAACTAATATGTAAGTTACACACTGATCAGACATAACATTATGACCTCCTCCTTGTTTCTACACTCATTGTCCATTTTATCAGCTCCACTTACTATATAGGTGCACTTTGTAGTTCTACAGTTACAGACTGTAGTCCATCTGTTTCTCTGATACTTTGTTAGCCCCCTTTTACCCCCATGGACCCTCACAGAGCAGGTACTATATGGGTGGTGGATCATTCTCAGCACTGCAGTAACACTGATGTGGTGGTGGTGTGTTAGTGTATGTTGCGCTGGTCTGAGTGGATCAGACACAGCAGTGCTGCTGGAGTTTTTTTAACACCTCAGTGTCACTGCTGGACTGAGATTAGTCCACCAACCAAAAATATCCAGCCAACAGCGTCCTGTGGGCAGCGTCCTGTGACCACTGATGAAGGACCAGAGGATGACCAACACAAACTGTGCAGCAGCAGATGAGCTATCGTCTCTGACTTTACATCTACAAGGTGGAGTGTCTAATAGAGTGGACAGTGAGTGGACGCAGTGTTTAAAAACTCCAGCAGCACTGCTGTGTCTGATCCACGCAGACCAGCACAACACACACTAACACACCACCACGTCAGTGTTACTGCAGTGCTGAGAATGATCCACCACCCAAATAGTACCTGCTCTGTGAGGGTCCATGGGGGTCCTGACCACTGAAGAACAGGGTAAAAGGGGGCTAACAAGAAACAGATGGACTACAGTCTGTAACTGTAGAACTACAAAGCGCACCTATATAGTAAGTGGAGCTGATAAAATGGACAATGAGTGTAGAAACATGGAGGTGGTCATAATGTCATGCCTGATCGGTGTATAATTACAGCTCTGTAGACATTTTTATCCATATAAAACATCAAAAACTGAATCTAATCTTAATCTAAGAATCGAAAATAGGCTTGAATCTGAAAATGTGTAAACGTGAAAATGGGCACACCCCATAGTGACCCCATTATAAAACCCCTATCACTATAAAGTATTCAGTAATTAATCCAGGTAAGCGGTTTTGAGTGCTGATTTTAAACAGTATATAAGGGATATAAACAGTGACGTCATGCAAAATACTACGCCTTTTTTATTTTAATTTTATGGATAATTTACATTAAACAGAATGCGTCATAATGTGCTATGATATGATGAGAGAAGACAGTATACACACATAACTGACAACAGACTGGTAATGCATATCCTGCTCTCTTTCATTTTGGATGGACTTTATGCAAATGAGCTGAGCAGAAACCAGTTATACTTGAAAATATATAAATAAAACAACATACAAACTTACTGTAAAACAAGCATACACACATCTGACTATGCTTACATTACTAATTTAAAAAAAATATTTCAGTATTTGGCATTTGAAATTATTTAGTATCTATAGTGAATTACTCAGTATCTACTCTGAATTACTCAGTATCTACTTCGAATTGTTCAGGATCTACTCTGAAGTGTTCAGGATCTACTCTGAATTACTCGGTATCTACTCTGAATTGTTCAGTAACTATGCTGAATTACTCAGTATCTACTTCGAATTGTTCAGGATCTACTCTGAAGTGTTCAGTAACTATGCTGAATTACTCAGTATCTACTTCGAATTGTTCAGGATCTACTCTGAATTACTCGGTATCTACTCTGAATTGTTCAGTAACTATGCTGAATTACTCAGTATCTACTTCAAATTGTTCAGGATCTACTCTGAATTACTCGGTATCTACTCTGAATTGTTCAGTAACTATGCTGAATTACTCAGTATCTACTCTGAAGTACTCAGTATCTACTTTGAATTGTTCAGGATCTACTCTGAATTACTTGGTATCTACTCTGAATTCTTCGGTATCTACTCTGAATTGTTCAGTAACTATGCTGAATTACTCAGTATCTACTCTGAATTACTCAGTATCTACTCAGAATTACTCAGTATCTACTCAGAATTACTCGGTATCTACTCTGAATTACTCGGTATCTACTCTGAATTACTCGGTATCTACTCTGAATTACTCAGTATCTACTTCGAATTGTTCAGGATCTACTCTGAATTACTCGGTATCTACTTCGAATTGTTCAGGATCTACTCTGAATTACTCGGTATCTACTCTGAATTACTCACTATCTACTCTGAATTACTCACTATCTACTCTGAATTACTCACTATCTACTATGGAATCAATGTATACCTTCTGTAGTCATGAGAGTGAGAAACACAAGTGTGTGCATAGAGTTTAATGAGTTAAACCTGATGGAAAGCTGCAAGAAAATAATGTTCACTCTAAAACAGTGAGAATGCAGTATTCCCACTGCAACACGACTTCAATGCTTGATCTTGCTGAACTAAGAGCTGCCACATAATATGACACACATTTACTAAAAACAAGAAAAACAAATGCTCTCCTCTCCTGACAAAGACATGCAAAACTCCTTTGGAGATGCAAAACTGCAACAAACCCACAGTGCTATGGAAAATAAGCAAAAAAAGGAGAGGCAAGGACCAGAAAAGAGTGTCAACTAAAAATCAGCCAAAACATCACAGCCTCGTTTATCTGACAACAATCTGCTGAAGCTACAAAAACAAACAACCTTCAACTGATGAACTGCAAATCATTATTGTATTTTTTTATGATAAAATGCTTCTTTTCTGTCCTCCAGTTAGGGCTGGGCAATAAAACGATAACGATAATTATCGCGATATCTTTTCTCAATAGAACTGTAAGAAATGTTTGATATACGCTTTTACACACAGTGAGCATCAGATATATTGCAGTTCACCCCTCAAACTACTATGATAGGATAGAGGAATCCAGTCGTCTGCTAGCTGGTGTCTGAATACTGTGATGTGCTGTGATATGGATGTGGTGGGAGTGATGGCAGTAAGGCGGTGTGATCCATCACTGACCTACCGAGCCAGATAATGTTTGCTGTTCGTATTAAGCTGACGATGTAGAGAAACTAAGCAGTTTAGCGCTCGTCGCCAGACAGCTAAAATAATCTGTTTTCTTCCTTAAATTATGAATATTACAAAAATTGCGGCCATGCTTTTCCAGCTGGTAAAAACAGCTCACCAGAAACTTTCTCCCACTGTCCCATAACAGATCTGTGAAATGTTTCACTGTTTGGCGAGTGTTTGTCATGTTCTGACCATAAAGGATAGTTTAAAACAGCAACTGACCACTCAGGAGCAAAAATCAGCCTTCAAATTTGAAAGAAAGTAATGATTTGATATTAATTGCGATATGTATCGATATTGAACGATATGAAATTTTTTATCATGATAAGATTTTTGGCCATATCACCCAGCTGTACCTCCAGCCTGTTCTCTTCAAAGATTCAACCTTCAAATAACGAGAACATGTTGTGATTATCCATTTATTTCCTAAATGAAAGATGCAGTGATTCAGCCTTTTTCTTCTCCCAATACTGACTCTGATATTTGAATTAGACGCGGACAACGCGACAGTCTTTTCATGATATACAGTGGGGTCCAAAAGTCTGATATCTCTGGCAAAAAGGCTTCTATTTTGCATCTCTTTCTAATTTAATACAAATGTTTTCATTATAAATTCTAATATCAGCATAACAATTTGGGTGAAAGGTTAGCTAAGCATGTTGAGGAAACCAGGCTGAGCATGCGTGGCATCATGTCCCGTGTGGAACTGACACTGGATTGGTTACTCTCCATGCTCAGAACCATTCGGCTCAAAGCAGAAAGAGTCTAAGGCCCAACCCCTTGTTTTCGAGTGTCACCCTAACCCCTTGGAACTGAGTTACAAGGGGTAGTGGTTGAAATCTCCCCTACGAAATGGGACTTCATTAACAGCTACTAGCGCTGCTCTGTAGGCGACCCTGCCAGTCTGCAGTGACAGCAGAGGAGGGTAAAGTTCAGCTCCTCACTGCTGGGCTTTAGTTACATTTAGGGAGTCATATGCCTTCAAAGAGGGGGGCAATTATTTATTATCACCCACCCCTAATTCTTCAGTGATATAAAGCTGAAGTCAGATATTCGCCAGCTTTTTGTTCGAATTCCTGTTCCACCTTAAATGGAGCAGCAGTTACATTCTGGTGCTTCAGGCGTCAGAACTGCTGGACTATTTAAGGTGGAACAGGAAAGTTAGCTAGCTAGCTACTGAGACGTTAGCATGCTATTAGCAATTTTTTATGCTTATTATGAAGAAAACGACCAAAATACACTGAAACGACATTTAAACTAAGATAATACAGTGATTATCGTAATTTTTTAACAGAGAAAATTCGCACATGTGTGTTTCTTTGGTCTCTTGTTCAGCCGTCTTACCGGTTTTTCTTTTTTTCTCACATCTCTCTGTTTGGAGTCTCTGAAAAACCTCCGTTTGGAGGGTCATGTAGCCCCAACACTTCGCCGTCCCCCTCTATCTCAACAAGAATCAGAACACCCTACCCCTAGACGTGAACATGCAAAACAGAGGGCCAAGGGGCTCAGTGGTAGGGGAGAGGGGTGAAATGGGATTGAGCCTAAATTTCCCATATCCAAGGCTTCCAACCTCATACACCTCCAAAACTGGAAAAACACACATTTATATGGGTGAACTGTGTGGGCTGACACCTACACACTTAAAGAAAACGGTTCTTCAGGGGTTCTTTAATTCAGACAAAGGTTCTATACAGAACCATGAACACTCAAAGAACCATTTGCACGATGAAAGCGTTCTTTGCATCGTGAAATGGTTCTTCAGATTGATGGAGAATGTGTTGTACAACCTTTTTGAAAAGGGTTCCATATAGCACCAAAAAAGGTTCTGCTATTGGTACAAGCTTGACAATGTAACAACAGAAGAACCCTTTTTGGTGCTATACAGAACCATGAACACCACATTCTCCATTAAATTGAAGAAGAACCATTTATTGATGCAAATAATCCTTTAATCATGCAAAAGGGCTCTTTGAGTATTTAACCATTTTCTTCACTAAAGAACCCTTGAAGAACCATCATTTTTAAAAGTGTATTAAAGAAAATGCACCGATTCTAGAGCTGCATGATAAATCATACTTTTTACTGTTATCGTGATGTGAGTTTCCATAATACACACACAGTTAAATGCTGCAATGACTGAACAGAACCAATTAGCTCATTGACGCAGCACCAGAGACGTCATTACATTGTTATAAGCCCTCACATTGGGAACAAGTAACTTAACCATTTGGTTAAACAGCCAGTTACAAAACATGGCTACTGTTGCAACAAACATATTTAATAACTAAACAACAAAATAAATACGTTTATTCTTCCTTGTGTGCCTATATGAAAGCAAATACATATGCCTTTGTTGGTAACGCTTTCTTTTACAGTCCCCTAAGTTCTAGGTATTAACCAGGTAAGTGTGGGGTACAAACTCCGACGTATTAGGTAATTATTTTAGGTGACAAGATGGTAAGTAGCAGAATAGTCTAAATTAATTATACTGAAATGTCTCATAGGTTCTAGGTATTACCCAGCTAAGGGTAAGGTATAAATTCCAAAGTACTGGGTAATTATTTTAAGTAATAAGATGGTAAGTACCAGAATAGTCTAAAAGAATTACTATGAAATGTGTCACAGGCTCTAGGTATTACCCAGGTAAGTGTGAGGTAGAAAGTCCAAAGTACTAGGCAATTATTTTAGGTAATAAGATAGTAAGTACCAGGATAGTCTAAATAAATTATTATGGAATTATGTGAAAAGAACTAAAACAGCAAGGTGTAGGAATTGAGACATTCTTGTACAATATTGTCAAAAGGTTTAATAAACAGGTATTACTACTGTGACGAATCCTGCTTTCTCTTATGGTCCGTTTACAGTTGCATAACAAGCGGCAATTTTTCTGAACTTTCTGGTCAGAAACCAGTAGAACTATAGAAAGAGTCCCTGCTTTCTTTCACAGTTCAGATTCAGTTTAGTATCTAGGTAATAGATACATACTATTTAAGACTATTTAAGACTTATATTCTGTTTATTCTTTTGAAGTTCCAGGTAAATACATTATAACTCACAGATACATTCCCTCTAATATTGATCATCTACTACCCATGTGTCAAACACAAGGCCCACAGGCCTGATCTAGAACCTGTGAGACGTTTCATAGTAATTCGTTTAGACTATCCTGGTACTTAATATTTTCTCACCTAAAATAATTACCTAGTTCTTTGGAGTTTGTATCCCACACCTACCTGGGTAATACCTAGAACTTAGGGGACTGTAAAAGAAAGTGTTACCCATTTGTTTTGGTGGCCTTTGTAGGAAAAGCTGACTGTTTCTCAGCCTTTCAGTGCCCAAAACGTGCTTGCAGTTCTGATGTAAGTGGCTGTTAGTATTTCATTTCCTCTCATTTTGCACAACAGCGAATGGAGCTTTTGTAATTTTGTTCTTTGCCGTTTGCTTAAAGGAGAGGTTAGAGGATAGTCAGATTTCTGTTTATGAGGGGTGGGAATCTCTAGGCACCTCACGATTCGATTCAATTACAATTCAGAGGCTGCGATGCGATTATAAAACGATTATCGATGCATCTCGTTGCACCTTTTCTCACTGTCTGACAACTTGGTACTTTTAAAGCAAAGTATTTTTAATGACCCACAATGAATTGACTTCCAATATCTTTTATTAATAAAACAAATGGAAGTGATGTGGCAAGTGAACTGGAAGGCTCTCATTCACTCTCTTGTTTGGAGTACATGAGAGGCTGCTGCCACTAATCTGTGATAAAATGCGCTGTTACGGTGAAATAAGATCCAGTGGTAATGGATGTCCACGCAGCGCGTTACAGCCGTCCTACCCGTTTTATTTTATATATTTTTTTTTGATTTTATAACTTCAGTTTTGGTCTCGTTGTAGAGACTCTGTCAGTAAAATCTCTTCGACACAAGACGCTGTATCTCGGCTCCAAAGTGGGCAACACAGCGTGAAAGCCCTGGTTCTCAACGACTAGTACGGACGCAAATCCTTGGCAATAAAAGTTGCGACAGAATTTATAATTCGCTTCCAAACTGGGTGGAAGCTTCTCTTCCGAATTTCCACCTTAAATGGTGCCGCATTTACATTCTGGCACCTCAGGCAGAATTTAAAGTGGAGCAGGGAAAATTTTGAACAAGAAGCTGGAGAATGAGAAGCGACTTCAGCCTCGCAAAACAGCCGAACGTTGAGAGACATTTTACAAGAAACTGTGCTACTTTTGTGGAAAAGCGGCTACAACTGAGCTAAAGCTTAAAGCAGAGCAAAGTCTGCGTTTTTGTTTATATTTTTAGCCTTTACTAAGACATCAGCACATACTGAGATATAAAATATTGTGGCTCCCAAGGTGGTTTGATTTTTGTTGAAAGGACAAAATGGCTCTTCTTAACATTTGGGTTGTGACTCCTGACCTAACCTGGCTTTTAACGCAGAGGGTGCCGGTCGGATTTCACTCTCATCCCGTTGTGTTTTTGTTATGTGCCTTTTGCGTTCCGTCAACATTACGTTATAAATTAAAATTTAGAAAATCTTTTTTTTGACATTTGTGAATCGATTCAGAATCGTCCACGCCTGCATCGCGATGCATCTAAGAATCGATTTTTTCCCCCAACCCTCCTGTATATGCATTCAAAAAATGAAAGGTTTGTACTTTCATAACATCCAGTCAGAGACATACATGTTAATAATAATTCTTCTTAAAAATTCATACAAAAAAAAATTCACTGCATGTAGGAGAAGAGACTTGTAATTCTGAAAGTGCTGAAGGGTCAGGGTGGTTGTGGCCAGGACCACATCACACACCCTGTAAAGGCCTAACTGAGCAGCTTATAGCAAAGAGAGAGGAAATAAAACCTCAAACCGCATTACCCAGGATCCTCTCCATCTCCTCGCACCTCTTAATCTCGTTAACAAACTTGCGCTGGAAGGCGTTTACACTCGGGTTGAGCTGAAAGAGAGAGGAAAAAACATCTGAGTGTCACTGAGTACTAGAAAAGTAGCCTCTGCACATTTCAAATCGAAAGCAACTCAAAGCACTGATAAGAAAATAAGGACTGCAGTATTATCAAAAAAGTACAGATAGATAGATAGATAGATACATAAATAGAAATACAGATAGAAATACAGATAGATAAATAGATATTAATACAGATGGATACTGTATAGATATATAGACAGACAGACAGACAGACAGAAAGATACAAATGCAGATAGACGGATGGATGGATGGATAGATAGACCCTTTCTTGATCATGCAGGGAAACTGCAGTGTTACACTAGACATATAATTGCATAATTACATACAATTATGGAAGCAATTAATTATGTAAATTAATTAATTAAATTAGACACAAGTAAGATTAAAGTATGAGAGAGTCCATATAGAAGTATATCTTTTGGCATATTTGCATAGCATATAAGACAGATTTGTTGTATTTACATGAGGGCAGGTATTGCACTAAGTGGTATGAGGTCGTTTACAACACAGCGAGAATAAACATAACTATGAAACGTCATGTATGTATGTATGTATGTATGTATGTATGAATGAAATGTTACAGATGCAATCAAAGGCATAAAGTATCCTGAAACAACAAAAGGATTCTGAAAAGATGCTATACTATTAAAAACAAACAACACACCCAACATATAAGAATGGTAACGAAATTTCAAGCTTTAAGGCTTTTCTCGAGGTCTCCTGTGGATCCACTCCCTTTACAACATCACAGCAGTCTGAGTTAGTGCTGGGCAACACTGCTTCAGTTTCAGCTACATTTTTAATAATATATTTGACAGATGGTGAGGTCACTGTGGACCAGTCGTCTACTGTTAGATTTTTTTACTCTTTTTTTTGTGATACTCATGATAACCAGGACCTGACAGGTAACCACGCTCTTAAAAAAGATAGTTCAAGGGTTCTTTAGTGAAGAAAAAAGTTCTATATAGAACCACCAACACTCAAAGAGCCCTTCGCATGATTAAAACTTTTTGTATTGTGAAATGGGGGCGGCACGCTGTCGCCTCACAGCAAGAAGGGCCTGGGTTCGATTCCCGGCCGTGCGACCAGGGTCCTTTCTGTGTGGAGTTCGCATGTTCTCCCCTGTGTCTGCGTGGGTTTCCTCCGGGTACTCCGGTTTCCTCCCACAGTCCAAAAACATGCAGTCAGACTGATTGGACATGCTGAATTGCCCCTAGGTGTGAGTGAGTGTGTGATTGTGTATGTATGTCTGTCTGTCTGCCTTGCGATGGACTGGCGACCTGTCCAGGGTGTATCCTGCCTTCCGCCAATGACAGCTGGGATAGGCTCCAGCACCCCACCGCGACCCAGAAGGATAAGCGGTTTAGATGATGTATGTATGTATGTATTGTGAAATGCTTCTTCAGATTGATGGAGAATGTGGTGTATTGGTGGTTCTACACAGAACTTTTGTGAAAATGGTTCTATATAGCATCTAAAAGGGTTCTTCCATTGTTAATTGTTCCATTGTTAAGGTTCTACATAGAATCATCTATGCAAAAAACCCTTTAATTAAGCAAAGGGTTCTTTGAGTGTTCATAGTTCTATATAGAAGCATATTCTTTACTGAAGAACCCTTGAAGAGCCATCTTTTATATATTTGCATTATTTGTATAGTTAACAGCGTATGCCATTTGCTAAGTGTTTGTTCTGAAATAACAGTTTAAAATAAAATAAGTTTAATAAATAGTACATACCGCTGTTGTTGGAACAAAACCTCGTATCTCCAAATCAATAACTTTACAGGAGAAGGAAAAAACATACTTTACTTTTAATGTAAGTCAATGGAACCAGACTTTTTTCCAAGTCATTTTGGGTTTCTTTTGGTCCATTCATCATGAAATTTACACACAATGTAAAGGACAACAGGCATTTTCACATTATGCCAAAAAATAAAAAACATCAAAAATGAAGATACAAGGATTTGTTCCAAAAGCAGCTCTGCTGAAGGTTTCAAAACATCCCATTTACTCTCCAGTCCATACATATATGGAAACTAAGCTGAGCAAAAAACAATCCATTTAGAATATGTTACGTCTGTGATGTCACGAAAACCAACACATTTACATATTTCCACCCACAGAGCTTATAGCAGCTTCGGTTCCAGGCTGCTGACTGAATGAGGCACAATACAGGGTAGCCAATCAGAGCAGAGACTGTTTACATGTATCCATCTTAAAGACACAGCAAACAAAAACAACCTGTTTAATTCTATATGATAAACAGAGGCTGAAAATGGTTATATAAAAATGAATGATGACCATTTTGGGTACAAACCAACAACAAAAATCACGTAAATGCCATAGGTACAGAAAAATGTAGGATAAGAGCCCTTTAATATCGTCTGATGCTGTAATATATTTGGAAAATATCATGATACTATCATAGTATTGCATCTGAATAATATCCTAGTATGTGGGTATGAGCAGAAGCTATGCTGCAGATTCATTGGGCCTCATTCACCAACAGCTCTTAAGAAGGAATTTCTTCTTAAAACTCTCTTACGCAGTTTTCACGAAAGATTCTGACATGTTTTCTTATTTGGGATTTATTCTTAGGTAAGAACAGAATCTAGAGCACAAAGCTGAGAACAGTTCTGCGGTTTAAGAACACATCACGAATCTCACATAGACTTTATCTTAGAACCTTTCTCAAAAACACTTTTAAGAAAAACTTAGGACGATATTGGAGAACGAGGCCCATTATTTTTCTGGAACAACTGACCGATTCAGAAAGGACACTGTGTTAAGACCTTACTAAGACACAGAATGGGGACAAAGTCTCAAGACTTTCCTTGAAGTTGTCAGGTGTCCTGCGGGTTCACGCCATTTACAACATGATGACATAATATAAGCATGAGTCACCGAGTCAGCCGGTTAAACATGACCTCAACGTGGTGAAAGCAAAAACTCAACACCATAATATGCCACAGTATCCCATGAACCCATGCTTCCCGAGTGTGGTGGATCATTCTCAGCACTGCAGTGACACTGACGTGGTGGTGGTGTGTTAGTGTGTGTTGTGCTGGTCTGAGTGGATCAGACACAGCAGTGCTGCTGGACTGAGAATAGACCACCAACCAAAAACATCCGGCCTACAGCGTCCTGTGGGCAGCGTCCTGTGACCACTGATGAAGGACTAGAGGATGACCAACACAAACTGTGCAGCAGCAGATGAGCTATCGTCTCTGACTTTACATCTACAAGGTGGACAAGGTAGGACTGCCTAATAGAGTGGACAGTGAGTGGACACAGTGTTTAAAAACTCCAGCAGCACTGCTGTGTCTGATCCACTCGTACCAGCGCAACACACACTAACACACCACCACCATGTCAGTGTTGCTGCAGTGCTGAGAATGACCCACCACCCAAATAGTACCTGCTCTGTGAGGGTCCATGGGGTCCTGACCACTGAAGAACAGGGTAAAAGGGGGCTAACAAAGTATCAGAGAAACAGATGGACTACAGTCTGTAACTGTAGAACTACAAAGTGCACCTATATAGTAAGTGGAGCTGATAAAATGGACAATGAGCGTAGAAACAAGGAGGTGGTCATAATGTTACGCCTGATCTGTGCATTTCCTATACGAAACCACCAGTGAACCTACACGTGTCTTCTGAGGCTTTACATGAAATGTTGAAGGTGAAATGGTGGTAGATCTGAAATAAAATCTTTAATTTGGCCTTATAACACCCTGCATGTACCTCTCCACTACAAATCTGCTTTTAGGCCTGAACTTTTATCTCAAAACTATCGTGAAACAACGTCTCAGATGTCGGGCAGCTGATTGTTAATCATTTCCTGCAAAAACTTACTGTGATGCAACTCATGTCTGGTTACAGTCTTTTTTATCTACACACTTTAAAAAGATGGTTTTTCAAGGGTTCTTTACTAAAGAAAATGGTTCTATACAGAACCATGAACTCTCAAAAAACCCTGTGCATGATTAAAGGTATTTTTTGCATCATGAAAAGATTCTTCAGATTGATGGAGAATGTGCTGTAGACGGTTCTATATAGGACCTTTTTGAAAATAGTTCTATACAGCAACAAAAAGGGTTCTCCTATTACGACAAGCTTGACATCGTAACAATAGAAGAACCCTTTCTGATGCTATATAGAACCCTTTTCAAAAAGGTCCTATCTACAGCACATTCTCTATCAATCTGAAGAAACTTTTCATGATGCAAAAAAATTTTTAATCATCCAAAAGGTTATTTGAGTGATCAAGGTTCCATATAGAACCATTTTCTTTAACAAGGTACAAAACCATCTTTTTAAGAGTGTAGTATGATTTCACATTACAACACTCTGAATGATTTTGCTTACACAGTAACAGTTTAATCATGTAGAATTTTTAAAATATTGGTGGAATTCCCCTTTAACTGTCAGGTCCTGGATATCATGAGTAGAGCACATATAACACAGACAGAGAATCGCAGAATTAAACAGAAAGCTATAAACAAGCTGCTTGGCAACCAGGATACAGTTGTTATTATTATTTTTTGGCATTATATCATGGAATATTTGTCAAATATATCGCTCAAAATATCGCTTAGAGCTGGACGATATGGCCAAAATGTAATATCACGACACTTCTGTAAGTTTTCATGACACACAATAAGTGACGGTATTAATTTTATCTGACATCTGGTAAGTTGGAACCGTCAAAATAGCGACACATTTCTTAAAAATGTTATAAAATCTATGACTACAATGATTTGTATTCAACATTCCACACTGAGCTGCACTAAATCCAGCTAGACAAGACTAATGATGCTTGTATTGAAGTAGGGCTGAAAGATTTTGGGGGAAAATGTCTGATTTTTCTGACTAACATTGAAACTGATTTAAATTGAGAATATTTTCTATAAATCAGGATATATAAATTAAGACAAATACACAAATATAATATATTTATATACTAGACAAATATAAATATCTGCCTGCTTTTTTTTGGCTAAGAACACCAAAATATCCACTTTTCCAGGCCTGAGGCTTGAACCTAAAGATAGCATACCAGACTGCCAGTAAGTTGTGGTTGTGATGTCACAACACATGTAGGTTTGGCTGCCTCTGATTGGTCTAAATCATCTACAGGCAGTTCAAGCCCTCTGTTATCAGGCTAAGATAATGCTATTGATAATTCAGACTACAGTTTAAACAACTGCAGCTCTTGCAATTTGAAAATTATACTCTTAAATTGCGATTTCGATATAAAACCGATTAATCGTTCAGCCCTTTTGGAAGTGTTTTTAAGTACTGATGATATCCACGATATTCTCAGAGAGACTATACTATAGGGCAATATGGCAAAACTTAAGATCACAATACTTCAAACAGTTTTCACGGTACACAATTTAACAGCTCCACAATTTTTAAAATACTGCACGCAATTGTGCAAAGCATACAATAATGCTATTATTTTTCATTCAACATTTCACTGATTAAACATTTCTAATCATGCCATGTTTATAATCAAATATGCAGTTGAGAAGTGTTTTAAAATACTAAACAAATATGAACAAAATGCTCAGAAAAGCATATTTTGAAGCAATTTATCACAATAACAATACATATTGACCTACTGCCCAGCCCTACTGTGACACCATTTATCACGATAACGATAATCAGTCATATTGCCCAGCCCTAACATCGCTAAAACCAAAAGGCAAATCAATATCGCGATGTTTCGATATCACGGTTGACGGGGTATAAACGATATACCGCCAGCCCCTAAACACAGCTTTTACTCACGTCTCTGAACTCCACCAGTCCCAGTTCTCCCAGTTCACTGATGCAGTCGTATGCTGAGCCGGACTGGAGGAAGAGCTGCGCCAGGCACATCTCCTCACCCCGAAACAACGAGCCCATTTTCTCGGAGAGGTTTTCGGCTCAAAACTTTGAGAAATAGCTGATCTGTGCAGCTCAATCGCGGCGGTCCAGCTTTAGCTGCCCCCCCCCTCTCTCTCCGACTTTCCTTGAGTGACGTGTCTCCTCTTCCCCTCCTACAACTTCACTCTGTCGAGGTCTAACCGCCAGAAATTAGGAGCAGATAACATATTCCAGTCTGAAAATCAAAACGAGACGATTTAAAGTCAGAAAACTGCCGGTTAAGCTCAAATATATCCGTTAGAAATCCACAGAGCTGTCGAACTGCTGATAGCTGCCTAGCTAACGTTGCTAGGGCTTCAGTTACCCGCTTAGCCAGCTAAGCTAACCTAACTAACTGTGTTTAATATTCAAACTGGCGCTTCTTTATTAACATCGCTGAGCTGATATGGTTTAAAAACAGCAGCTGCGTTTTATGTTATCTGTCTTTTAAGCCTCGCTTGCTCGGCCGGCTTTGTCAGCCCTTCTGAAACTTGCAGCTTCGTAAAGTTTAGAGCTGCCCGGAAATGCTGTACAACTTGCTCTCCCAAAATAAAAGTCCGTCAACCCGTTTCAAATCTGTTGTGCGTTGGATTGGCGTGTTTTCGATTGCCTCTATAGCCTCTAAGCAAAAAAAGCAGAAACTCGTGTATATAGATTGTTCGATTAAATGTGTCTTTTTGTATTGTTTACGTCCTCTTCTGATTTGTTCTGCACACTGTCGAAGCGCGACGCCGAGTTTTCTGGTGTCGGCTCCGACTCCCGACTCCTGCCACTGGAACCGACGGAGTCCACTCATCGACTCGGCTAGATTTCAACAAAGACTGCGCCAGATAAAGGTTTTAAAAGGGAATTCCACCGAATTTTCGAAATGTTTGCACAGTTCAGTGATTGTGATGTAAACGAAGTCATTGAGAGTGGTTTGATGTGAAATGATTCATTTGTGGAGAAACTGACTCATATTTCTTTACAGTGATGATAGGAACCGGGGGTCCTGGGGTCTACAACATAAATATGGCAGTTTTATTTACCATCCAAAACCACCAGTGAACTTGCAAATATCTTCTGGGTTTGTTGTATGTAATGCTGGTGATAGTTAAACAGTAGTAAATCTGAAAAAGAGTTTTCTCTGGGGCTACTTTGCCTTGGAACACCCTTCATGTATCCTTCCACCATGAACGAATTAAAATCAATTGATTAAAATACAATTTAGAGCAAAACAGTGTCTCAGAAATCAGACAGTGAATTCATAACCATTTCATGTAATAACTTTCCATGAGGGAGCTTTTAGAGGTGGATGTCTGGTTCCTATCACCACCACTGTGAACAATTCTGACTGTAAGTTTCTCTAGAACAGAGCATTTCACTCTGAATGACTCTGTTTACACCTAGCCATTTAATTATGCAGATATTTTGAAAAATTGGTGGAGTTCCCCTTTACGGGACAGTGGCTATAGATTAGAGATTACAGTGATATGATAAACATTCAACTTATTTCACATAACGCGTGTCAGAGTGATGTACGCTCTTAAAAAGATGGTTCTTTGGTAAAGGGAATGATTCTATTTAGAACCGTAAGTTCTGCATACTTAAATGGTTCTTCGCATGGTTCTTCAGGTTGGTGTATAATGTGTTGTATATGGTTCTATACAGCACCAAAAAGGGCTCGTTATGACATCAAGCTACCCTCTTGAAAAGATGGTTCCTCAAGGGTTCTTTAGTTAAGAAAATGATTAAAAAAAGAACCATGAACACTCAAAGATCCCTTTGCATCATGAAAGGGTTCTTCAGAAAGTGCTATAGATGGTTCTATATAGAACCTTTTTGAAAAAGGTTCTATTTAGCACCTGAAAGGGTTCTTCTATTGTTATGATGGCAAGCTTGTAACTATAGAAGAACCCTTTTGGGTGCTATATATATAGAACCCTTTTCAAAAAGGTTCTGCATAGAACCATCTACAGCACATTATCCATTCATCTGAAGAACCCTTTAACGGTGCAGAGAGCCCTTCAATCATGCAAAGGCTTCCTTAAATGTTCATGGTTCTATTTAGAACCATTTTCTTTACTTGAAGAACCATCCTTTTTAAGGGTGTAGCAACAGAAGAACACTTTAGGTGCTAAATAGAACCATATGCAACAAATTCTCCATCAATCTTAAGAACCATTTCACCATTTAAAGAACCAAAGAAACATGAAAAGAGTTCTTTGAGTCTTCATGGGTCTCTATAGAACCAGTGTCTCTATTAAAGAACCCTGGAACAACCTTTAAGAGTGTGTTGAGAAAATCAGTACTGCAGTCATCAAACCATTTTCAAGTTCTTTTTCAGTTCTTGTCTTGGTTCTCTCTTTCAGAGGCTGAAGTTGGCTTCGTGTTCACCAGCTTGTTAATCGACGGTTCCGGTCCACCTTAAATTATGCAGCAGTTACCTTAAATTACGCTGAATGATGGCGCATGCGCAGTGGAAAAAAAGCGCATGAATTCCGATCTGAGCGTCACATTAAGGTCGCATGGCCACGAATCGAATACCTATCCGATCTAGGACCACATATGAAAGTGACTCAGGTCGGATTTGAAAAGATCACATTTGTGTCCACACAGCCCTGAAAACCTGAATCACATTAGGGCAAACAATCGGATTTGTGCCACTTCAGCCTGGTAATGTGAACGGAGCCTTAGTGGTGCGCCTGCGCCAGAATGTAACTGCAGCGACATTTAAGGTGGAACGGAAAATTTGACTAAGAAACTGGCAAAAAAGGAGCAAATCCCAGCTTCATCCTATTTTCCACCACGTTCTGTGAGGAATATCGTTTGTTGTCGGTTTTCGGTCCCTGTACCACTTTTAATAATTGTTTATTGCGACCCAAATCATGAAGAAAATGAAGAATTGAGGTGCAGATCGGACCAAAAACGGCTGAGCAACGTTAGCATTGATTAAACCCGGAGTCGACTCCAAGCGTTTCGACTCCTAGATTCATTGGCCAGGAGTCGACCCGAGTCGAAGAATCGATTCTTTTCGAATCGACTCCCCATCACTACTGCACACGTGGGTTCGTATGAATGCAAAATGGCAGCCTGCATGTGTGCTGTGGCAGAAACTCTCACTGTAGCTGCTTTATTATTTTAGAAAAGCTGTGATATATCAGGTTTGTTTGCTTTTTTGTTTACTTTTTGCTTTCTGCACGTAATGCGTGATGTGTAATCTGTCTTCCCTGCTGAAAAAACAGAAACCATTAAAAGTTTCTGCTGGTTTCTAGTGGTGTCCAGTAGTCAGTAATGGTATTTTGTGCTTTCCTGATGGTTTAATATACCACTATAAAGGATTCTAACGATTTAACAGGTGTTCTGGGACTGATTGCAGATGCATGTGATGGTTTCCTAATGGGATCTAAAGGTGTTCTACAGGAAATTAGTAAATTTAGTAAAGAAGTGGAAACAATATGCATGAGTTTTTGTGTCTGTTGGCATGTACTAATTCTCACATGCCTCTGGTTCTCAGATCACCATGGCAGACCCAGCTGTTGATCCTACCACCCCAACCGATTCATTAGTCCCTGAACCTGAGCTGATGGTGGAGCAGAACCAGCCTGTTTCACAAGGCAAGGGAGAAGAAGACGGAGGTAGCAACTCCCAGACTGATCCGGCTGTCCCTATGAAAGACTCTGGCGCTGAACCTGAACTGATGGTGGAACAAAACCAGGAGGATCAGCCTCCTGTTGCGGAAGGCAAGGGAGAAGATGATGGCAGCAACCCCGGTGTCTACCGCTACATCAAACAGGATCTCTTCACCTCCGAGATCTTCAAGGTGGAGATCCAGAATCTGCCCAAGTACATCGGCTTTAACGACCTGAAGAAGTTCCTGAATAAGCAGGGCCTCAACCCGCACAAGATCAAGCTGATCGGGAGGCAGACCTTCGCCTTTGTCACATTCAAGAATAAGGTTTGCACCCAGTTTAGACTGTATCAGTGTGATTTGACCAGTGATGGCACAATATCGCTTTTTATTTTCTGACACCAATATTGAAATTTTTAATATCAGCTGACACAGATCAGTGTTTTTTTCATTAGAAGCTGCTAAGCTTTAAAATGAGCTAATTTTCATTAAAGTGCCAAAACTACTGAAATACACAGCGAACAATATCACACCACACAGTGTGAGCTATTTTACTCTCAGAATCACTTTATTTTGCCAAAAGCAAGGAACTTGTCTTGCTAAGTGCACACATATGATGAATAACATATCAGTGGTGGACGAAGTACACAAACCATGTACTTGAGTTAAAGTAGAGAGACCCAAGGTAAAATATTACTCCAGTAAAAGTAGAAGTTCCTCCCTTTAGACCTCCACTTGAGTAAAAGTACTAAAGTATTTGTCTTCAAATGTACTTAAGTATCGAAAGTAAAAGTACTAAAAGATTAATTATGACTTTAATGTCCTATTATCATTTTCGTAACAGGACTCGCTTCATTAACTCATTCTAGGTGAAAATACTCCAGTGTCTCTCTTGGTAAACCAGTCTTTTAATAGAGTCATTAATTAGTGACGCTGATGTCTATTAAAATTATCATAAGCACAAAACACTGAAGGCAAACAGTTTCCATCAGGTAGAACTGAGCGGCTCTGAAATCACTTTTTACAAACCAGCAAAGTTTCAGTTTAAGATTTATTCACAGCTTAGTTACAAGATTAAGTTTAATAAAAACTTTAAATTCAGATTCACAAATGAGTTTCCTTTACTAAACTGCATCTGTAGGTCTCTGTTCATAAACATAAACTAGCCAAAACTAATTTACTATAAAATTAAATAATGTTTGTATAAATTCAGAAAAAGGACACGTCAGTCACAACTGCATATGAGTACATGTTTCTATATTGTGGTCTATTTACACAAAGTTAGGTTAGTTCATCATTTATGTTGAATAGACTCTCCCAAACTTTTACGCTGCTGCACTGATGTTGAACCGTGTGCTGCACTGGGTTGGTATGACCAACAGGTCAAAACAAGCTCAAAACAAAGTGCGCACTGTGCCCTGATTGGTGTTCTTGCGTCGCGCTTCTTTCATTTTTATACGCACATAAACCAAAAGGATTTCTCATAACGAAGTGAAAGTAAAAAGCCGCCCAAAATGGAAAAACTTCAGTAAAGTACAGATACACTAAAAAGTACTTAAGTACAGCAACAAATTACATTTACTTCATTACTGTCCACCACCGTAACATACTGAACAGACCAGACAAGCACACAGACTATTAACAAATATTTCAGAGAAAATCAGACACTAACTAAGGCTAGATTTGAGGCTCGATCTGTGTTTCTCTCCAGTATCCCGTCTAGCACTTTCTCCTGATATTTCAGCTTGATATGGATACCTATTGATGCTGATATGCCATCTCTACATTCAACCTGTTGGCTTTTTTTAATTTTTTACATTTTTTTATTGCATGTTTACTTTCTTTTTGAGCTTTGAAACTATTGAAATAACTTTTGCATTATACCATACAGTGACCGCCTACCTTATTAAAGGGGAATTCCACCGATTTTCAAAATTTTTGTATAATTAATTTAAGATGTAAACAAATCATTGAGAGTGGTTTGTTGTAAATGCTCCGTTCTACACTGTAAAAAAGTGGTTCACCAGTTCAACCTAAAAAAATAACTTCATATAGTAAAAATCAATTGTAAATGAATGTTTTGTTCATGTCAAAGAATTACTTTGATTAAAAGAATCGTTCATTCTTGTTGAATTCCAACC